CTTCGACTCCTGGATGCGACTCGTTGAAGTCACTGTAGACGGGCGAGGGAAGATGGGCAGTCTCGTCGGGGCCAGCGATGAAGTCCGCAGTGGCGGTATCGGCATGGAGAACCTCTTGATGGAATACGCTGTTGCAACGCTCATCCTCGTCAATTCGATCATCGATGCGCCTGAGAATGACCTCCAGCTACGGATGCATATCAGGGCGCAGTTCGGTGCTTGTGGGATCAAGCGGATCCTCACAAAGATGGAGGCGTTCCAATATGACTTGATAGACAAACAGGTCGAGCGGTTCCGGACAAACGAGGCTATCGACTACGAGGATATGCTTGAGCGGGAGAATAGTAGTATGAAAGATAGCGTCGAGGGCGAGGTTAAGGACCTCAACGATCCGACCCAGATCGTAGACGCTATTCAGCAACGACTCCAAGGCTCCAAGACACATGACTATTTCATATCCGCGTTGCAACATCTGCTTCTGATCCGAGATAATGATGGAGAAGAACGGTTGCGCATGTTCCAGCTCGTCGACTCGATGCTAAGCTACGTAGCCATGGACCGGCGTCTGCCGAACATGGACCTCAAGCAAAGCTTGAACTTCACGGTCCAGAGTCTTTTAGATAAGCTGCATACAGATTCTGAAGCCAGACAAGCTCTGGACGAGGCCTTGGAGTCTCGGCAGATTGCCGATGCTGCCATGGCAGAGCGGGATGAGATGAGAGCTCAGTTAGAACTCGGTGCGGATGGTCTTGTTGCTAAGCTACAGAGACAATTAGAAGAGCAAGCTCGCTTCATCGAAGCCCAGAAGCGCCAGGCAGATGGTCTGAAGGCCGAAATTGAGAATATGCAGACGGTGCGTGCTAAGGAAGCGCAGCGGTACGAGTTAGAAACGAGAGAACTGTATCTTATGCTTAGGGACGCCCAAGACGTAGCCGCCTCTCAGGCCGTCAAGGGCGTCTCTGGGAACAAGATGGCCGATGAGGATCCTGCTCGAATGCAAGGTATTCTGGATCGCGAAAAGCTTATGGACCGACTTGCTATGCAGCTCGAACGACAGAAGACCCAGTACAAACTCGAGGGTAGAGTCTGGGGCGACGCTATTGGTCCTTCAGACCGCTTGCGTGCGCTACGTGAGGAAATGGATGGCTATGTAGAGAGCTACAATGAAGCACCGGATGGCGCAGGACTTCCGCCGTCTGGCATGCTTGGGACGGTTAACAGACAGACGAGGTTGTCCAGGAAGCCCGTCGCAGGACAGCATATCTCTAGCGCCGACGAAGGCGCCACCGAAGGTGACGATGATATTGTATACGAGAAGCCAAGAGTCGTCGAGATTAGGAGGCCTGTCATGGATCCCAAGCAAGCCGCCAGCCTCATGTCGGAGATCCAAGCGAAGGGTAAGAGGGACGATATTAGCGACTCCGAAGATGGCGCGACAACCAACCCATCTCACCCAAGCCTCGAGTCACAGTCACCCATTACCCCAAGCGAAGTTGAGCCGCCTAAGATTCAAGTTAGCGACATGGCTGCTCCTCCTCCTCCACCACCACCTCCGATGCCAGGCCAACTTCCTGGAGCACCGCCGCCGCCGCCGCCTCCTCCCCCTCCCCCTCCATTGCCCGGCCAACTTCCGGGAGCCGCTCCTCCACCACCGCCTCCGCCGCCACCTCCCCCAATGCCAGGAATGCTATCACCCACATCTGCAGGTGGCCCACCCCCTCCACCTCCGCCGCCTCCTATGCCTGGGGTTGCCGGAGGAATGCCTCCCCCTCCTCCACCAATGCCTGGTGCCATGTCCGGTCACTTCCTCTCCGCGCAAAATAATTTCGCACCAGGTCCTACAATCGGCCTCCCTGTTGTCAGGCCGAAGAAGAAGCTCAAGGCCCTCCACTGGGACAAGGTTGATACTCCCGAAACCAGTCATTGGGCGGCGCATGCTCCTTCCGCAGAAGCAAGAGAAGAGAAGTATGCCGAGCTTAGCAAGAAGGGTATTCTGGATGAAGTTGAGAAACTGTTCATGGCCAAAGAGATCAAGAAGCTTGGTGTTGGCACCTCTAAGAAGGATGACAAGAAGCAAATTATCTCCGGTGACCTTCGGAAAGCTTACGGTAAGCTCAATTCCCATATAAGAATTGCCAAAAGCTATAAAATGCTAACTTATTCTAGAAATTGCTTTTGCAAAGTTTTCACAGTGCTCTGTAGAAAAGATCGTTCAGATGATCATTCAATGCGACAAGGAGATACTTGACAACCCTGTTGTCATGGATTTCCTCCAAAAAGACGACCTGTGCAACATTCCGGACAATACTGCGAAACTCATGGCACCATATAGCAAGGATTGGACTGGTCCGGAAGCCAGCAAGGAAAATCGCGAACAAGATCCAAACGAACTGACCAGACAAGATCAAATTTACTTGTTCACGGCTTTCGAGCTACACCATTACTGGAAGAGCAGAATACGTGCGTTGGCCTTGACGAGAAGTTACGAAGCCGATTACGACGAAATTAACGAAAAGATTCATCACGTCGTATCGGTATCGGAGGCTCTAAGAGACTCGGTCTCTCTGATGAACGTGCTTGGTTTGATTCTCGATATCGGAAACTACATGAACGACGCCAATAAGCAAGCAAGAGGTTTCAAGCTCAGCTCGCTCGCCCGTTTAGGAATGGTGAAGGACGACAAGAACCAATCAACACTTGCAGATCTTGTCGAGCGTATCGTTCGCAACCAGTACCCCGAATGGGAGGGCTTCACGGGTGATATTCAAGCCGTCATTACCGTTCAAAAGATCAACATCGAGCAACTACAAGCAGACGCCAGGAGATACGTGGATAACATTCGTAATATACAGATGTCACTAGACAGCGGCAACCTCAGCGACCCTAAGAAGTTCCATCCTCAGGACCGTGTCTCGCAAATCGTCCAGCGGTGTATGAAGGATGCTCGCCGAAAAGCAGAACAGATGTCTTTGTACTTGGAAGAAATGATCCGTACATACGACGACATCATGATCTTCTACGGTGAAGATCCGAAGGACGATAACGCCCGTCGCGACTTTTTCGCCAAGCTAGCTTCCTTCCTCCAGGAGTGGAAGAAGAGCAGAGACAAGAACGTACAATACGAAGAGACGAGACGGAGGAACGAAGCTAGCATGAAACGAAAACATGGTCAGCTCAGGGTTACGGGAGCCGTCGAGAGTGGCCCACCGTCGCCGGCCTCGGCCGGTGCGATGGACTCGCTTCTCGAAAAGTTGCGCGCCGCAGCACCGCAAACAAGAGATCAAAGAGACCGAAGAAGGCGTGCGCGCCTCAAGGATCGTCACCAAGTTCGCATCGCTTCAGGCCAGAAAATACCCGACCTCAGTGAGATGCCAGAGGCCGAAACTGATACCAATAAGGAGAGTACCAATGGTATCGCAGATTCTGATAATAACCCCCTTAGCCCGGATTTCCCATCTCCTGGCGAAGCTCCTTCGACGGCTGGAGATGGAGACGGAGAGGATGGTTTGGCTCAGAGAGCTGCAATGCTTCTACAAGATATGAGAAGCGGCGATGCAGCGGATGATAATGATCCGGAGAAGAGAGATAGTTTGAGGAAATCAGCGGCAGAAGAAAGGAGGGCTAGACGACGGCGGCTAAAGGGAGGCTCCGGTCCGGGCTCCGGTACCGCCGAAACGGACGAGGGTGTCAAAACACCTATACCCGAAGAAACACCGGCAGAAATTGCTGCGGAGGAATGAATGGATGGCATAAGGAGCAGCGTCGAATCGAAACCCACCCCACTACTTTCATCTATCCAACTGATATAATGTCTACAATATATTACCCAGCCAACCCTAGGGGAATTGTGTCCGGATCACCGACGAACGAATTTTGCGAAGCTATTGTAGAGGAGTTCGAAACCAAAGCCCATGTACGAGTGAAGCCCGGATCATAAACCTACTGTATAATTACTAGTTCTGAACCTTGGATCGCCGAATCAGCACATCCGTTTGACGAAGGCTTTCAATGCGTACCTATATAAGCGCATATATGCAAACAAACCCACCATTCGATTACAATGCATCACTGCACTCGCCATGAGTTTATTACCAACCTCATTCATCTTCAACAAACGTGTATTAGTTACACTTGGCTTGGCGGCAAGATAGTCCAGGCTATTAGAGAAGGGACTCTTTTAGAGGTGCGAAGGAAGAGACGCGGCCAGACCGGGCCAGATTCCCTTTGTTAGCGGAGGAAAAGGAAGGGAGGGAGTTCTCGGACCGACTGGCCAACCCCTTTTCTCATGTCGGAGGGTGGGCGCGCTTATAAGGGCCGGCGAGGGCTACCCAGTTGGAAGAATAGGGGAAAGTGTGGGAAAAGGGACGTACATAAGCACAGTATATTACCTAGGTTTGTAGGCTCTACGATCAAGGGATATCTTAATAATTCGCTTCTTGCTTAACTTGTCTGGTACTTGTATGTGATGCGGTGATGCGGTGATGATTACTACCTCTATACATATATGTACCTACTGTCTTAAAGTTGTTTGGTTTGGTTGAGTCGCTGCTTTGTACCGTATTTGAATGTCTTGATTACCGGAACTATAGTAAGGTTCACTTATTCGAGTGGACGTCGAGAGGTTTAAAAAATAGGGGTACTATTAAGGCTTCATAATAGCACATTGTATTTATTATGCATGCCTTCATCTAGTTATAGGTTATGAAATATGACTTTACCCAGAGGTACAGGGGATGGTACTCATGTACTTCATCTCGGTGTCATCTTCCCATCCCATCCCATATGAGACTTGCGGGTAGGAAAAGGGGGATGAAATAAGACGAAGGCGCAAAAAAAGAATAGCCCGGGTGGGATTTGAACCCACGTCTTTCCAACCTCGACCTCTCATCTGCGGGTTTCGTCAGAAGCGCGTAATGATGGAATGTGTTCCCACTGCACCACCGGGCTTTTAGTTGTTGGGAGGTTTGAAGTTCGCGACCATATGCTGCAGCCTTGGATTCACTTTAGGCACCCCTATTTCTGTATGTATGTATGTATGTACCTACCTTATTACATCTATGTAGCCTAGGTTAGACGACTATCTCTCCCTACAACACAACTCCCCCCCTCAGCCTAAAACAGCTCGTCCTCGCCGCCGAGCACCAGCCCGTAGACGTACGGGCGCCCGACGAGACACATGTCGGCGCCGAGGGCGAGCGCCTTGGCGATGTCGGCGCCGCTGCGGATCCCGGAGTCGAAGAGGATCTGGAGTTTCGTGTTTCCGTCTGTGCCGTTGGTCTCTGGGTCAGGAGCGGGAGGACGGGGACGGGGACGGACGGCCGCTACGACTTGTTTCAGCGCGCCGAGCGAACTCGCGCCCCCGTCTGCCTGGCGTCCCCCGTGGTTGCTTACTACGATGCCGTCTGCGAGGCCCGAGGCGGCGATCTCGCGCGCGTCGGATGCGCTCTGGATGCCCTTGAGCACGATGGGGCCGCGCCAGTGCTTGCGCAGGAAGGCCACGTCGTCGAGGGCGTGCGGTGTGCCTGGGAAGATGGTGCGCGTCCATTCTGCGGCCGCGGCGCCTAGGTCGTCGTCGACGCACACGCCGTCGTGCTTCTCTTTGAAGTGGGCCTGGAACACCGGGTCCGAGAGCCCGATGGCGATGCCGACTTGGTCGGAGCGGAGGAAGGGGTTGTATCTTGTGGTTTGCTAGTTAGCACGTAGGGATAGGGGGGTATAGCAACAGAAGGGAAAGGCAGAAAGGGGCACACGTCTCACCCATTATCCATATCACTCGGCCTCCACCCCAATATATACGTATCCAGCGTCACCACCAACACCCTAAACCCAGCCCTTTCCGCTCGCCCCAGCAACGACACCGTGATATCATCGTGTTCCCTCGCCGGCCAATACAACTGGAACCACCTCTCCGCCTCCCCCCCGCCCTCCGCCCCCGAGTCGCTCGCCCGCGCTACATCCTCGATGCTGGAGCTACTCGCCGTGCTCAGTATAAACGGGACCCGTTCCCGCGCCGCCGCCCTAGCAGCCGCCAGCTCCCCGTCGGGATTCATGATCTTCTGGACGCCGACGGGCGCGCAGGCGATGGGGTACGGGAGGGATCTGCCCAGCACATTGACGGAGAGGTCCGGGAAGAAGACCCTTTCCTTTTCCTTTTTCTCTTCCCCCTTCTTGCTACTATCACCGCCGCCTTTTGAAGCCTGGCCCAGTCCCAACCGCCGCGGCACGATAGACCATCTCCCAAAAGCCTCTCTGTTCTTCCGCGCCGTCTCCCCCGTCCCCGCGCACCCGAGCACGTAGCCCCGCGCGTCGGCAGACATGCGCTCCGCCGCGAGGCGTTCCCATTCCAGGGGCTTGAAGGTAAAGGGAGGTCGTTGGTACCGCAGTCCGCGCTGGTACACCTCTACTTCGTAGGCGATGGGGTCGGGGTCGGAGTGTTTCTCTGTGTCGGGGCGGGTGCTAGGATGGGATTGGGAGGACATGTTGCGGGATGACAGATGTTGTGGGTGTTGGATAGGAACGAATACCTGGGATGGGGGATGGGAAAGAAAGGGGCTAAGATAGATGGAAGTAGAAATCAGGACTTAGACCTGTACTAATACCTCAGGCCGAGACCGCGTCATCTTCTATGCGGCTATAAAGTTCATCACCGGCTTTTGCGCGGCTCTACGTGGTCATGATGTCATCTTTTAAGGAAATGGAGCGAAATGTTTGCTTGTAGGCTTGTAACTAGAGTTAACAGAAGATATCGCATTGCTTCTGTTATGTCAGGCTGATGATTTATTCAACGAGATATTTATCGTCTGGGTTAATATTTTCAAGCTTACCTACCCTCAAGCTCAGGTTAGAATAACATGCCTAAGAAAGGGGTTGAAGGTAGTTCAGAGATAGTTGTTATAAGCCTCATGTATTGAGATATAATCATGTATTGAGATATAATAGTTAGGTAGTTACATATCAAGTACCATCAATAGCTGTTTACTTCACCACGAAAAGGACCAAAAATGGCAAATCCAAAATACCATTCATTCTCTTTTAGCACACACACACCAGCCTTAAAAGCTGGTCGTCGTTTCGTTTTATTACAAGAATCTCTAGGTCTATATAATACAAGCCGGCAGCGCGCACGCGCGTATCCGGCCTTCGAGCCGTAACAGATGTATCCATGTAAGCCTTGCGCCCGCGCCTGTGCCGATCCCTATCTCCTCCGTTATGCATGTATCAGTCAGTCAATCATTTATCACAATTCAGTGCATTCCTTCTTTACTTTGCCATGACGTCTACGTAGCGCCCTGTCTTCTTCGCCTTCTTGCCTCCCTTCCTCGGCCCTGCCGCGCCGAGCAAGTCGTCAATGCTGCTCGCGTTGCTCAGGCTTGTAGCCGGCCTGCTAGGCGGTGCGCTGGGAGGCCCGCCTGGGGCGCTACTAGTGCTTTGACCCGAGACGGACCGCATCATAGGCGGAGCGCCGCCGGGAATCATGAGGTTATCGTGCGACATGGCACTTCTAAGCAGTGTAGGCGCAGGCGTAAGATGAGCACGAGGAGGACCGGCGGGAGGGACTCCCGAGCCCCCTGGAGGAGCGGATGTAGATCCCGGAGGTGGAGGGGTGCCGGCGGCACGAGGAGGAGGCGGCGTTGCCGATTTGACAGGAGTGTTCTCGGCTCCCGATTTCTTGTTGACCCAGCGCTTGAGGTCCGGATCGTATACGAAGCTACTGGCTTCGCCGAGTTTAGCCTTGATGGGCTTGTTGGCTGGTTCGAGTGACTCCTTTTTAGCGCCACCGCCGAACCATCCTCCAAAGCCCCAGCCTTTCTTGGCTGCCTTCGCCTCAGCAGCACGTTTTTCTAAAAGTCTGTTAGCAACATGTGGACGAGAGACGTTGGTTTTGTACTCACCCTCTTCCTCGGCAATCTTCCTGACCATCTCCGCGTTCTCCCGATCTATATCCGCCTTGCTCTTCCCCTGTGATTTCAGGCCAGGAATATCATCCTCCTCGTCGTCGAAAAAGCTCTTCTTCTTGGGCTTCGATTCACTGGGAGAATCGCCCTCGTTGTCACCTGGACCCGGCTCGTAGGATGGAGGCTCAAAGCCGGAAGGTTGGTATGAAGGTGGTTCATATCCGCTCGAGTTATTTTCCGACTGTCCTGTAGGAGCCTCGAAGGAGTTCATTGATGGCGGTTCATATCCGTACGAAGGAGGTTGATAACCTTGCGTCGCGCTAGTGTCGTTTACTAAAACTTCCGGTTTCGATTCCGTAGGCGAGGCTTGCGACTGGAAAGTATTGGGGTTCGGCGAGGTTTGTGCCGCTCCGTACGGATCGTAACCTGGGAACGAAATTCCAATACCCGTAGGTTGTGGGGCCGAGTCTGATCCTCGGGAGACTGGCGTGTAGGGAGATGTCTGAGAGGCGGCCGGTGCCACAGGTTGATATGCAGAAGTGGACGAGTTAAGATTAGGGGTATAAGGACTTCCAAATGTAGACTGCATGTCTGATCCTCTTCTTACTGGTAGCTCAAAAGAGCTCCGTGTTATCTCACCCGAGGTCCTTTCCATCGAAGACCTGGGAGCTGGGTTGTAAGAAGCGCTAGGGTCGTATGGGTTATTCGAGGATTGAGATGCTAGTGGCGCATAGCGTGAAGCGGCCTTGGTGGCCGGGAGGGTAGGTGACGGGTTACCGTTTCCGTATGCTTCAAAGTTCGAGACCGACGGAGACCGACTAATTGTCGGTGTCCCACCTGCAAGACGAGAAAAGGGCCCAGACTCAGCGCCAGCCTCACCCGACGCTGCATTACCGGAACCATCCTCATCATCGCCAGCAACAAACTTGTTGAAGCGGCTCCACATGTTGGTAGATACCTGGTCCATCCTAGGCTTCGGGATCCACGAAGATGACTCTTCCTTCGGAGCCTGCTTCAATCTTCTCATAAGATCGTCCACGACAGACTCTATAACGGGGTGGTAATAAGGCGATCTCTTCGTCTGCGCAGTGATGGCGTTGTAGATGCCCTCGCAGTATTGTAAAGCCTTATCTCTAAACCCATGTTCAGCAAGGGTCATAGCATATTGTAGCTTGTAAGCAGCCAAGTGTGGGCAGCTCTGAACAGCGTTTGAGCCTCCCGCAAGGGACAACCCATACTCGTACACTTCGCTAAGTTGCAAGGCCTCCGTCTCCTTCGCGAACTGGTCGGCTTGGCGACGGTGATCGGCTCCAACAAGGACGAAGTTGACATTAGGGTCATCAAGACCGCCAAAAATAGCAGAGTTTCTAGCAAAGATGTAGCAGATATGAGCTGCTTCCGCTCTTCCGTATCCAGAGAGCAAGTTACCAAGCGATCGTAAAGCTTGGGCATCGCCAAAACTCCTGTTGCTGAGTATTAAGCCAAGTGTCTCACGCCATTTGTCAAGACCCGCCAACGCATCCTGCGATGCACCAATAGAAGCTGAAGTAGATATAAGCTGAAGACCTGCCCGCGCATGAACCGGGACGAGCTCGTCTACCGACTCCTCGAAATTTCCAGAAAGAACGCCATAAAGAGCAGCGAGCGACTCGTTTCCGTGACCCGGATGGTTCACCTCCTTCTTGATGAACTCTTGAGCAACCTTTTTGTACAATTCCGGACTCTGCATCGTATTCGAAATAAGCATCGCGTGACCCCAAAGCCTCTTATCCACCGCAGCCCAAACGGCCTTCTCTCGGTCACCGGACAGCAGATGGTGCCGGATCTGCTCGACGGTCGTAGAATCGACGGCGTCCGATTGCATATTAGTTACAGTTGAAGATATTCCCGTCAAATCGGCTCCGGTAGAAATCGCTGCAGCAAGCTCAGGATTATCAGTGTCAAGACCAGGTGAGATAACCTCCCTAACAGCCTTTTCTACTGTAGGATTTCCCTCGAGAAGGCCGTCATTTTCGATAAAAACCCGTAGAATCTTCCACAATAATGCCCGCTCAACAGCTCTCTTGTCCTCGTGTGAAATAGCGTGCAAGAACGAAAGGTTTGGAAGACTTTTTTCAAGGGCATCAATACCAGCCGTCAGCCATGCAACTGTTTCTTTCTTCTTTGATTTGCCCTTCAAAGGTCCTGGGAATTTGACTAGACGCTCTTCCAACGGTAGGATATCCTTGACGTGCCGTACTTTCACCTCACCTGGGCTACGCACGATCATCGGGAGCGCCTGGCTAATGCCATATCGTGGGACATCCGTTGGGAAAGAGGTCACAAGTGTTCCTCCCACACCCCATGTAACGATGGGACAGCCTCTCCATCTCTTCAAGGGGTCCTGCTCTCGACCATCGGTTGGCGGGACAAGATTGAGGTGCTGAGACATGCCCCGGGTTCTAACAGCAGGTTGAGCTCCATTCGTATTTGGTATCTCCCGTGGAGAGGAAGCACCTTGCACAGAAGACGGCCGAGGGACAGTGTCAATCGGTCTTATTCCAGCCCGATTTCCATAAAGAGCTCCAGGTGATTGGGTTTGAGACCGAGGCGGTGGCACAAAGTTGACCTCCTTGTGTGGTGCGGATGCGGGAGACATCGGAACATAACTCGAAACCGCTCTCTTAGGGGGAGATATCGCGTTATAGGCAGGAGAGCTGAGAGGCGGGGGGGTATGCCTAACTTGTCTTGGACTATATTTGGATTCGGACGGGCCTTTAGGCGCAACTGGCGGAGATCGTAGTAAGGATTGCTCCTCCTCAACTTCCTGCGTTGGTGGTAACGAAGGTACTCTTGTAAGACGAGGCTCATACTGAGATGAGCTTCGACGCTCAGAGGTGCCTTCAACGTTCATAGGAGTTGGCATCGGCTTTTCGTGTGAGACTTCAAAATGAGAGTGGGCAAGGGGACTAGAAGTTCGCGGTTGGTGTGCGAGCATCGGGGGTGGGACAGCGGCATATCCACCGCCAGACGACCGGGCGGAAGGCGGAGCGGGCGAATACCGGCTAGAAGCGGGCGGTGGGACCCCGTTTGCTACTGATAATTGAGGCGGTGCGGGAGAGTATCTTGAGGTCGTGACGGGGGGCACACTTGGCGTTGGTAGAGAATTAGATTGCACCGAAGCATAAGGATTAACACGCTCTGGAGCAACTAGTGACGTGATACCAGCAGGTTGCTCTTGGGGAGAATGAGGAGGGTAGGAAGCAGGCGATGTTAAAGGGGATCCAGGAAAAGGTCCGTGTGGCGGTTGTCCATATGGGCTAAGTTGAGGTGAGGCAGAAAGGTGACTGTGTCGCGACGCGGGCCGGGGTTTCGATGGTAGAGGTAAGTCCTCGAAGAAGCTAGATTTGGATTTTAACGGAGGGGTAGACTTCTGGGCTACCGCTGCCGCTGGTGGCGGCGGCGGCGGTTGGCTTGAATGACTTGAACCGGGAGGAGATAAACTTGCGTTCGAGGCTCCTGGTGGTGGTGGTGGTGGTAGTTGGGAATACAAGCTCGCACTCCTTGGGGGGGCGGCTGGCGGTCCTAGAGATGCGTTGTTTGCTCGTGGAAGCTGCTGCATACTAATCCGCTTCTTCGGTTTCACAACCTCCATCGGGAGATCGTACGGAGATGTATATCCTCCTTTGGCTTTATCAGCAAAACTTTGAGCTTTGGGCATAGCTGGCTTTGGAGGTGGCTCAAATCCACCCATTGCCGGCGGAGGAGCCGTGGCCGGGTGCGCATAGGAAGGAGGTTGCGGCGGCTGCATTTGATTGACAACTGGGGCTGGTGCGTAAGGGTTCGGGCTTAATTGCGCCGGATGCTGGAAATTATCAGGAGTATAACGACCATTCAAGCCTGCCGACTGAGGTTGAGCAGCTATATTAGGCTGAGATATCGATACTACCGGTGCTGCTGGCGTCTGCTCGGTCGTATCTTCCAAGAACCCTTCGTCATCACTTCCAAAGATATCTGCTGGATCAAGCTCCTTAGTCTCGGCATTTGAGTCTAATAGGAAGTCCTCGTCATCATCAAAAGCAGCCGCCCACTTCGCATCGATATCGACGGTTTCCGGTTCAGTACCAGTCCCCTCCTTCGAATGAGTTTCAGAATCGCCGTTCACAGCCCGCTGCACAGGCGTAGCATCCCTGACCGGAGACGGGAGCTCTGAATTCGACTCTTCTGCCCCCATCACAGAGTCTGTGGCTTGTCTCATTACCATAGACGTAGACTTCCTCTGTAAAGTATGCTCAAAGCTAGCATCTCCCTTTAGACGAGAAATATCCTTAGTTACCTGGCTGAAAAAGGCATCGCTCCCTTCAATATCATCCTGCGTAAATACGTCTCCAAGACCTGAGGCCTTAGATCCGTGATGGTTCTCTAGGTCATGCTGTTCACTCTGTGGAATCAACGGTAAACCCTCCTCGAATCGAGCATCCAACTCCTCCTCTGCAGTACCCACAAGTTCTCCACCAACATATTGCTGGGACGAGCTTCCATTTGCACCAATTTCATCGTCGACGGGCTGATTTTCGCCAAGAGTATCGGGGAATTCAGATTGTGCAACTGGGTCGTCGTCTGAATCGTCCTTCTCCAAGCCATGCAAGATATCTTGGGCTTGAGTTGATGGGGGTGGGTGACCGAATTCGTCCTCAGTCGCATCCTCCCTTTGCGGTACGGCGGGAAACGAGTTTGTCCTCTCGTTCGCTGGCATAAACTTGAAAGGGTCCGTGTCGGATCGCTGCAGGCTCAACTCGCTATCCTCGTCATCGTTAAAGCTTACCTCGTGAGACACAGTACGCGCAAACGAGGTTGTGCTGGAATGTTTGGCAGCGTTGCTCGTCCGAGTAGTTTCCGCTTGGGCAATCTCGTGTTCGTAATCAGGTACTACAGCATCATCACCTTGCGCAGCCGCAGCGGGTGAAGCTCCTGGAATACCCCATGGGTTATCCCCAGCGTCATCGTGATTAAATTGGTCTAGAAACGTGCTGTCGCTTGGTTGTTGAGGCTCAGCGCCTTCTTCCATTATTTCGTTATTTAACATCTCCTGAGCTGAGTGCTCAATCGCGTGCTCGTTATCGGCATTCACATCTTGATTCTGCGTCGAATCGAGCTCTGATATTTGGTTGTTATCGTTATTAGTGTATGGCATCTTAGCCGGATGCCACGTCGCACTTGAGGCATCCATCTCCGAGTACAATGATCGCGAACTAGATAAGCATCGAAATGGAAAGGCCCCCGTAGAGTAGAATTAGGAAACGGTACTGCGAGATCGGGACCAGTTAGTTTCGTAGATCATAATAGTATCGTGTCATCAACAAGCACGGGACGAAGTCGCATGCCAGATGGTAAACTAAGTTGATAGGGGCAAACAGCGCGATGCCATAATTAGATAGCAAGGGAATGAATGAGAGATGGCCCGGGGATCGCGCGACTCATACTAAAACAGAAACAGAAACCAACTCACTTATACAAGAACAACTAATAAAGACGTTTATTCTGGACTCGTTACAAGCCAAACTCCATGATCATTTTTTTAAAGGAGCAATTATCGTTATTGCTTTCTTGGGGCACTTGGGAGGAAATTGGGAGGAAAAATGGGAAAGCTGAGGCAAAGTGGCCGATCCACAAGAGGTTACTTGAACTTTACATACTATAGTATGTACATACCTAAGGTACCACCTATCGTCCGTTGAGGCCATGTTCTCATCAACGATCCATGTACCCATGCAGCTTATGCACAGCACAAGCCCACGCTAAGGGGTACTTAGGTTAGCGGGACTGCGAAATAAATGACATAACCACGATGGAATGGATGGAACATTATTATCTTAACCTAGAAGACAACATGTCCGTTATTGTAATTATCCGACAAGTTAGCGCATGCCGAATAATTCGACTAATCGAGTTAATACCTAGGTAGGTTAAGTATGTAGCCATATATAGCTTATACCTCTCAAACCCGAATATTATCCTGCCGGTGGGCAATGAAATCTACAATCTTACATAGCACCTCTGCTTATTCGATAGTGATTAAGTCGTTATTAATTTGAAAAGTACCTACCTATGTACCCATATGGAGACGACCGAGGCACATGACGGGAGTACCCAAATATATGTACATGTATGGCGGAATCTTGGTAGATGAGTACATTATGTACATTATGTACATACATACTTCTACACGTACATAAATGGGAACTTGACGTAAAGTACGGGCAGAACGGGTCCCTGATTCCGTGCCTGCATTGCTTCCATTCCCTGCTTTCTTTATGATTGGTGGATTCTATAAAGCTTCGGCAGCCAATTAACAACGCAAGCTCCAGCCCTGGAAGCTTATTTTTAGGTATCGACCCTTAAGCACGGTGCGCTCCGATGTCCGACTTCTAACTCTCCCGTTCAACTTTCTGGTTCGTCAAGCACTCTTAAACACTCTTTAAATCTTGATCGCCGGCGTATCCGCTACGCAGTCAACTTCAGGTCGAACGATGAACAGTATGTATGATACGGCGATAAGGAGTTATGCAGAGAAACTTTTATTCCAGCTTATATTCCAGCTTATCACAATCTTATAGGCATAGCTAACATACCCCTTGTTCTCCCTGCCTCCGTGCCGCACAATATATTATCTCCAGATTTCTCTCCCTCCACTGTCCTCTAACGTCCTTCATCAAAACTTCAAATAAATATCAGCCTGCGCCCGTCCTATGGTAGGAGCCTCAACCAGCTCGGAAATCTTCCGAAGCCGTGCCGCACTAGTTTCGTAGACAGCCGGCACCCCGGTCTCCGAAAAGGGGCGGCCGTCCTTAATTATCTCGGCTAACCCCTTTGCGCATAGCAACACGTTCGGCATGCCATGACCGTCAAAACCGGCGCAGATGTATTGTCCCGGCTTAGACGGTACGTGGCCGATGTGTGGCGCACTGTCTGCAGAGTACTATAAGCTCAAGTGTTAGTCTAAGTCGGACGGACGAACTATCATGGAAGATATGATACCTCGATATAGCATCAAGAAGAGTTAGGACACTTACACCCATAATAGCCGTCCAAATACTCTCAGTTTCCGTCTCCGTCCCCTCCCATCCTATAAACGTCCTCGCAGCCCAGCGGTCAAAATATGGCACCGTGGACTCGATCAGTGTCGAGTCGTCGTAATTCCTATACCACGCTTCCCTCTCGTCAACAAACGCGCTCTTCCCGCCTCCCACAATGATACTCCCATCCTGGCGCAAGCCATAGTATGAATCGATCGAATTGGGGCTCTCCATCTCCAGCCCAGCCGATCCCAGCGGTATATTCGTGGCCGGCGCATCCGGCAGGACTCTACACACAGTTCCCCGAGCCGCATATATCGCATCGTCGTACTCGGGCAACAAACCCGCCGTATACGCATTCGTCGCAAAAACAACCCGTTTCGCCCGAGTCGCCCCCCTGGCCGTCGCCAGCGTCCAATACCCTTCCTCGTCGACCGTCTCGGAAATTCCGTGCACCGTTGTCTTCGTCTGCAAATTAACCCCTTTTCCCACCACCCCCTCCAGTAAATGCATAACCAGCTTATACGGCCAGACCACATGCGCCGGGTACGTAAACGCGACCTTGGCCCCGGCGATCCCCGACACGCGCTCCGCGTCGCCCGGCCCGTGGTACGTGACGGAGCGCAGGGACGGGCAGTTGAGTTTCGTCATGGCGTCCCATAGCTTCTTGATCTTAGCGGCTTCGGCCGCGTCCACGAACACGTCGCCCGTGGTTACCACGTGCAAGTCGCAGTCGATGCCTTCGTCGTGGACGAGTGCGACGATGGCTTCCGCGTTGGCGGCTTCGAAGAGCGCAACTTGGTTCGCGGTTTCTAGGCCTTGCGCTTGCATGCGCGCAGCGAGAGCGACGAAGAGATCGGGCCGGATGTGCCCGCCTAGTAAATGTTAGTAAGTAGGCATTAGATCGCAAGTCAGAGTGATGTGAGGCTGTAGGTAAAGTAGAGTGTAACAGGACTCACCGTTCCTACCGGTAGCCCCAGAGCAAGCCTCCCGGGCTTCCAAGATAGTAATACTCGGCTTCGGTTCATGCTCAGGGTTATCCTTAAGCAGGTAGTGCGCTAGAGCCGCGCCCGCAAACCCGGCGCCAATGATGACAATGTCCTGCTTCTCGGGAAGTTCCGGGGTACTGCGGTGGGAGTCGAGATGGTGTAGCTGCGTCCGCCAGTACGGGACCGTGGCGTTCTTCACGGGGAATGGGCCGGCCATTGTAGTGATGAGCATTAGGATATTAGTATTAGAACTAGAATTACGAGTAATTAGACTTTTAGTATATATATGTCGATATGTCGATATTAGCGTCGCAAAGATAAGATATTGAGCTCGGTTACTCGTTTGCTTGCTTTCGCTGTGGTGCTATGGCCATGTTTGCGCTCATGATGAACCTATTCTTATACTCGACTCAACTTCTTCGTGATAATGTGAGATGTGTGTTGTAGTTGCTTTAGATGAGTCACTTCTAGAAGCCGTCGTCATCAAATGCGCAATAAGTCGAGATACTAGATACACCCAATAATACTAGTATAGGTATGGCTACGAGGTGTGTAAGAGCAGTGCGCGGACTATACAACATCGTCAGTATACGCGATGCATACTCCAATACCGTCTATCTGCTTCCTAGTCCCTCTATCATCATCATCATCATCATCATCATCATCATCACCACGATCATCGTGTCCAGCGACGGATTAGCCCTCACAAGCGACATGCACTCCATATCAGTGTACGTCAGCAAAGATACATATAGTCCTAAACTCCATCCTCTCGCTCCCTGAGCAATCAGAAGTGCGCGTAGAAATACGTAGTCCTACACATCGCACATCCGGCAATGACTCTACTCTACCTCGAATCACACATGGCGATTGTCAATCCTATACTCCTCCCCCTCTCCGGCATTGTATAGACATACGTAGCATATATCTCGCAGTTCCATCCCAACCTAAACTCTTGGCACGATGACGATACCATTCCTAGATAGGGCTGCCTCTAGAAATTAAGCACCCAACCTCTAAGCGAACATAGACTATACCTCACCGCTCCTCAGCCCTAGGAAGTTTACGGCAGGAGATAAGATATAGGTAGTCGAAAGCGGCCAGTCGCGCATGTGACGTTGTAGTAGAAAGCGCTTCTCCAAATGGAGCCTCAATCGCATCATACATGAGTGATGACGCGGCTCAGATGGCCCACGTAAGGCCCTGGTCGAAACGAACGCTTCTGTGAATGATTGTAGCCTCACAAGCTTGTCGCAAGAAAAAAGGGAGAAAATATATTATTGTATTTGTTTGTTTACCTAGGTTACCTATGTATGTAAAAGACTGGGACTGCTCTCCAGTCCTTAGGTTAGGCATTCTAAATTCTAATATGATCGGCCAAATATATCAGTTGGCAAGACTATTATTCTCTTGAATAGTCGCCATAAGCGCCCATGCAAACGTTTTACATGCCCTTATTAAACCTCAACCGATGGTATACCTCTCAACGCCTGTCGCAATGCTGCTTAAAAAACCTGAAGACCCCCCCTCAAAAAACCACCATGTTTTAATTTCTCTGGCGCTTATTAGAAAACCCATCCCTACCCGAACTCTCCCGAGCCCTCTTCCGCTCAATCTCCTCCTTCATAATGCGCTCAGCTTCGCTCATCTTCTTCGGTTCTCCGAAAGCCGGCGCTTTCTTCGGCGCCCCTGCAAGCGCGTTCTTTTTCGCTGCCGCGAAGACGTTCTTGGGTTGAGGCTTCGCTGCTATTTTAAGCGAAATGGGAGCAGAAGCAGGTTTCTGGGTCGTGGAAGGTTGTTCTTGCGTAGCTGTTGACTCCTCCTTCTTCTCTGGGTCTTTTGGTGGCGACGCAGATGTCTCCGGGGTAGATTTATCCGGAGAGGATATTGGTGCCGGTTGAGTAGCGGGCTTGGCGCCAAAGGAGAGCTTGATCTTGTCTCCTTCCTGTCTCTTGAGTTCTTTGCCTTCCGAATTGTCGGCCTCGTCCTCGTTTTGCTCACCCGCTTCCCTCTTCGCGCGCTTGATTTGTTCCTTGATTAACATGTGTTCGCGCTCTTCGTCTCCTTTATCTTGCATCTCTTTCCTCCGCACCGCTTCTTTTCGGCGTAAGGCATCCGGGGAGTCATCTATCCATGCGATATGGATTCCCTTATCATTCTCCTCGACTCTGCAAATTCCTTCCCTTCCTAGGTGCTTTGCGAAGTCGGTAAGAGAGTGCCATTTGGTAGCATTCATGTGGACATGCTCTTTGTTGGCGATGTAGTTCTGGTAAAAGTGGTTGATCTGCACTTGCTTCTCTCCGTGGGAGGTTCGTAGTAGCTGCAAGAAGTCCTTGATGAACTGGTTGCTAAAGTCGTCGATATACTTCTTCGCATCCTCGCCAACTAGCAGCATCTTCCTCGTGTGGGATTCGCTTTGTGTGTGCATCTTGAACGCATTGGCGTCCCTGCATTGCTTTTCGCATATTTGGCAGTACCATCGAAGTCGCTGTAATCCCTTCGATTTCATCTTATTGTTCAGGTATTTCGTCGATCCAAATTCTGCTTTCGGCATTTTGGCGGTATTGGTCTGGGATGGTCTAGGATGATCTGGGATGGTCTGGGCTTAGATTTGAAGTATTCGGATTGTTGGTTAAATAAGTGTATTGTGTCGTAGTTGGAGCGATTAACGATTTGCAACAGTGATGGATGGTGAAGACTTAGGTATGCGACGAACAGTGAGAAACCTTAGAAGGATAAGAAAGGTTAAGTGTGGCGCTGCAGCTGTTGACTTTATCGATAAAGATTACCCCTGTAGCAACGGGTAGCCACCGAAATTCAGTACGGATTATACATACTTGAATAACCAACCTAACCTACATGCAAACAACGAATCAACACCCAGATTTATTTTAACCTCAAATTTAGGTACCCAGCTAATACTCAAAATAACCATCATTGCTCCAGACATTATGTAGTTGAACAAGACATTGGTTATCACGAGTTTAAAATCAAATCTCCTCATTTATTTAATCGCGCCTTAAGCAGATCAACACCTCTATCTATCAAGCTTTTATAAATAGCCAAGCATAGCTTTAGCTCTAGGTTACATAGGTATGGGGGCGTGTTGATGCCCAAGCCCCTTTTTTCAATCGGTACATACTGACTAACCACCGTTTTATAGTGACCTATTTCACAAACACGAAACATTTATATCATGTTAAATGCAAGTGTACTGTGCTACTAATCGAGGAATGTGAATAAGTTTGTATGTAATATGCTCATGGCTCTCGTAGCTTCCCTTGCGTCGATAACACATGAGATATTGATCTCACTTGCGCCTGTTGTCATAGTTAGCAATATATCCAAAAGCACACATACCACTTGCATGATATACGCAGTCACATACCTTGCGATATCATCTCGATATTGATGCTATGTTCTCCCAGCGTCGAGAACATGCGGCCAGCAATACCCGTCATATTCTTCATCTCTGCACCGACTAGACTTAGAATGGCCATGTCGAGTAAGATACTGACATCTCCACATTCTTCTAGCTCTGCCATTGCTTTTTCGAAATGGCGGACGGACGGGCTGGAGGAATGTATAGCCATTGACACGTGAACCTCACTTGTGGAGATAAGGTCGACGGATATTCTATGGCTGTTAAGAATTGAAAACACTTTGGCGAAAAACCCGTGAGAAATGGAACGTTTGTTCGAGTGTACGTTGATGACAGTGATGTTGTTCTTGATAGAGACTGCAGTGGGTCTCCGAGGATGTTTCCGCAACGAGGAGTCCGAAGGCCGGGATCTCCTGATCTTCTGTGCTGGAGACTGTACTGGATCTGGAACCACGATGGTACCATTTCCACGAGGATTGTTCACATTCTTAATGCGAATTGGTATCGGCGGGTCCGCTTTGATTACCTGATCCATCGTTAGGTGGTGAATGACTTCAGAGCCGTAGAATGTAAGTTCTGCTGCCTCCGACGGGGTAATAGACGCGAGTAGCCTTGCTGTTGGCACTTTGGTGGGATCTGCCGTGAATATGCCGTCTACCTCCTTCCATATCTGCAACTCTTGGGCCTTCACTCCCACCGCGACCAGAGCGGCACATAAGTCAGTATATCCTCGCCCAATGTCTCCATCCATCAAGCTTCCGGGGACATTGCCGAAGAAACCGGTGACTACAGGCACTCTGTCATTGCAGGCTTGTATCCTCTTCCGGAAAATGGCTGCTGCATCTTTGTAAAATGCTAGACTTAATCGGTCGGAACTGTCGTAATGCATAACATCAGAAAGATCCACATACTCTGCGTCAACATGCTATAAATAATTGTCAGTTAAATAAGATATTGCCTCGTCTGGAATCTGAACAAACCCTATCTCTTAACAAGTAGGTCATAAATCTGCAACTCAACTTCTCTCCGAAGCTGACTACTCGATCCTTGGATCTCGCGTTAACTTCCAAGTTGAATCGCTTAGCCGCAATGATATAGTCTATTAATTCCTGGCAGTCCTCTTCTATGTTGGATGATACAGATTTCTGCAGGTCGGGATTCTTTATCCACTTCTGCGCCGCTGAGACATGGTCGATGCAGATTTCTCGTATAACAAGCTTGGCTTTTTCGACGAGCTCGTGCTGTGTGACTTCATTACTCGTCGCTGCTGATATAGCGCGTAAATGCTTGTAAACTTCTAGCAGTCTATATGAATATATCATGTTAGATCAATTGGGGCCAATTGCCCTTTCATAAAGCATTCAATGACTCACCGGCTGGTAGTACCCGTCACCTTCTTGCCAGAGCTTAGAGCAGAGCAAATGACGGCAATTTTATTCGACCTTAAGCTGGCTCTTATCATAGAGTCAGTAGCGTCTCGTAGAGGAACGATGTTGCAATTTCATACCGAACAATTCCTTCAGCAATCTATATTCAAAGCCGGACAATGTCAGTTATACTAGATTGGGCAAGAAAGGGTTGGTGCATCACAAACGCTGTCTGGGAATTTCCCAACACTTGTGCCGCCGAACTTCTGTACTATCCAGCCTTCACTGCTGGTATTGCCCTGGAGTATAGCATCCATGGCCATTGTGAGATATGAATGAATGAATGAAATAAAATTAAGCCTTGGTGTTGGCGAGCTTTTATAGTAAATACAACTGAGTATAAATGATGTAGAAGTATGTGCGTTGATGGCGGGGCAGGTTCAGTGTAACTAAGCTGAGTTACAGTTTGAATATGTTCTTCTAGAATTGGCGATACGAATCGCATATGTTTGCTTCAAATGAAAGAAGAAAGGATGTAATAAAAGGTAGGCAATTGATTGGAAGAATTAGGATATATTTGGCAGGCACTCACTTGCTCTTCGGATTCAGACATGAAAATTGAATTAGTCTATCTTAGAAAGGGGGCCCTGACAGCCCGAATCGGAGGTTCTACGGCGGCGCCACGCCACAATTAGTCGGTAGCGAATGAAAAAATGGTATCCGCTTCGGGTTTCCATACCTTGGTGGAAGCAGCAACCGGCTATTACATGGCTGATGAACACATGCAGTCGGAATCGAATTGCGGGGCATAAAGGCGGGACCCCTATTCCCTTTTCGCTGGTAGTCTGTTTCTCGTGTATGTAATTGAGGTCATAAGTTAGTTACGTGCATTTAAGACTTACCTCGCTTTTCTTATTGTGACTCATTGTTTAATCGGCAAGATGCTGGAGTAGCTTTCGGCTCATCTCGCTATGTAGACTTATAGTCATCTAGGTTAGTATCTTGGATCTGTTCGGCGCCCTCTTATATATAGTATAGGTAGTCATAGCCATATAGTATAGTGAACCATGTCGTATAGCTACCACAATCGTCACTTACAAGACACGGAAGAAAAGTAACCATAGTATAAGAATCCTTCAGAGCGCAACTGGCTGCGCGTGGACACATGTAAATAGCTACGGGTATCATACAAGCCATGCTACACAAGTATTCAGACCTCCTATCCTATCGGAGTACCAAGGCGAATATCCATGCCGCCCCTTATACACCCGGGGCCAAAACCCCTCCTCCTGACCATACATGCATGCATTTTGTCCTTTATGAAATCAAGGACCAACTATACCGGCCCAACCCTCAAAAGCTCTTTTCCGTGCCTCGAAAATGTACGCCCTGTCCGTTACAAAATTACCACTTAAACGACCCTGCCAGGCATATACCCCGAAATCCTCAAACCATGAGGTCCTGGCTGTCTATCGTGTTCGGTCATACCGTCATACCTTCGTGTACGTAGGTCATGTCTTACCCGATCGGGCAAATAGTTAAACAACACCACCGACAACGAATATTAATATATAGTCTCTAACACCCCAGAGACTCGTACTGGTCCTATTGGACGGACTCCTCTAAGTTAAGAGAATGTAGGCTCTGGTCCTGACCTTCCTGGTAGTCGAATTTGTCCATGGGGAAATCCTCTTCTGGAGTCCTAATCCCAATTCCGCTATCGTCGTGGTTCACTGACATGTGAAGGGAGTCTGCCCCGTTGACTTCGAGCTGAGATGGGAAAGGGGCGCGGTCTGGTTGCGGCTGGGAAATATGTGAGATGTCTTGATCATCGCTACTAACACGCGAACCTCGTAGGGTCACGTCGTTACCATCCGCCGGGGGCTTGATCTCGCTGCCAACGGGCGGCTGCGAGTTCTTCGACTTCATGAAACCACCATATTCGGCCAGGAACGAAACCATCTCGTCGAGCCAGCACTTCGTCACCCACCACGCTCCAAAAGAATTGCTCTGCCGCATGGTAAGATCTCGCATGACCTCTAACCCGACACGTTGCACGCACCAAACAATATCCGTCGCCGCGGCGTAGGGGAAACGTTTCTGTAGAGATAATAGGAAGTCGACCCATCGCTCAAGGAAGTGCTCCGAGCTGCCATTAGAAGCATTTGACGACGGTAAGCCTCGTCTGTTGTTGAGTGCTATTTCCCCATAAAGATATTTACACTCTTCACTCCAAGGGACGTTCACGGGGTCGATTAGGTCTCGGATTTCATTAAACAAGAGATCAACTAAATCATCCATTCCTCTAGTTGGGACGCATTCGGCAAGCTTGCGGACCCTAACCCCTGACATCCAATCCAGATACATCTGATCCCTATTCGCAGAAATCGAAAGCATATTTGCCGCAGCATGAGCTGTGAGGTTAACTCGTAGAGTGCGGTCAAGCAGGCCTGCAAATATAGTAGCAGGGGCCTCCTTGGCCTGGACTACGTGTCTCGGCTGTCCATGAAAAGACTCGCGAATGTGGGAGACTAATTGCTGGGATATTTTCTCGAACGCGTTCAGTACGGGCTGGGGGATGGCTTGTAGAACGAGGCTGTAGATGATCTGGATCATGCGTTGGTAAAGCACATAATCACACTCCTCTATCCACGGCGCGATACTAGGGTGAGAGAAGAGTTTCTGTACGGGCATGGTGAGTGTGCCCTGAAAAGAGGTATAGAGGTGAAAGAAGGCCTTCTCCTTGCAATAGCGAATACACTCCACTAAGGATGTGCAATGAGACCGGTAGAGAGCAGTCAGAGACATTGCCGCATCTGGATCCGTTCCATTGGGTAAGAACGGCTCGATCTTAGGTAGAACGAGAGCCTCGGCTGATTTGGAAGGATGCTCGGGCTCTATGAATGCTAAGCGTATAATAGTTTTAGAGTTAGATGAGTGTAACTGATCGAGATGCTTGACTTCGCATTGGTTATACAAGCTGTGAGTTCGGGAGATTGCCGATCGTGAGCCAGCCGGGGTATCAGATTGCTGGACAAGCGTAGGTGACGGAAGAGCTGAATGTTGTACGTCCAATACAGGGGATTGGGACTGCGCGACACTGTTGGGCATGAGAACAGGCCTTGCAAACGAGTTAGTAGCGGGTGACACAGACCTCAAAGAACGCGCAAAAGGGGCCGGTTCCGGGAAGGGAATCGCGGGCTGGATAGAGGGTTCTCTGGACTTGGGCTGATCACCCAGCAAAGTGAAATCGACATAGTGGTATTTTGATTCTCCACGGACGCCGAGTCTTCGAGTTTTAAGACCAGGAAAAAGGACTCGAACAAGCTTCCCAAAACTAGCAGGATTCAAGACAGTTATTCTCTCCGTCGCACAGCGGGATGCATAGTTGGCATAAACACGGCCTCGAGGTACGGAACCTCTACCCTTCGCACAAACCCCATTGATCCTATACGGAGTCAGATCCTATCCCATTTATACTGGAAAACAAAACTTTTCTCGATTCTTGATTAACTTACCAGAGCATAGCGAAGATCTGGCGAGCGCGCTCGGAATTAGGTCCACGCTCGTTACCATGAAGCTCCTTTGCTACATCCGCGAGAGTACGGCTCTTATTAGCCTGAAATAGCTGGCGCATCTCAAGCTCATTGTTCGCACTAGTGCGGCTTGAAGGAGGTTTCGAGCCTCGCGGTCGTCCAGCAAGCGAGTCAACCTCGTCGGCCTCGTCACGGTCCATCATCTGGCTATCGGCGTCTGTGAAACTCGCATTTCCGGCAAAGGTCTCGGCTGATACAGCAGGATGCAGGTTGGGATGTTGAGCGTACGGCATACCAAGCCCGACGGCAGAGTGCATACTCGAACCCATCGCGAACGACTGGCCGACCGGCATCTGGGAGGCAGGACGAAGCATCATGTCTCCGGCTGGCATGGGTTGAACTGCCGATGACATATCTCTCGGGGGGACGTGATCGTTCGAAACCCACTGGTCCGTAAAAGCGCTATGGTGCGCCATTAAGGCCTGCTGATCGAGGGTTGGTTGCGTCGCGACGCTATGGATTGAGGCGGTCGAAGCCCTCGATATAGTCCTCTGTCTCTGGTTATGCTGCGACATTGCGCCGACTTCAAGAGGCCGAGAGTCTATATGATAATTAGATGACATAATAAGAAACAGTCATGCATTGAATTGATGTGAGATCATAATGAACACTCGGCCATGTTTCGCGGGCTTCGATAGTAAGAATGGCTTACCAGTCTCCATGTGCTTAGGGTTGTTTACCCCGAACAGTAAGATGCGACCACAATATAAACACAGGCAAAGAAGCGGCGAGTAGCGAAGAAAAGAAACGCGCCACGAGGCGATTAAAGAAAGAATACAGAATAAAGATAAAGTAAAAGCACTACTCGAGATTAGTGCATGCAGTAGAATGTTGAGTATCGCGATGCTGCATCAGTCCGAGCGACAAGCCCTTGACGATTCTGTTGGATGAGAGGCAGAAAATGGCGGAGACGACTAGCCAAACAACAAGAAAACTCTCGTCGGGGCAACGGTGGATTGCTGAACCGTGGATGGCTGGAAATTGAGCGTGGATGTAATCCGTATTACCTAAGCTATAGTTACGGAAGGTTACTTATTTGTGGCTGGTAAATACCTTTTAAAGAGCAGGGGTTGTAACTTACATAGATTATAGGTAGGTACTCGGAAGCTACACTAGTGCTCAAGCTTTGGCCTATGTATGGAAGCCGCGCTAAATTTGACCTATCACGTGTCAGTAACAACAAAGTTTTTATTTACATAACTACCCGCACTTTCTCCAGTAGGATTCAATAGAGGTATTCCAGGCCTTAGGGTACTTTAGGTAGGTACTGTCCTTTGCACAGACTTAGTACCTAGGTACCTACCTACCTACCTCCTAAGCAGTATCATTAATCTGAATCTGCAGCTTCGTACAAATGAAGCACTACTATAAATGAAGACATTAGATATTTCACGTTGCATACCTACTCACACAACTGGGTATGTGTTAGTACCTTAGGTATTTAATTTACTTAATTTCGTTCACGATCACTATGTATCTGCTTGGTGTAATCACCGGGCGGGGTATGCAAAATACCTCCGTAAGATACATATCTGGATATGCATATACCTATAAGACATGTTCCACGTAGAATTTAGCGCAGAAGGTACGTGTATAAGGTATGTAGGTAGCTTACATACTATGACGAGGTACCTAACATAAGACCTAGCCCGGGCGGATATGGTCCTTAATCCAACGAATTAGCTATTACGGTAAATTGATTTCTCAGTCGTGGCTGGCTGGCCTTCCGTCATCGTCTCCTTCGCATCCTACCCGCTACGTAATTTTGTTGCTCCCCTTTCCCACAATCCGGCATCCGATTTCTTACAATACCATCATCATTATTCAGCTCATCAACAGCCTATAAAAGCATAAGTAGTCGTGTTTAGCTCACTGCCTACCTACCTACCTAATAACAACATCGTGCGATACCTCTTTTCTTGCATACTAGCATACCAGCAATACCTACCAACAAATCAAACTTCCTTGCCGTAAGTCCGGCAGTCTCCGGATCCCACATCCCTAGCCGCCTTGTCCCATTCCTACGTGTACATATTAAGCAAGGTGGCTTTTCGCTAACCCTAAAACATTTAGCACAGCTACTTTGCTTTGACATCAGCTGCAGCTTCTTTTCCCCGCCTCTGCGCAACCATATTGCCTTTTATCAACTTTCAAGTCCACAGACCTTTTTTTTTTTTTCCCTTCTGAACCCTTTACAGCTCTACGAATAAATCATAGAAAAAATGTCTGCGCAAGATCGTGTTCAGCATTATATATCCCAGCTCGACCGTGAGGTACGTCATATCGTATATCATATATCGTATACCTTATTCATATATCCTATACCCTGGCCTGTTGGGCTATTTCGATATCGGCCGGGTCGCGTGCTCCTGAAGACTAACGAGAACATAGCTCTCCAAATACCCTGCTCTCAGCAACCTCGAAAAGCAGTTCGGAGTTCCTAAGGTTTATGCTGTTCTCGGCGTAGGCTCCCTCTACTTATTCTTCATCATTTTCAACCTTGGCGGTCAACTCCTGACCAACTTCGCCGGCTTCGTGGTCCCCGGATACTACTCCCTGGCAGCCCTATTTAGTTCCACCAAGGCAGATGACACTCAGTGGCTAACCGTACGTTCCATTATTGATCCGGACTAGATTTTTTCTCAGCTAATTTCCTTCAGTACTGGGTTGTCTTCGCCCTCTTCTCGTAAGCGAATAACTACCTACGCGGCCCTCCCATGTCGTCCTACGTCGCTAATTTATATTGCAGCGTTATTGAGAGCGCCGTCAGCGTTGTCTACTGGTTCCCCTTCTACTATACCTTCAAGTTTGTCTTCTTGCTTTGGCTTTCGCTGCCCATGTTCAGGTTCGTATTTTATTGCATAGCTTTCAACTATCTCTATTTCATCAGACTGACGATATGTAGCGGCGCCCAACTCATCTTCCGATCTTTCTTGCACCCAATGCTTGGACGACACTTTTCCGAGTCTGGTTCAACTGCTGCCAACTTGCGCGCCAAGGCCGACTCTTTTGGCAAGGACCAGTAAACTAGCTTGTTTGATCGGGCCGCCACTATGAGCATGGACAAGCAGAGCAATCCACACATGCTCTAGTGGATACAAATTCGTCAAGTTGACATAACTACTGGCAACTCGTCAGTGACAGTCCATGACCAGGGTTTCCCACCCTAAAGAAGAATGGAAGAACTATAGTTGTGATGCAGTTGGGAAAGGATCTCTATCATGTTGGAGGATGCTATGTCCTTTCCTAGAAATTGTTTCCTTGGACGATTATAGAACTTAGTGGGTTGGTGCGTATAGAGGTTCACCCGTAAATGATATTGCATTTTACCACATTCTTAAATGTCCAACTCGATATCAAATGCCTAGGTTACGACATACGAAATCTTGTAGTCGATCTTGCAGTATGTGTGCATGCACGTCTAATCATAACGTGGTAGGGCAATTTAGGGACTTAATATTCCTAGCAAGTAGGAATACACTGTTGGATTACCCGAGACTTAATGATATCAATAGTCATATTTCGGACTCTAGAGCGTTTACGTAGACATTCGTCAAGAGATAATGCATAGCGGCCTTATAAATATAGTATATGATGCGACGACTTGGTTATTGAATGCTGCTAGCTTTTGTTAGTAAATATCCGCGCTGGTTCGTCTTGACGTCGATATTTCGTAGCACAGGGTTCAGACATGCCGATTTTTTCCGCAAGCTCAACCACTGCGCGACTATCGTAACGACAGATTACACATTTTGTTGGCTGAACACTATTGGATTACCAGGCTCAAAAGAGGTCATCAGAGCTAATGTAGGACACGGTAAGGAAATCTGCAAGGCTTACGTACAATATCAGACAGCCCTGGAGTAACCTGCGCTTATAGATTATAGAAGTCGGCTGAGGTATCTATAGAAATTTCTAGGTATGGTTATCGACTGTCCAAGCTTGTTTCAGGTCATCATCGCATCATGGTAGCCAGCAGTTAAGGGCCCTCGTGATGATGGTTTTAAACAAGGGATACACAATGAAGGTAGTTACTCTCGACACACACATCGGAGTCGTCAGCAGCGTGGAAATCAAATTGGCAAGCTGGCGATGATTTGAGTTGGTGGTCTTTTAAATGTTGAAAAAAGAGGAAAAAGAAACAAAAGTCACCAGACAAAAAGTTAAAAACTTAACATGCCGATTTTTTTTCAAAAAAGCTCCACTCGCATCGCTCCACCAAATTAATTAGGTACCGTATGTACCTAATGTAGAAGGCAAGAGCGAGCAGAGCTTGCTGTTGTGACCACCTGGCAGTCGGCTGGCTAAATCAAGCCGCCTCAGCAATGAGCAAGAGCGACAAAGTAACAAAAGGGAGCTAGACCCAATTTATCATACGCCATAGGAACGCTGGAAAAAGTTGGAACTTTGAAACTTTCTTCCCCACGAATGAGCTTGCCGAATAACTTCAAGTTAATATACAATAACTACCTATACCAAAGAATCTCGTTACTCTTCTCGATACCTACCTATTCACTTTGCCAAAGAATACCATACAGCAGTACCGACTATACTTCGAAAATCCTTCCACCCCTACCTCATCCACAATTCTAAGATCATCACTTGCGTCTTCTCACATCGTTAGATCTACATACTTGAACAGCCCACCATCTCCCACCTTACATTTTCCACCTCCCACCCGCACGTGGCGTATCATATTGGCGAAGTTTCCCAGCAGTATCGTTACAAAGAGCATAGTTCGACCAACTTTTGAATTGTAGACGGTGTATTGGTGGTACTGGGGAGTTTCAACATACTCGTCCTACTGGGAGCGACCGACGTACGTGCTAGCAGTTCAACATGGATAGACAGGAATCGATATGGACTCGTCGTAACAAGTGAGTCCGACCTTGTCCGTGTCGAGATTTCCGCTTCGTCTCAAGTACTAACCGCTTCTACTCCTGTAGTGTTACCAACCTCTCTCTGTCCACGCCGAGTCAGCCCGATAATTCCACAACCCCGCGGGACTTCTCGAGTCTAGCACGTCGAAATGGCACCACTTCGTCTCACGGCCGCTCGAACGCCTTTGGCGCGACGACTCCCGGTAGCACCCTGGCCTCTCCTACCAGCGCCGGAGGGGCTAATCAGTTTGGCCTCGGATCCGGCGCATTCGCATCGTTCGGTTCGGCCAAGACTCCCAAGTCTCAAGGAAATCCCTTCGAGCAAGCCATGGGTGCAGTCGGCGCCAAGACCCCCTCATCCGAAAAGACGGCAAAGGAAGCTATACGATCCACCGCCGGCAAACCTTCCATGGGCTCCATTTCGGAGACGAACACTCAGCAGGGGTCCGCGGCATCGACACACCCTCTCCGCGACACGTGGGTCTTCTGGTACAGGCCGCCTATTACTAAGGCCAACGGCTATATCGAATATGACAAGACGTTACATGCCATGATGTCAGTTAAGACTGTGGAGGAATTTTGGCTGGCCTATTCACACTTGAAGCGGCCCTCGTCGTTACCCACAGTATCAGACTACCATTTCTTCAAGAAGGGTATCCGTCCAATATGGGAAGACGACGAAAACAAGCTCGGCGGAAAGTGGGTTTTGCGACTGAAGAAAGGTGTCGCCGATCGGTACTATGAAGATCTACTGATGGCCTGTGTTGGCGACCAATTTGGAGACGAGGCCGATGAGCTCTGCGGCGTTGTGCTTAGTATGCGCAACGGAGAGGACGTGCTGAGTATTTGGACTCGTAGCACTGGACAGAAAGTTCTCAAGATCCGGTATGTCTATTCACTATAGCTCTCGTTAGGTCCTTTTTACTTACGATTATCAGCGAGACGATGCGACGCGTGCTAAACTGTCCACTCGACACTCGGATCGAGTTCAAGAGCCACGATGCTAGCATGCAGCAACGTTCTGCTATTGACGAGATGCGCCGCGAGAAGGCGGCGCAGAACCACCACAGCGATAAGCGAACCCATAACAACAATAACAAAAACCGGCAGTTACAAGACGAGCAGCAGCGATCGTAGCGGGACCAGGAAAGATTTCGGGCTCTGTCCACCATGAGGTGGCTCTTCAATTCAATATTCGCATTTGCATGCATGGTTTTTCCCGCGCAGGATCATTACGGTGAGGACGGCCCCGACTAGAAAAACCAGCGGTGAATTGTATTAGGGTAGAAGCGTTCTGATCAATGCGAAAACAGGCCATTTTTGTTTATTGGGATATGCTGCTTGTTGCTGCCTGCTGGGGTTTCGTCTCGTCTCAAACGTCTCGTCTCCTCACTCAACGACGCCCTGTGTTTGCTTGCTAGCCATGACACGAGAGAACAAAAAAACCCTCCCAAGTGGCTCCTTCTACCCACCCTCCTCATCCCAAGAGCCGGGTCTAGGACTAATGTGTAACTAAAATTTTCAGATGCCGATTACGTCTGTATGTATGTGTGTGTATATGTTGTATGTGTACATTACGGAAGGGGGGATGTCATACGATTATGATAAGTTCTTACGGCATATTTGGTTTCTTTTTTGTGTGTATGTGTGGTTGAATGTGTCTGACGGGAAAAAACGAAACGAAATAACACATGCCCTCGTGGTTGGTAAGGACAAGCTCCACGAGCTAGGCTATGATTCCACGCCTTGATGTATTGTATAGGTAGCTGTATTAAAATTCAGATGCTCCCTGGGGGCTGGCGGTGGTCTAGTTATAATATGATGAATAGGTACCCAAGGAAGCTAGCTAGGTTAGGAATTTAGGAATTAAGAGTCTTTCAGGTGTGCAGATTGTATTTCTTGAACGAGGGTAGAGACGCTGGAGGATTGTGGTGTGTATGTGCTCATGTAGTATAAAAAATGAGACAGTCCGTTAGTGGGCTTGGTAAGTGTTAGTTGTATAGGAGGAGGAACTCGCTTAGGATCGGACATTGCTTCCTAAAGGTAAGACACGCGTTGTATGGATTGGGTACTTCTATAGGTGCGAACCTAACGGGGACACTTGGACACTTGGACACTCTGACACTTAGCCCGCGAGGTCCTTCGAACTGGAGTATAACGTAATACTGGCTTAGCTATTGGGTACATTGCGGGAGACATCCACCCCGGTGTGAGTCGTTTCACTGTGTTCAAAAGGAGACATATGTCCTACCGACTAGGTTATAGTCTGATCCTCAAGTATATATAGGTACCTTATATAGGTACCTATACTCATTTCTCCTGAGAACCCCTAAAACGGGAAACTCTACGGCCCAAGGGAATAAATCGAAGAGATTCTCTACCCGACCCCCTTTCTACATTTAAATACCGATGAACATATATGGACTACACTAGGTTAGTTACCTACCACGAGGACTCGTGTACTAAACTATGTACTTTTCTTAGTTAACCGTCTTTTCTACCTCAAAGGAACCAACATGGAAATACAGGAGAGGGAGACATAATTAAGGGGGGGGTATACATGTTCCCTCCTTTAATCTTCAGGTAACATTAATTATCACATATACCTGTGTAAGCCCCTGTTATGAGCCCTGTTATGAGCCCTGTTATGAGCTCTTAAAACCTAGGGGCAAGAAATTACGAGCAAAGCAACTCAATTAGAAGCCTAAGCACTATGGCAATTGTTCTATCAAGCAACTAGAACTACAATGCAAAGTCGAATCAACGAATGCTACTCATGATCAAGACACAAAGACATAAGAAAACAATAACAATCAATCATAATCACAAAAGCCATTCGCCACAAACATCACGTCACGTCACCGAAGAGAAGGAAAGAAATACATTGAAATCGAAATCAGTTCGTTCCATGTCATTAATTTTGACCTTGTCCTGTGAACTCAAAACCAGCCAGCCGTCCGTCCAGAATCCCCCTGCCAAACCGGATCTGGCAAAAATCCCCGCCAACGAGATTTTGCAATCTCAAACACAAAATATACAGTAGATGTTGGCTTTTCCTTTCACGTTGCAAGAAAAGCAAAGCTTGTATGGTGCGTCCGCCGTTGCTTCTGGCAGCGCGATGGAGTGCAATACAGCAGTAACTCCCCCCTTACCTAGGCCATGCATAAACCCCTGAACGGGAGATTCCTCTTCTCCCACACATTGGTATCATAACGCCACTCCTCTCAATGTGAATGTGTTGTGCTGAATTCAAACCCAAAATCACAAGGCATATGCTGGTAGAAGTGCCCATTGCTTGACATTCTTCTTCGCGCCCGGGACACTAACACGGTGGGCAACTTTGTCCAATGTTACTTTCACCTGTGCCTTCGTACAGCTGGGGAACTTCTTTGCCAACATCTCTATAATCGTTCCCTTGGTAAACTCTTTGAGCTCATCGCTGATGATAGCTTGCCTGAACTCATCAAAGACGTCCTTCGGAACTGCGTTTTGGTTCTCTGATGCCGGGAGAGAATTGCTTGTACCCGAAGTAAGCGCCGAAGCGCTTGTGGGTACGTCGGGCGGAGGCATAGATGTCGAAGCGGCAGTCGTAGATGTAACTGTGCTCTTCGCTGTGACTTTCTTTGCAGGAGCTGGCCAGTAGGAAGTTGAGAAGGGATCAATTCCTGAGTGGTAGTCAAGTGTATCTGTAACTTCGTTAGTTTAAGATATCAAGTCGTTAATCTGACTGAACTCACCAAGTAGGAACTCGAGTTGATACTTATATGTGGTGGGGCAAGGGCCCGATCTCGTTTGATCCTCAAAGCAAATACCAGTACTGACCGGCTCTTTTTCGCCAAGGAAAGTTGGTCGGGTTGTAGTAGGTTGGTCCTCAGAATCGTCAAGGAAGTCCTCCATTTCTCCATCGCCATCATGAGAATCGTCATCGTCATCTTCATCGTCTAGGTCTTCACCGTCGTCTTCCACCCATTCTGCTTCAGAATCATAGTCGTAATTCAGTGGGAGGACTTTTCCAACGGGTCTACGGGATATGAAGCGGAGTTTCGTAGCTTCGATAGGCGTAGTGACAGTTCCGAAATACGGTGGTCTGACGTCTTCATAGAAAGATAGGTATTTCGTTTTGATAGCGTTGAGTTGTTCTTGAGCGTTTTCAGCTAGTTTTTTGGTCTGTGACTCTGTTGTTGTACCTGCCTGCTCAGTCTCGCTGTGCACACTCTCCATGATGCTCTTTACGCTCGGCGGGATAATACCACGCTTCCTCGTGAATGCCAAGTTGAAGGTTTCTGCTGGATTGAACGGCTTGGGGTTAAATTCGCCTCGCTCGCCGCGAATGTACTGGTCCAGAATTCTAGATTTGGCATCTTTGGTCTCATCGTCCAATTCAAACGGCTGTGGAGCTAGCATGACGTCGGGTTTAACGAAGAAGGGCTGGAATACTCGGTCGTACGCCGACTTCTCCGACTTGGATTTAGCTTTCGGTGAACCAGCAGCGGCATCGGATTCCGCAGAAGGCTTCGTGGTTTGCTCGGTAGCCTTCTTCTGGGGTGCATTGAGAGCTCGCTGGATGAAAACCGCTAGCATGCTTTGCTGTCGCCCTTTTGCTTCTTCCTTTTTGCGCTTGGCGGCTTCCTTAGCGGCATCTCTTTTCTCCTTCTCAGCTAGCTTCGCTGCTTTAGCCGCCTCGTCAGCAGCCTTCTTCTTGGCCCTTTCAGCAGCCTCGGCCTCCTTCTTCTGACGTTTCTCAGCCGCCTCGGCTTCTTTCTTGGCCTTCTCGGCCGCCTTCGCCTCTTTCGCTTGCCGCTTCTCCTCAGCCTCCTTTTCTTTCTTAGCTTTCTCAGCATCTTTAGCCTCTTCCTTTTCAAGCTTTTCTGATGCTTTGGCCCCTAATTTCTGTCGCTTAGTGGCGTTGAGCTTCTCCTCGATAGTTGACGGCTTTCGTTTGGCTCCTTGAGCTTTTTGAGTTGTAGGCGCGGAAAGAAAAGCTGTCTGTGTGGGCTGAGAGGCTGTGCTGCCCGATGCTGAGGGAGATGACAAGGGTGTCTTATTCGGTGAGAGTGATTTCCTCATTGCTGGACTAGATCCGGCTTCAGTTAAAGCCGCGGGGCTACTTCCTGGGGTTGCATCCATTGTCGCCATTGATGTAGGCAACTCTATAACATAGGCATTAGCAACTATAGACGCCAGGCATGGAACAAAAGAAAATACAATACTTACGCGGAGGGTTGATAGCAGGGACAGACATTTCAGCAGATTTCAGTTTTCCTAGGTTCTCTGTAAGAGAAGGCTCTCCGATGGCGAGCTGGCTAGGGGTGCCAACAAAGTCCTCGTGGGTTCTTTTCCTGGGTGTTGTTGGTGACTCCTGGATATTTGGTGATATCGAAAATAGAGGCATTGAGGTAATTGATTAAGGGTGGGCTCCCTAGCGCATTACAGGATAAAGGCAATAAACTAGCAATCAATCTAAGATCAGGATGATTATAGAATGAAGACTGGCGAGGTTTACATCCAATAAAGGGTGGCAGGCAAATATAGACAGTCAAACTCAGCAAGTCTCTTTTGGAGACAGTGATATGTAGTAGTATGAGGCTTCACCAAATTGTCTTGGTTAGAAGGCAATTGGTGAAGGAGTGGTTGAGTTGAGCGATTGCCCAGGATTAGATGGTGGATCAAAGAACGCGCTTGAACGCGAAAACTAGGTACCTAAGGAAGGAAGCGCGTCGAGACTGGCAAATTGAATTACTCCATCAAGGCTAGCGTTTATAGAGTGTGGAGTAAATGCCATGTTAGCGTATCTGACTTGGACCGTGCCTGTTATCGGATATATAGGTGGACCGTGCTCTCTGTCGTACAGGTACTTTCAGAACATAGAAAACTGCTGTAATTTCAATGTACCTTCTTGATCTATCGAGCCTTCTTATTGAGGTATGTATTGAGCACGGGCGCACAGACCCTTTGGCATTCTAAGTGGTGGGGTAGCGGCTGAAAGAAACTGTTTGCTACCTAACCATGGAAATTACATATTGTTTCCCGATTGGACTCTTTCTTCGTTTGCCCTGAAATTCTGCCGCCCTTGCTTTGTTTGCCTTGTTTCCGCCCCACTCACCGCCCTCAGAAATTGTATAAATGTATGGCCATTCTCCCCAGCTCTTGGGATTCTTTTCCTTTTCTTCTTCATACTTACCTTGTTCCAAGAACCTTCGCTCAAGCATGAGGGTTCTTAAGGGGAGACGCCTGCATTGCACAGCGCGGAGCTGACCCTCTTCTATTATCCCTCGTGGATCGTAGGGAGCGCAATTTTTGCTTTTCGTATATCTTTTCATCATGATCGGTGCCTTGAGCAGCGACGTGAGGAAGAGAAGTTATGAGATATAAACATTATACATTAGTAACCTATCTCGAAGCGTTATTGAGAGTAGTTGGTCATTTGGATGAGGTGTTACATGTACGACTTGGATGAACGGTTTGGATTAGGCGTATTTCTTAAGCCATTCATCTTATGCTTCGCATCTATCCATCCAACAAATGTACAATGTCTTTATTTGTATATAGCAACATGTAACATAGGTATCTAGATAGCATAACTCCCTATGTAGGTGGTAACCAACTATATATATCCTATATTCAGTCCATCTCCAAAATATCTCCAAAAATCCTCGAATCGCAAGTCTGCTCTTCTAGGTTAGGTAGGTACCTATGATATCGTTTCTTATCGATAAGGATGCAGCTGGCCACAAATTCAGGCGGGCCGATCCATAAATCTACTCAATTAATCTTGTATCCGAATTTTCGGCATCGCGAGAAGCCTCACTCATTTAACCCCGCGAGAGAGCGAACGACTACAACCGCCTTCCACCCCGCCGAAACACCAATTGCGACCAGCCTGACGCCAAAACAGGGCCAATTGGGCAGGGGATCTACGCTTGGGGAAGGCAGATAGGAAGAGAAGCATGAAGATACGTTGAGCCCTAGCACGACTCGGAATACATACAGCTCTCGTCGCTAGTAACTCCAACTCGGTCGGTCGTCCTCCTCACATACACACACACGATGCGGTCTTTCGCTCTAGCCGCTCTGCCACGAGCTCGTGGCGCCAGTAAAATAGCCATATCTTCAACGACGGCATCCATACAATCGCTAGCTACACGAAGGTCCGTACCGCCCACCACTCACTCCCACTCTTTCCACCAAACCAATCACCAAACATACCTCCCTCCCTCCCTACCTGCATATCCTTAGAATTCTCTAACCCTCCCTAGAACATTCTCCTCCCTCCCCACCCTCCGCCCCACCCTCCACGCCTCCCCAGGATCCGTCTTCCGCACTCCCAACCGCCTCCCCCTCCAACCCTTTGGCCCCCCAACCGCCGCCGCCGCCGCCGCCGGAGCAACAGCCGACCTCGTGCCCAAGACTTCCCTGACCACGCACCCCTGGCTCTCCGGCGCAGCCCAGGTGCGCTTCGGCCCGCGGCCGACGATGGCGCGGACCAGTCGCTTGGTGCGCAAGCGGCGTCACGGGTTCCTCAGCCGCGTGCGCTCGCATAACGGGCGCAAGACGCTGCAGAGGCGCAGGGAGAAGAAGAGGTCTACGCTGTCGAACTAGGTTGTCTGTGTTTTCTCCTTGGGCCTCGCCTCGCCTCGCTAGGTTTTGGGGTCTATGGATCTGGACACATATGGGACTGCGTACGGATCAGGTGAGGGGTTTCTATGAGGACTAGTGTACATGACAGGGTGCTAGGCTACCTGGGTCATGAGTGGGAGCTGGCTCGGTGTCCTCGTTGGGGATTGTGTAGCAGAGGGGAGGGCAAAGGGTGTACTGTATACTACATATAGAACTGTATATTCCAGGAACCATCTCTAGAGACCTCAAGATCCAACTGGTCAAAGCAGTCTTTAATCTACATGTGTCTTAAGCATTTCGTAACCAGCCTCTTCCCAGATCTATTACAAGAGGTATGCCACTTTAACTTCCAATCCCAAGTCTATGATAGCTTTCAAGAGAGTGAGTGATATATATCTCCAATATACGAAGGCTCAGAAGTGATAGCTAAAAGGGTCATTTAGGTGTATACAGGCCATTCATTCGTAACAATACTGCGAAATTCCACGCAGAGCCATATTTATAGCTCTATCAACACCCCTTCCATATCCCATCCATCTCCCCGCCAATCCATCATTCCCATTCCCATTCCCATTCCCAAACCTATCTCTACCATCACCGACCCATTCCCCAGACGCAAATCTCCCACCCCCTAAACGGGACTCTGAGCGCCTGTCTCGCATTCCAGGCTATCCGAGTAACACACCACCGGCAAAGCATCGCTCGCCTCGCCGACCCAGATCTTGTACCTCCCATCCGGCTTCGGCACAACCCAGTTCTGTCGCACCGTATCCCAGACACTTACATCCTTGCGCGAGAGGCTCAGCTCCAGAGTCTCGCTCTGCCCGGGCGCAAGCGCTGTTCCCGTCTTCGCGAAGTCGCGGAGTTGGATGACGGGGGTGTCGACGCCCGCGTCCTCGGGGAACTGGACGTATGCCTGCGCGACGGCTTTTCCAGCCGTTGTGCCCTCCTTGGCGGTATTTGTCACAGTGACTTTGATCGTGTACGCGACGTCCCAGATTGCAGGGTTTCCGCCGCTGGGGCCGCCTGCGGGCGGAACGTCTTCCTTCTGCGTGCCTGAGTAACCTACTGGGTATGGGTACTTCTTGTCGCCGGCCACGCCAATCTTATACGCGGCGTCGGCGTCGCCGTTAGATAACCATGGGTAGAGGTATCGCCAGATGCGGTTGAAGCCGTCTGGGAAGTACGCTTCGGACGCAGCGGAGATGGTAGTGTTTAGGCTGGCGACGGGTGATGCGGGCTTTGAGGGACGAGCCGGTGGAACTTCGGACAGCTCTGTCACGCGGGTTATGGTAGCGTTAGAGAAACTGAAGGACGCATAGCTTAAGCCGTGGCCGAAGGCAAAGCGCGGCTTGATGTTCTGCTTGTTTAGATACCGGTAGTCGATGTACAGGCCTTCCGAGTAAGTATCCTGCGTCTGGCTAAGAGGCGTGGCAACTAGGTCAAGACTATCGGGGTAGTCGTCCTCGGAGACGGGAATACTGTACGGTAGGTGTCCGCTGGGTGATGCCTCGCCATATATGATCTCAGTTAACGAGTCGCCGGCTTCCTGCCCGGGAAGATGGGCAACGAGGACAGCCTTGACAGAAGGGAGATCAATCCAAGGTTCCATAACGATAGGGCCAACAGTGTGGACAACGACGACAACGTTGCTGTATTTCGCGGCTGCTTTCTGGACAAGCGCATCACCACTGTGCCAGGCCTTCAAACCGGATCCGTCGCGGTCACCGTGGTTGTTCTCAACAGTATATGAATTCTCTCCGGAATCGGATGTAATGAACACAAAAGCAACATCGTCTTCGGTAGGTGCTGGGACGGACGGGAAGCTATCCGTAGCGTAGTATGTTACGTTGGTTGCTTTTCGCTTAAACGAGCTAATTGGGTCGTCTATATAAGGGTAATTCGCGGATCCCGAACCCCATCCCATACCGAGCAAGCCTCGGTTGCAGCTCTTGTCTGTACACGAGTTGATACCTTGAGGATCAGCTTGAGCATCGGTGCCAAATACGAAGAGGGGCGCTGAAGTTGACAGTGGAAGAAAGCTGCCGTTATTCTTCAATAGCGTGATCGCCTCTTGAGCCACTTGCTTAGCAACAACTTTGTGATCGGCCTGAACATTGACATATTCGTTAACGACACCCACCGGGGAAAAGAGTGCACCTGGATAGAGTGGTCCTTCGCGATCCGCCGTGTTCGAGGAAAAGTTAGGAGGTGGATAGTCCTTATCTTGGCCAACCTGATACCACGTAGCGACAACACGGGTAGCCATATCGTTTAGTCGGTCGACGGGTACAGAACCATTTAATACCGATCGTGTAAGTTCGTACATCCAGTTAGAATAGCCAATCAGCGGTAGATTGTTACCAATTGTATCTCCGGGCATGGACATATCGAGACCAGCGAGAGCGGACGCTACCCCTGAAATCTGCGCAAGCCAATCGGTCATGACAAGGCCTTGGAAGCCCAGTTCATCTTTCAGGAGGCCATTCAGAATATAGCTGTTCTGAGAAGCAGCAGATCCATTGATCTATAGCTTGATTAACAAGGCCCGCCCGAATCAAGGTACGATCGTAAGCTAACATACCGCATTATAAGAGGCCATTATTGAGCCGACCCCAGCCTTCACGCCATTTGCGAATGGCCAGAGGTATAGCTCGTGCATTGCTCGGTCATCTACAGCCCAATCAGTTTCTAAAACTAACAAGTAATACTTTGCCATGTACACCTACCAATATTGGAACTGTATGCTTGCTGTACTGGGTTGTACATGCGGTAAAGCTCCTGCTCATTTCCGATCAAATGCTTTAGCGTAGCGACGACTCCTTGTTCTTGTACACCTTTGATCGTCTGGGCCGCGGAAATAGCTTGAAGAACGGGATCGGATCCAAAGCCCTCCCAGTTTCTTCCACCCCTCGGCTTCCTTCCTAGGGCTCCAACACTTGGTCCCAAGTAGAAGTTGGCTCCCTTACCCCTGAATTCCTCACCCATGGCAACACCTCTTTCATATATTAGATCCTTGTTAAATGTTGCCCCGGTACTGATACCAGCAGGAAAAGCAGTGACGTTGTCTGTCGTGCGCACGCCCAGAGGACCATCCTGTAAGCACAGCTCTGGAAATCCCAACCGTGGTACACTGCCAGTATTTCCAACACAACGGCCTGAAGTCGTATGTTAGTATTTAAAATATCATTTTGGATAGTTATGATTAGTTAGCTATCATACCCTAAACTATAGTTAGCAAGAGGCTTCCGTATAAGTTGTGCAAGTAATCTACCATATAAAGACCAGTACCAGCAGTTATATTAACTTTCTCAGCCAGTGTCATCTGCGACACTAATTTGATTGCTTTTTCGTAGCTCTCGGACCAGTCATCGGCCCAACCGCCGTAAGGGGTCGGGTAATACGGGGCGGCGACAAAGCCCTCCGGGACGGGATCCCGAGGGAGTAATACGGAGGCTGACGCCGTGCTCGCGAGTAAACATAACGAAAGGCTTCGGAGTCCTGAAGGGCGCCCCATGTTGAAGATTACTATTATAATTATGCTCAAAAGGATAGGGTAACACGGATTTCCCTAGGTAATTAAGCGTATATATTTGCAGCACTTTAAAAGTGCATCGTAGACTGGTGAGCACGCGAGCTGTGTGGCTGGGCAGTAGGGCAACACTATTCACTATTGTCACACTCGTGATTGGCGATTGCCTTAGATAAATATATGAATGACGGACAGGATGATCCAGGGACAGGGGCACGGGGCACGGGAAGCTTGCATCTTCGACGATCGAAGCCACTCATCCCACTTGCCCAGATTGCCTACCTATCTTGCACAAAATATGGTTCTACTTGCTATACAATACATGCAGCTCGGTTTCCGGGTTCGATCCGAGCGGTGTTTTCCTCATATTCGTCACTATGCAGAACCAGAACCAAGATCTCGGATGATGCCAGCATACCTGGCATACCTATGTAGAACATGATTACCCGGCATTCAGTTCGACAACTAGAATAAACGGGGTAGGAGTGGGTTAGACCAAGGAACAATCTCCGTATTTTGCCATGCTTACGGGCTTTGAGATTTGGATCGCCAGCTTGGTAAATGCTAAATCAAGACATTCGCACTCCGACAACCATCCTTCAGCATCTGATCCGATGATGCGAAGTAGATACATAGGTACCTAATCTTGGCAGAGTGAAGTTGCAAGCTGACCTTGTCGGGCGGTCTTGTGACGTGTTGAGAAGCTGTAAGGTTACAACGCCATGGGCCGAAATGGGCTATTATAGCATGCAGCTGCGTAGCATGGGTGCTATACGGCATCGGGGAAGGAATCTCGATGTAGTTTTCAGCTCCCGATGCTATACTCAAAGAGGCAGAGAGGCGGAGAGGCTATAAAATAGCATGTATGTTCCTGGGATCTCTCTCCGATCTCCGACCATCGTATTCCGTATTCTGCATTGATTCCGATTTTAGATTTTATGAAGATTCTTGGTATGTGCGTTTGTATGCAAAAGCGAACCAGGGAATCGGGTGACGGGTGACGGGATAGGTGGAGAAATACCGTAGGCAACTCCATTATTCCTTAGATCCTTTCCCCCTTCCCCCCTTCCCCCCTTCCCCCCTTCCCCGACTTTTAAAAGTTAGATCTCTACATATTTCGTAATCTTAAGTCTAAGTACTGTGCGAACTTTAAAGAGCAATAGCTACATGTACTTACCTCATATACCTCATATGCTGCATTTAATTATCTAAAGGTACAAACAGGTTCGATATATCATCCTTTGCAACTAATTGTTTATTAGCTAATATCTTTAGATAGGCCTTATCTACGCAGGACATAATGATAAGCACTATATGGACATACTACCTATAAGATTGTCGTTATTGTCGTTATGCGCTTTTAGCAATCCTTGTAATCAACGCAGCATCTCAACGCCAGCATCTTAACGCTATACCAAACAGGATATCGTTTACCAAACTGGGTTCCCCACGTCCCTATTAAAGGCCTCTTATGTTATAATGTCTCAAGGCGATTTCCGACTCTGTCCGACTCATAACGACTTATTAGTAATTTGTCTTGTCTTCTTGGGTAAGCTCTTAGTTCATGATATTCGGATCTCAACTGAAAACTTCTAAATAAATAATCATGTAATTAATTATCAGCCAGGTAAACGGGTGGATCGTGCTAGAATGTATGCTGCCAGAGATGCACGTTAACCAAAGCAAAGTGCTATTTCGGAACTCTTGAAGATTTCAGATAACGAAGCAAGCTTCTTCGCAAGCTCAGCCACGTTCAAGAAGATTAACCTAACCTATGTAGTCGAGATGGTTTCAATAATTCTTCGCATGTCTCAAGGGACTTTTCTTAGTAAGCAGGCTTTCTTAATAAGGCAAGCCACGATATAAGCTTTATCCAATCGAGTGCTAAGCAAGGGTCCGCATGAGCACTTATCCTTGTCCGTGTCACAAACCTTAAGCACCTACCCAGAATATACATAGTACATAACCCCACGTGCGCAAAGTTGATCTATTTGCGTCTTTGTGTCGCGGAATGACAGAGGGAAACCCCAATAGGATTCAAAGTACGTAGATTCGAATCCTATAACCCCTTCAATGTCTCATTATTCAATATCCTATTAAAGACCAAAGATATTGTCACGATGTGTCTACTACCATAGTACACAGCTGAACCGTCGAGATGGCTAGCTGTAATGTATTCCCCGAGATGGACGCCGTATGCGAGCACTGGGTTTCGATGTCTTGCAGATATCTTCACTTCGGGTTATTAATTGGTCGCTCTATGGATGTTCTAGCCGCCAATCAACATCCTTCACCGCCGCGCCCCCCAACCTTCCCTAACAAGCTACCATCTCACAACAATGCAGATATGGTCCTGTCTGCAGGGGCCGGTTTCTAGTTTCTAACCTTTCCGAGCAGTCCTACCCGGCGCCGGCTCGCCCGCTCCTCTAAGGCATGGAGAACCTATGTAGAAAGCCGCCGCATACATAGTGTTGCTATCCATGTACGGTACCCATGTTGGACCTGGCATGGCTAGGATTGTGGCTCAGAGAAGCATTTTGAACAGTTGAAACTCACAGAGAAACTCACAGACCTGAAAAGAGTTCTGTTAGGTCCGAATTAGCTATATCGATACACCGACTCTCCATGTCTGCATGTGTATTCAGAGTAACCTACCTATGTAGGTAGGTAGGTCAAGATAGTATAGTAAGAAGTTAGCGGGAAGAGATCGGCCTGTCTCGAAGCCACACGCCGCCATACATTCTCTCTCCCTTACCATAATAAGTAAGATGTATCCGCGCGGAATGTTTATGCATTTTTCTCGTCTTCTCTAGCATCAACCCTCCCTCGTCTCGTCGTTGCCTTTCCTCTCGACCGGTCAAGATGAAGCGGTTTAGTTGCGCCCTGATCTCTGCCTTTGGCTTGCTTGCTACTGCAAGCCCGGTTCCGGCTACTCACTTTGAGATTAGCAATGGCAGTATGTCTTTCAAGGATTTTCCTAAGTCGAGGGGTATGCTAACAGACAAACAGGCACGGTTACCGCAGCCGACGTCTCGACGCTGAAATTCTTCTCTCAGTATGCCGGGGCAAGCTACTGCAATAGTGAGGCGGACTTAGGTTCTACTGTCACTTGCGCCGAAAACACCTGCCCGGATGTCACTTCTGCGGGTGCTAAGGTGGTAGCAACCTTCTCGTAAGTTACTACTATCACGGCTGTTACTTCGACTCTTAGACGTGAAAGAGATGTAAAAAAAACATGTCGGGCTAACACTTTATAAGTGGACATCTCACTGATATCCAAGGCTTTGTCTCGTCGGATGACACCAATGAGCTGATCGTAGCGTCTGTGAGAGGATCTCATTCGATTCGCAATTGGATTGCCGAGTAAGTTTATATTCTCCTATACTTATAGTGTATACCTACTATGAAGGAAATGTCTAACCTTGATATAGTCTTTCTTTCATACCGCTTCCTTGCGACCTCGTGGATGACTGCTTAATCCACACTGGCTTTCTTCTGTCATGGAAAGAGATAGAAGATGACATGCTGGACGGTGTGGCAGCGGCTAAGAAAGCCAACCCTTCTTACAAGATCATTTTCACAGGACACTCGCTGGGTGGGGCTGTAGCCACAGTCGCTGCCGGCTATGCCCGAGATCAGGGCTATGAACTCGACCTCTACACCTACGGCAGCCCACGTGTAGGCAACCAGGCCTTCGTCGATTTCGTTACAGCCCAGCCAGGCGGCGAGTTCCGCGTGACGCACTTCGACGACCCGGTCCCACGTCTACCTCCCATCGCCGTCGATTACCGACACACGAGCCCGGAGTACTGGCTATCCGACGAGGGCGGCAACAGTACTATATACGCGGCCTCGGATATCAAGGTGTGCGAGGGCTTTGCGAACACTGATTGCAACGGCGGCACCAGCGGGCTGGACATTTCTGCCCATTTACTCTACTTCGACCATATCAGCGGATGCGGCCCGGACGGTATCGCTTTCAGGAGGAGAGGTGGCCAGAGAGACGTCTCGGACGAGGAACTACTCGCGAAACTAAACGACTGGACGGCACAGGACCGCGAGATCGCGGCGACGCTGTAACAGTAAATTTTTCTTTTCGTTTGGGGTTTAGTCCCACTCTTTGGTAGGATATTTTGGGTTTGGATACGAAGCAGCGTGGCGTTGTATTCTGTAGGGGAGGGTTCACTTGCATGGGGATGGCGTAATTGGGCATATTAACCGGTTGAGATCTATCAGGGGTTTTAGACGGGTCTGGAGTGTGTTATACTGTACATTATTTTATACCCTGTATATAGCGGTTTCTCTGAGAGTAGATTTTGTTATATCGACCTGGGTCATCATCTATCTTGGTATTGAACCACATAATACTTCTTCTCCCGACCGCGGTCTTCATGTCTTCTGGTCATTTCTAAGCTCGCTAGCTAAATAACGATATGCGCATACGATTATCCGGCAACATCTAAATGCGGATCTTTCTCCTCCACATCCTCCGCTTTCTTCACTTCCACCTCCTCAGGCACATACCGAAACCCCAGCTCCTCAAGGGTCTTGGCCTTCTTCCCCGTCTTCTCGAACTGCATCTTCGCCTCGGCGTAAATGCCTCTCTGCCAGAGCATCTCGGCGTCCCAATGCGGCGGCTCCTTCCCCTTCCCCCCTAAACTTTCCTTCTCCAACCATTCGTACAGCCCGTTGATATACCGCCCGTCCCCGCCCTTGGGAAATACATGGTACTTCCCCTCGCTAGTCCCCTCGCCGTCTTCACGCGCCCATTGCTCGAGGACGGAGGCTGGGGGGAGAGGGAGCGTGTTTGACCATAGACGTGCTAGGACGGCGCCTTGGGACTCGGTCAGGGGGAAGGGGATTACTTTAATGGGCAGGCCGGGGAAGGCCAGGGTGGGGTGGGCAATGTGTAGGAGGTGTTTTGCGAGACCGTGGACTTGGCGGCCGTTGGTGACGAGGGGGATGGTGGGGAGGAAGGGGAAGGTGTAGAGGTATCCTGTGCAGAAGACTATGGCGTCGATGTCTGTTTCGATTTTCGTCTCCCCTTTCTCCTTTTTTCCAGGGCCGTCGTTATCATCCTCGTCCAGGGGGAAGAACTCAACACCCCGCTCCTCGATCAAAAATCCCTTGATCTGTCCGGCCTGTGCGGGGTTTCCGATATGCTGAATCGTCTCAGGGGGTGCTGCTGTCTGCGCCGAGAGAATCAGTGGCGTCTTGCACACGCGTTGGATTTGCGCCGCGATATCTAGTCCCGAGGCGCCGGTGCCCACAACAACGACTTTCTTCCCGCGGAACGGCTCTGCGTTGCGGTACAGCTTCGAATGCGATATAACCCCCGGATGCTTGGCGTGGAAAGCAGCAATGCCCTCAACCGAGTCCGGGATGTACGGCGTTGAGTAGTGCCCCGACGCCACAACCACCGCATCGTACGTCTGCGTAGTTTCTTTCCTGGTAAGTAAATCCGTAGTCCTCACATCCCACTGCTCCCGCTCCCGCTCCCGCAGCTGGCCCTCAACGCCCCGCAGCGAAACATCAGTGACTTGCGTAGAGAACCTAATCAGATGCCGCACGTCCCTCGCGTACTCAACCAGATACGCCTGTACATCTCCCCTCGTCGGGAAGATATCGCAGCTCTCCGGGAACGCCAAGTCCGAGTACTTCATCAGGGTGTGCGGGATATTCGTATGCAAATCATCGTACATCGGCGACGGAAACAGCGGCACCTTCCCCTCCTCTCCCCCAGGAACATAAACCGGCGGATCCGGCCTCTTCGGATGCGCATCAGTCTGCGGCACAGGCAGCGCCTCGGCGGGCCGCGGCACGGGGCTATAATTCCACACGCCGCCTACCTCGGCCTGCTGCTCGAAGACGTCGATGCGCGAGAACGCGCCATCCTGCGCGAGCAGATATTTCGCTGCCGCTAAGCCGCTGGGCCCGGCGCCGATGACGGCTATCTTCTTTACGTCGAACGGCACGGCGGCCGTGGCCGACGAGGGTGAGACAGAACCCATTGCTCGGGACGGCTGCGGACTCGGAGCGGGGCGTCCCGGATGGAGTGCGGAGAAAGATGGATGTGAGAATAGGGCGCTTTTATATGCAGGTAGGAGGAGGAGGTATTTACGATTGGGTTCTATTGCTGGGGAAATCTTCAATAAGTAGGCGAAATAGAAGATTTGTGAACTGCAATGCGATGAAAATTATAATTAATACGGCTGGGCATAAATATGATATATACCTAGGTATATATGAGGTATGTAATCTATAAAAGAAAAAAAATATTTCAGAGTAGGTACATAATCGAATGATTATGGGGGTGGATCACACTTATAAGCCAGCAAAGTCGATGGCGCAATTCTAAGCTACGGTTATCTACGGCGTGACTCTCTGGTGCTACAACACTCTACTTCACATATTAACTTGTGTAATTATAATAATTATAAGAATTGCGTGGAAATCATTTGCATTGCTAAGCTAGAATATAATGCTCCAAGGTGTTTACCTTAGGTACCTACCTAGGTAGGCTAATAACTTAACTGGCTGACTACCTGGATATATACACGTTCGTTGTGAGCCGCGTAAAGTACATGGAGATTGTTGACTCGCAGTGAAAGATTATTATTGTCAAGCACCTTTTTGATGGCATCACATGTGACATGCTTGTCGATTGACGACGGCAGTGTCCTAAAAGAAAGAAAAGCACAGAATATTAGCAAAGCAATTTGCTACCGTAAACACCATAACTGATCGGATAGAATGACCCTTTTTCAACGCCTGTGCTTCACGTAAATGTCGTAGAAACTATTGCCAGGGCTCAATGCATCAAACGCCAAACCCTTGAAGCCGTGCCCCCGTACTATGCCTGGTATCTTCAATATGTGTGTTTAAGTCGGGTATCGTAAAAAGGAAGACAAACACTCCCCATTCAATCTTCGGTGCCTTCGATGATCATCCCCATCGCGTTCGGGACACCAACCAAGATCTTGCCTCTGGGGACTCGCACATTCTTCACCTATACACGCCACATTGTTAGTCACATCTAGTTTCAAGTCTTTCACTCCTTCTACCAACATGGACAGGAAAATACTGGGCTTACCTTCATGCATCCAAAGACATTCAGCCTCTTTAGACTGGGACAGCTTTTGAAGATCAGCCCGACAATTAGGTCTGTCACCTCTTCACAGAAACTGATCTCCAGGTCTAAAAGCTCGGGATACATCTGTCCGACAGCAAACACATCTTCAAACGCCTCACCGGATATATGTCTACATCCGTGGATGTTGAGCTTTTTCAAGAGCCTGCCCGAGTGCTTCATCAAGGCCCGGAAGCCGCCCGAGCAGAAGCCAATCATATGCTCGTTTACTCTGGGGTTTCCCGCGTCTATGTGACGGCATAGTTCTAGGTCCACGAACAGGAGGGGTCTGTTCTTCCATTCTTTGAAGAGCCTAACAAAGCCTGCATCTGTCATGACCTCGCTATTTGTGATGCGCAGCTTAACTAATCGAGCGCAGTGGTCATGGATTGCATCAAGCAGGCGATCGTCAACACCTGGAACATCTCTGATAGAGAAGGTACGCAGCTGGTTCCCTATCTTCTGTACGATATTGACATAAGGCATTGTCTGGGTCTGACTAACAAGACGTAGCCCTAGGTGCTCGAGGCTACGAAGCTGTGCAATGTGTTCTACTCCTTCGTCGGTGACTGCTTGGTTGTGGCAGATTTTCAATCTGGTTAGAGACGGGCAGTAGTTGCGTAGAGACTCTACGGTTTTGTTACCGAAATGACGATCTGTGAAATAGACGCGAAGACTTCGAAGGCTTTGCCCCTTTGCCTTCAGGTATTTATCCCAGCATTCATCGCTGAGTAGATTTGCGCCAGCTATGTAGAAGGTATCTAGGGCGAAATGCCTTCCCATCAAGTATTCCATGACGTCATCTTTGAACTGGATCGCGTTTCGCAGTTTGAGGCTCTTGAGACTGGAGCAGATTTGGAAAATTCGGGTATAGTCATCTGAACCTAGGCGACCTCCGTCGTATATCATGATATCCTGAATCTGGGGTTGGAGGAATAGATCTAGGGTCTTGGGGCTCATAAGACGGCGTTTGGACAGCTGTCGGGATATGCGATCGATAGCTGGTAAGGGTAGATCACCGAGGTCGTCAGCAAGGTGGATGTTGTTAGCTAGGGTCTCGACGCAGAGGGTCATTAGGGTCTTGACTCCGATTTGGCCATCTAGTATAAGGCTCTGAATCTTTCTTCGTTCACGCCTAGTAGGAACCGCAGTCGCCTTCTGCTTGCCTTTCTTAGAAGCGCTCTTAGCAGCGTTCTCTTCTTTGGTCAGCTTGATGCTACACTGGGCACAAAGTAGGCCTCCCTCCGGACCAGCACGTGAATATGTGGTTACTGTAAATCTCTTGCCGCACTGCTCACAGTTCTCAAGCTGGCCGGGCACAGGAGCCGCGCTTCTCTCAAGTACCTCCTCATCCGACTCATCGCCAGGGGCATTTCGGCGCGACTTGCGTTGTTTGGATGGCTTAGCGTTCTTGACTTTCTCAATCGCCGCAGCTGCCTGCTTACGCTTTCGGGTCGTGGCTTGACGGGTGCTTGCAGCAACTGAAGACTCTGCATCATCCTCACTATCTTGTACGGTTTCTGCGGGCTCTGCAGTTTCTACATCCTGTGTTGCTGATGTAGATGCGACAGCTTGGTCTGAGACAGCAGTAGCGGCAGCAGACCTAAGGCGAGCCTCGTGATTAGCGCGGATTTGCCTAGCTGAGATATTTTGGGAGGCCAGATAATCCGTAAGGGCAGACCGAGGTCCCCGAATGTTTCGCTGCCTGGGTTGAATCATTATTAGTTTTGCTTGAGGCTCTTTGGCTAGGTAGATAATATAGAAATGCACAACTTACATCTTGTCGGCTTGAGAGATGCTTCTAAAGGACTCCGACTAGTGCCTTATTCCGACCTATAGCCTATAGGTAATGTTTGATGCGAAGCGACCGGGAAATTAGATGAAACAAGGGTGCGAATCGGGAGTTGGGTTGAGCCTCATCCAAGAAATATAGGATGAAATATCACGGGCTGCACGGGCTGCACAGGTAGCGAAAATGCAAGTGAATGCAGTACTGGATTGTTGAGATGCCCCTTAACAACCTGGAAAGGTAAACAACCTGAGTAAGTACTTAGGTGCCGGAAAGCACGGATCTTCTCGGCCCCTATTCAGGTTTACGAGGTTTTATTATGTGCTGGGGTCTGGTAGAAGAAGAGAAAAAGAAAGTGAATTGACTCATTGAATAAACAAGATACTTTGATAGCGCAAAGAATTAACACACGGGTTGACGCCACTAACTGCAGCTAATGGCGCGTTAAGTGGTTCCGTTTCAGGCAGCGATCTTATCAGTTTAATTGCTTTTTAGCATACCTGAGGGGCAGTGGCGGGGACCTTCTTTCCCACTATGTAGAGTCGGAGAACAGGCGTACCTGCAGGGGCTTTAAGTGCTAGCTTTGTACTCCTATTGGCTAACTCATGCAAAGACCCTCCCTTGGTGCCTTCCCCAGGGGCGATCAGGTCACGAGTTTGCGTGTATTGGTCGCGCCGGTTAACTTAATAAGACCCACTCCTTCTTTCCCTTCTATTCTTCCCCACCAAATCTTTATGTGCCTTTCTCTCCGGCCTGGCTGGAATCTTTTTCATCTTCCATCATCAATGATCAACAACCCAACCCGATCTGGCGCTACTCTCTAGCGCTCTGAGATCTACCATTGTTGGTCGGAGCCTGTGGTACATACGATTTTTGCAAGCAACCCCTGATGAAATATCCACTGCATTTCTTCATTAATAATTGGAGTAAAGTCAAAGCTGACTTATCCTTTTCGCCTGTCCATTTCTTACATGCAGCCTACCTCCTAACCCAAAGTTATTCACTATTTCCTGCTTCGCCATTAATCAGGTAGCCTCACATATGTGACCTATACATATGTGCGCTAATCACCTTTGTGTTCCGTTCATTAACCCTCACTTCTAATTATATCGGCATACTATCTCATTTGCAACAACACCTTGGACATCATGGCGCCGCGAACTAGACGTTCAACAGCTGCGGGAGACAGTTCTGCAATAGATGGCGCTGGCGGCACTCCTGCTTCACAGCCTGTCCTTCCTCAACGACGTGGAAGGTCCTCCAAGATCATGGCTATTGATGGCAATTCAACAACCTCTTCCGCACCAACACCAGCTACAACTATTTCAGATAGCGAGTATTCAACCCCTGCAACTAGCAATGCTGTAACTCCTGCGCCTTCTATCAAAAAAAAACCTACTCAGCCGGGAAGTAAAAATCAGTCGCGCTGGGTAGTCGAGCTTCCCAAGCTTCCCAAGGACTCGACTGCGACAGGCACCAAGTCTAGCAGCCTTCGCTCTCGGACTGCATCTACAATCGCTACACGCCGCCGGCCTGCCCCGATTGCCTACACTGAGGAGGATTCGGAGGACGATATAGATATGATGGAGGCGCCTCGTGAAAATCCTATCCCGGCCAAGAGTAACATGGCTCTTAGTCGCAAGAGACCTAATGCTGCGATGTCTCTTAATTCCGGCGCAGAAAGCGATTTCACTTCTACGTCAATTCCGGCTTACAAGAAGCCAAAACTTACCAACCATGAAAGTGATAATGAGCCCCACCAAGAAATCGATGATGATGATGATGAGGCCATTGACGACATGTTTGACATCTCCGACGAAGGATTTCTTCTTCATGAAGATAGTTCAGAATCTGACTCAGATAGCCCCGTCGCTGATTCCCATACAGATTCCCATACAAATACGCTTTCCCATCAGCTCCCAAGCTTTCGTCGCATTCGCCGCATTCGTCATCCCCTAAATAGAAAGGAGGCAATGAGGAAGAGGTTGACGAAGCACCATCCAGAGCTCACTACAATGTGGGCCGACCTGGAAAATATGCCCCTTCTCAAGGCTGGCAAGGCTGAGCAACCCACCACCATCTCGCGCCAGTTAAAACCATTCCAACTCGAAGGACTTGCCTGGATGAAGGCTATGGAAGCGACAAAGTGGAAGGGTGGTCTACTTGGAGATGAGATGGGTCTTGGTAAAACGATCCAGGCAGTATCTTTGATCATGTCTGACTACCCAGCCAAGGCGCCGTCGCTAGTGCTCATGCCACCCGTTGCCTTGATGCAATGGACATCAGAAATCGAGTCCTACACACATGGGAAGCTAAAGACCCTGGTATTTCATGGTACTAATGCCAAGTCCAAGAATTTGACAACTAGAGAACTTAAGAAATTCGACGTTATCTTGATGTCTTACAATACCCTAGAGTCGCTATACCGCAAACAAGAGAAGGGTTTCAAGAGAAAAGAAGGCACGTATAAGGAGAAGAGCGCTATCCACCAGATCAAGTTCCACCGTGTGATCCTAGACGAGGCTCATTGTATCAAGGTAGGCCTACATAATCCTTCTCTATCAGCTCCCATGCTAACGGATTGTTAAAGTCTAGAAACACCATGACTGCGAAGGCATGTTTTGCACTCAAAGTCGAATACCGCTGGTGCTTAACCGGAACTCCCTTGCAGAACCGAATTGGAGAGTTCTTTTCACTGCTTCGATTCCTCAAAGTTACGCCGTTCGCAGAATATTTCTGCCGAGAGTGTCCTTGTTCCAATCTCGAATGGTGTGCAGACGAATCGAAGAATTGCTCACATTGTAAGTCTCTACTTGCACACAAGAAACTTGGTGTATTTGCTAACCTGTTTTAGGTGGTCACTACATGATGTCGCATATTTCAGTCTTCAATCAAGAACTTCTGCACCCTATTACTCGCAACGGTAACCACGGTGAAGGCAAGGAGGCACTTGGCAAACTCCGCCTCCTTACGGACCGAATCATGTTGCGCCGTCTCAAGCGAGATCATACGAATGCTATGGAACTCCCAGTCAAGGAGATCTATGTTGATCGCCAATTCTTGAGCGAAGAGGAGAACGACTTCGCCAATAGTATCACGGATAACAGTCAGCGCAAGTTCAACACCTACGTAGCCCAAGGTGTCATGCTCAACAACTATGCCAATATATTTGGTTTGATCATGCAGATGCGCCAGGTTGCTAACCATCCCGATCTGATCCTGAAGAAGAATGCCGAGGGAGGACAAAACGTGATGGTCTGTTGCATCTGTGACGAACCTGCTGAGGAGGCGATTCGATCCAAGTGCAAGCATGACTTCTGTCGCTCGTGTGCGCAACATTACGTTAATTCTCAGGAGGCTCCGGATTGTCCCCGCTGCCACATATCTTTATCTATCGATCTCGAGCAGCCCGAGATTGAACAGGATGCGATGCTCGTTAAGAAATCCTCCATCATCAATCGTATTAAGATGGAGAACTGGACATCGTCGTCCAAGATCGAGCTACTTGTTCACGAACTCCACAGGCTGCGATCAGACAGTGCCTCGCACAAGTCGATCATCTTCTCGCAGTTCACCACGATGCTCCAGCTGATTGAATGGCGTCTTCGACGAGCCGGCATCACAACGGTCATGCTTGATGGAAGTATGACACCAGCTCAGCGACAGGCTTCGATTGACCATTTCATGAAAAATGTGGATGTAGAGTGTTTCTTGGTGTCGTTGAAGGCTGGTGGCGTTGCTCTGAACCTTACAGAGGCGTCGCGAGTTTTCATTGTCGATCCGTAAGTTGCTTAGCCCTAATCTATCTTAGCAAGCGTATGCTGACCATATTTCCCTTATGTAGGTGGTGGAACCCAGCAGCAGAGTGGCAGTCAGCCGACCGATGCCATCGTATCGGACAGACGCGCCCATGTATCATCAAACGTCTCTGCATTGAGGATTCCGTGGAGAGCCGTATAGTTTCGTTGCAGGAGAAGAAGACCAGCATGATTAATTCAACTGTCAACTCAGATGAAGCATCTTTAGAGGCTCTCACGCACGAAGACCTTCAGTTCCTCTTCAAAGGATCTTAGTTTTTTTCTTCCTCGTTGTATCGGCGCCACACTTGTTTTGGCGGCGTCACCTATGTCCCTCGGGAGACTCGATTCTTGCTTTTTCGACTTGATTCTTTCTTTTTGACGACGTCGGTTTTCAGCTCTGACGATCTCAATCTCGGACTTTCAGAGACAGTAGTCTCACGGCAACGCCACCTCTCGATAGCTATGATGTCATTTTCACCCTTGAAAACTATAGCCTGTCTTATTGACGAAGCAGTCATCTCTATGGACAAGATGGCCTATGAAGGACGTTCTTATGGACAACAAAAATTCCTATTTTTCGAGTTGGCTCTAAGCCCGGATTCGATATACACCCCTGATTCGATTTCTCTGGCCTACTTCTCGACAACGTTAGTCTCACTTTGACTAAGTTGTTCCGGCTTTTGACAAGAATCATTCTTTGTTTCGACCAAGATCTCGGTTTTTACTGTACTTTCTATCGTCGTTTTGTACGATAGGTTCGTACTGGTGGCACACTATGGCCTTTTATGGCAAAGTTAAGGGAGGCATGATTTGACCCCTATATTAGGGACTCTAGGGCGGCAAAATCATTTGATGATAACCCCTCCGCATAAGTTTTTTCGAGGTGGGTGACGCATGGCATAATTTGCGAACAGGTGTCTACGGCTGCTTTATATTGCTGTCTTTCTAGCTAGGTAGCTATGATTTTGATTCACGAACAATACTAGGCAATTATGCATTCTCATGAATTATGAGAATGCTTCCTATAAGCATCGTATTTTCTTGATGCATTACCTAAAGTGAGGTATCTACTTTTGTACCGTCTAAGTGCATTAAACCGACAGATTGGAACCTAACAGTAGGTATGTACAGATCAGTAGTCCCTAAATTGCCCCACTAAGATTTTGATCGGTGCTATATTCCATTTTCGCCGGCGTTTTAATATTCCTACTCAAAAATGTATTAACACTTAACCTAGCAACTTCACAAGTACCTAACATACCACATACCTAATGGATTAATAGCGTTCCGTCGCAGTTGCAAAATACGAGAAGCCTCTAGGTCATGAAGAGCCATTGGGGAGCCTTGAGCCGGCAACTTTGGACAGTTAGAAACGGGCAAAGGGCGCGCATCGGGTGGATATGCCAGTCATGTCAGTCAGATAGAAGCAACAAAGCCCCGCGGAAGCTGTTCGCCAGCAGCGCAGCCCTCGGAGAGCTCAAGGACAAGCCGTATTATGTGACGACGCCCATTTTCTACGTCAATGCGTGTAGGTCCTGTATCAGTAATACGTAGTAGTTACGTAGTAGTTCGAGCATATGCTAATTAGTCCATCCGGAAGCTCCTCACGTCGGCCACCTATATAGCATGCTAATAGCAGATGTGCTCAAGCGATGGCAGGTCCTCAAAGGCAGACAGGCGATACTAAGCACGGGAACCGACGAACACGGGATGAAGGTCCAGCGCGCGGCCGAGCTACAAGACATTCACCCGAAGGCACTTTGCGACGCCAACTCGGAAACGTTCAAAGATCTAGCTAAGAAGGCTAATATTTCGTACGACTACTACATTCGCACGACGGACCTAGAACATAGGGATGCGGTCGAGTACTTCTGGGCCAGGTTAAGAGAGAGCGGGTATATATACGAGACAAAGCATGAGGGGTGGTACTGCGTTGGCGACGAGACTTATTACCCCGATTCTATGGTCGAGAAGCGCGTGTCGCCTGTGACGGGAAAGCCGTTTATGGCGTGCGTTGAGACGGGCAGTGCTGTGGAATGGACCGAGGAGAGGAATCACCATTTCCGACTGACGGCTTTTCGAGATAGGCTGCTCAAGTTCTACGCTGATAACCCGAATTGGGTTGTCCCGAACAATCGCTTTGGGGAGGTGATCAGCTGGGTCCAGAATAACCTAGAGGATCTGTCTATATCTCGTCCCGTGAGCCGCCTAGACTGGGGTATTCCTGTGCCTGACGACCCGAGCCAGACCATCTATGTGTGGGTTGATGCTCTGATTAACTACATTACGGTAACAGGCTATCCCATGTGGCCTCCTGGTTCCGAACATACAAAAGGTTGGCCAGCTGACGTCCATGTGGTCGGAAAGGATATTGTGCGCTTCCATAGCATATACTGGCCAGCGCTGCTCATGGCCCTGGACTTGCCCTTACCAAAGTGTATCCTCAGCCACGGCCACTGGTTGATGAGCCAACAAAAGATGTCTAAATCGGTCGGAAACGTGGTGAACCCTTTCTTCGCCCTCGATCGCTGGGGCGTAGATACCATGCGGTATTTCCTAGTATATAACGCTGCGATGGCCAACGATGCCGACTACAACAATGAGTTTATCGTCGATAAGTACAAGAAGGGTCTACAGGGGGGTCTAGGCAACCTGCTCAACCGAATTACTAGGCCGAAGAACTGGAGTGTGAGGAACGCGGTGGTATCTATGCACGAGAAGCAGTCTCATTCGGTTCCTAAGGTGGTTGATACCCAGAGGGAATACCTCGAGTCTATCGTAGAGGACGTCTCAAGACATATGGATGAGTTAAATCCTAGGGGGGCGTTGAAGGAAATTATGGAATTCGTGTTCGAGGTGAGTCTCGGTGCCTTCATTGCCGCCACTCTCTCCCGTCTTCGCGGCAGCATCCTAACACGTACTACAGGTAAATAAATTCCTGCAAGAAGCAGCGCCGTGGGACAGGAGTAGGGAAGGCGACACGGTGGCCGTAGAGCAGATCATCTTTTTCGCGGCGGAGTCGGTGCGCGTCGCCGGCATTCTATTACAACCGTTTATCCCGGAGAAGTCGAGCGAGCTGTTGGATAGGCTGGGTGTTGGTTCCGATCGAAGGACCTTTGAGCATGCGCGACTGTTCGCAGATGATGCATATGGGACGCCGGCTATACCGCTGGGCGAAGGCGCTCAGAGCAGTTTGTTTCCGCCGATTCCTGTTGAGGATTAAGCACCTAGCTGTGGTGGTGGTGGTGGTGCCTTGTGTATATCATATATCAAATATGCGAATCTGAATTTGCTCTGCTGTGTATGTAAGGTTAGGATAGATACCCTATGGCAATTCCCCTTTCCCCTTTTTTATATACATTGAATTTGTAGTTGTGGTGTAATGACTGCGGAAATGAAGTATAACTATAATATTCGCAATTCCAAAGCTGTCTTTGATTTTTGATAGTTTAGTTCTAGACGGTCAACGCAAACACATGTGACTAAAATAAAATAATTTACGCCTCACATTATTCTACAACTACAATTTCAACTACAACTTCTCTCATCAACCACAGGTTTCAAGTTATTAAATTCATTAACAGGAAAAGATATGCGACATCGACCATACATATAACTTAATAAGTACCTAACATAAGTGTGACATAGAAATGAGGTTGAATGAGAATATTGGTGAGTCCTACATTATCTCTCTCATTTCGCTTGGCCGCCATCCAAGGCGAGTCGTACCTAATAGCCACCACCACATCCTTACCCAGGTCCTCATTCAATCCGAAATAAATAATCGCTAACACACATCTCTAACAGCTATTTCGACCAGCAAGGTCCTGCTTGTGCCATATGATGCGCACCACGTACAGCAGTACCACAGGTGGATGGAGGACCCTGTACTCTTCCTTTCTTTAAGTCTCGTTCTATTTACCCACGCCCTAAGTCTTTCTACCCTACCAACCGCCCCCCCCTTTTAGCAAGAGAAGGTTATATATAGTATACTTGCTAACAACAATCCCCAGTCCATCCGCGAAGCCACCGCCTCAGAACGCCTCTCGCTAGACGACGAGTACGAAAACCAGGCGTCGTGGCGCGAGTCGCGGGATAAACTCACGTTTATCGTGTGTGCGCCATTACTACGCGACGATGATGTCTCACGTACGGACGAAAAGGGGGCAGCCGTGCTGGCGGGCGTAGGGGATGCGGTAGGCAGGATGGTGGGGGATGTTAATCTGTTTCTGAGTCCTTGGGATGGCGATGACGAGGGACAAGAGCAGAAACAGAATGGAGACGGGGAGGAAGCGAAGACGTACTACACCGCGGAAATCGACATCATGATCGCGAACCCCAAGTTCCGGCGGATAGGTCTCGGTCGCGCAGCCGTCGCTACATTCTTGTACTTTGTACGGCGGCATTTAGACGGCATTCTGGCTGAGTACATGGGTTCCCTCGACACCGCTGCCGCTATCAGCAAGCCTGTGATGAAAGACGTCGTGGCTAAGATTAACGCGGATAACAAGGCCAGCATCGTGCTATTCCAAGCCCTTGGGTTTAAGCAGAGAGGCGAGAGGAATTACTTTGGCGAGATAGAGATGGTGTTTGGAGGGTTTGGGGAGACGGACGAGTGGGTAAAGACGAGCTCTTCTTCTGTCATGGGCGATGGGTATGAAGAGTTGGTTTATGATAGATCGCGGTTGGAGGAGTAGAGTAGACGGTGAGCTCGACGATATAGATTTGAGGTGGTATATGTATGCATCCTATTTATACAGACGCCTCTCCGGCAGCAAAAACCACTTCCAGCTCTACCATCTACATTCCTTCATCCCTTCATCCCGATGCTCTACAGCAAGATATACGTTCCTACTTTACACCATACGTCTCCCCATAACTCCTCAACATCTCCAACGTAACATTCATCCCTCCGCACACAACCACAACCACATTCTTCCTACTCCACTCCTCATCGCTAATCCCCTCGCCCCCTACCACCCTCCTCAAGTCCCCATTATACACCGTCGCAAGCGTAGCACCGCACGCCACCTCCACCAACATCCGCGCGTCGTCCGCAAACCGCACACACCCCATCACCGCCTCCGCATCCGTCACCACCAAGCTCTTCAGATGCGGCGCCTCCCGGCTCCAGCGAAACGCGCGTTCCGACACCCGCGGCGCGCCCAGACTAGTCGCGATGCTGGTGATCCCCGGCAGCGTCACCAGCTCGCCCGCTCTCACGCTGGCGTTCAGACTGTGCGCGCCCGCGGTCTCGACGGCCAGGACCGTGGGCTCCCGGGCCCCGGCGCCCGTGTAGTGCTTCTGCACGCCGGCCATGATCCCGTTGAGCAGGCCGCCGCCGCCGCAGTTGCACGCTATGCCGTCGACGCGCAGCGCCCCGAGCTGCGCGGCGAGCTCGTCGACGATGGTGCTGGTGCCGGCCCAGATGTCGGCGTGGTCGAAGGGCGGGACGTAGACGCCGGTTGGATCGCGGGCGAGGAGCGCGGCGCGGAGGTGTTCGTCGGCGAGGGCCCAGTTGGCGCCTACCTGGTGGACTTTGGCGCCGAGGACTGCGGTTGGGTAATGTTGAGGTTAGCTGACTACTACATGGCTGGCTCTAAGGGTTATGCTGGGACATGTCTATGGCCAAGTAGAATAACTACCTATATATCCTTCCTTGGCCAGGGGCAAACAAGTAAGTAAGTAACTCACGTCGCATCTTCTCGATCATGTGCTGGGAAGTAGTCGTCGGCACGACGATAGTACACGGCTGTCCCAGGGTCTTGGCCGCCGTCGCGCACGCCAGGCCCGCGTTTCCGCCCGACGAGCAGTAGAAGTGCACGTTGCCGGCGGGCTTCGCGAGCATCGCCTGGTACATCATGTTTCCCACGGCGCGCGACTTGAACGACCCCGAGGGCTGGAGGTTCTCGAGCTTGAGGAAGATGTTGCTGTTTTTTCTGCGTTAGTTTTGGGGTTGTTTGTAATCGGCGTGGGAGTAAGGGGGGTGAAGAAAGGAAGCCTGACCAGCCCGCTGCTCGTGAGAGAGCTATGGATGGTATACATGGTGTTTCTATGAAGAGCTTCGGAGGCTCTGGATTGCAGGAACCCATCTTGTTGTTTTATTGGTTTTATTGGTGATGAATGCTAGATGAATATATGTATAACTAGGGTCTTTGGGAACCTAGGTACCTAGTTATTGCGTCTCCTTGTTTGTCTATCTTAATAATAAAGATATCTAGATTGATGTTAGTATTACTTCGCCCGTATTGTATATTATAAAATATAACCGTACTTATACACGTGAAGTGTCCGTGAAGTGTCCAATTTTCTTAATGTCGTAACCTAGGTAGTCAGCAATTCTTCTCCCAAAATCTATGCAAGAGTCGAAGCAGATTTTCCTCCTAAATACTCTCAAGAACAAACCTGATGTATTCCACCGCCATCTATAAATCCCTATAAAAGCATTCTACTTTCTTCCTGTATCGGACGAAGCTATACGCAGCCGTGACATTAAGGCGTATGCGTAATCACGTCCAATAGGAACATGGGGCAAGGTAACACTGCAGGTCCCGTTGATAAGGGTCTAATGCAAAGCTACAGGTATCCGCTTAAGGCTTGTGGAAACGGCGGGTACCCGAAACTGGGGAACGGCTTCGGCTACCGTCGATTGCCGATGCTGGCCACCGTTATACATAATCGTTACTTAACCACTTAGGTAACGCTTCCCCATAGCTCCGATTTATGCGGGATTATCTCACAATGCCTTATAAACAATTCGTTGCGTAACCTAAAAGTGAATGCCTTACAATTATGTGATCAATTTGGAAACGATTGAAGTAAGTCAAGACAAGCTGTGTAGCTCAATGTCGGAATTGCTCTAAACAAGTGTCAACCAGCACTCTGATTCATACATAGTAAGCTTTCGAAGAGTCTCATCTTCTTCCCATATTCAAACTATGAGTGACTACATTTATGCCCGAAAATTTAAGTAATAGTTAATAATAATAAATCTGATAAGCTTGCGGATCGATAGAATAATTCTTAAGAGTTATAGGTATGCATTTTCCCATGTGGCATGTTTCAGGGCCGTGGCAAGAATAACCAACCCTGTTTCAAACTTACAGATGTACGTAGGTATGTACCTACCTCATCACTTCGGTACATCTCCATCCCCATAAATCTAGTTTAAGGTTTGTCCTAACCTTTTCGATTCAACCAATCATATTCCATGTACTACCAGATTTGACAGAGGGATCCCTGTTCGGACTCCCTATGTATGTATCTGCATGTGCATAGACCCCTATTAATAGCGTATCTGAGGAAGCGAGAAACGGGCTGAGCTGAATTGAATTTACACTATGTAGTAAATCGGACTCACGTCCCACTTCTTTATAGCATAGCGCGACCCCTAAACCATCCGTTAGGGGAAGGTATCGGACTCAAATCTGGACTATCCCTAACGATCCATCCGAAGCGCAACAAAAATACATATGAAAATTGTGTTAATATGAAGAACGAAGGGACCAATTGGCTCTTGAGTTCCCCCCTTTCGGCTGTCTGCCGTGGCAGTGCCTTGGGAGGACAATACGGATCGAGGCCCAGGTGCGAAATAGAACAGCCTAACATCTGAATACCGAACACTTCGTATTAATCTGACACGAGAGTACGGATCCGTACACCACCTATGTTGGCGTTCTATCCGACTTTTACCCTCCCCAGTTTCATGTGGGCCATGGGACCAGACCGCTATGTATGTATGTATGTATGTATGTATGTATGTATGTACATATCCTATATTAAGATTACCCGTAGAAATAAACCCCTTTAAGCTGGTCGCCATATAGATACCGCTCCCCAGATTTTACAGCCGCTACGCCCATTTCTTTTTGCCCTGAAAAAAAAGAAATACATGCTCGCCGAATAGAACGATATCCGAAGCCAATCCTTGTCCGCGATCAAAGTCGGCCATGAAGTTCACGCTGCCGTTCGAGCTTGGCATGCTTGCTTCGAGCATATTCGCCTCAAACACCACTACCGTATCCCCATCCGTCTACATCCTAAGCACATCGCCGCCCGCGACAGTCGCTCTCAGCAAAGCCTTGGACACCCTGGGATATAGCCGTCTGGATCTCGAATCAGACATACTAGACCAGGCGGCGCTATCAAACACCTATGTCGAAGTAACGTCGAACATGCAGCTCGCAGAGATCGCTCGATCGCAGCCCGACGCCAAATTCATATTACCCCGAGGCAGTCGACGTATAGGGGAAGAAGATTACGTGCTTTCAGCTCGGAATTTCTTCTCCAAGGAGAAGCGCTCTCGCAAATTTTTAGAATTGGACGTGCTTGCGTTAAAGACGAGTTCGCAGGCGGAGAACTGGGTCCAGCTGTGCGATTTCTTGGGCATGGGATACAGCGTGGTGGAACGACTAGGTCTATGGCACTTCCCGAAATGAACGCTACGGTCCGAACCTATATATATATATATAAAAGCATAAGACTCGAGAGACGATATATATATATTGTAGAGTCGACTATAATCGTCGCTCCAATATTTGGGCACTTACATACCGAACCTGAACGTATTAGCCGTTTAAAAATAGCGAGGGAGAACGCGATGATTACAGACAGACAAGAAGATAGATACATAGGCATAAGGTCCAGGTATTTTGCGACTAGCAAGTGGCTTATACCGAATAAGCAGTTGCCGCGGGTGTTCTAGAACTTTGATCGCGGGAAACGCGATTCTAGTAGTATGTACTTCGGGATTTAGAGCTTGTTAACCTACATGTAGGTACATACATGTAGTATTAAAGTACCTAAAATATACTTACAAGACTATTTTATAAAGTTCTCGACGGGAGTTAGATAGAAGGTAACTACGGGCGAGGAAAGTGCGGTAGACACTGTACTAAATAAAGGCTATTCCGATCTGAGTCTTAGACTTAACCTACCTTTACAACTACAACCAACCATAACTTCTAATCGAAAGTATCTGAAGGTGTGTTGACGATTTTCTTAGGGGCTTCCGGGATAGCTTCGTGGAACACGTCTCGAGCCTCACTCAGTAAGGCACCATTTACGTATATAGCTATACAAGGAAGGACATTAAACATCTAATAATAATATGGCTATATACAATCTAGAAGACAGCGTTCAAGCTTCCAGCCAGGCATGACCGCTTGTTACGATCAGTATATTCTGCAAATACCGATAGCCATGGTTCCCTTAAGGCAATCATATGCCTCTGGTGACTAACTTAGTATTCTAGATATTGTTTAAACACCCTTACCTTAAATATGAAGCTCGGGGCGCGGCAGTACTCCGTCTAGGGATGGCTAGAAAGGTTCGGCCTAAACATCGAGACTGACTTCGTGCTCGCGGTCTACCAGCCCCTTAGAAGCACGATAGATATTGGTTGGTTTTAGCACACCATGAATTCAAACCCGTCACCTAAAGACAAGGCTACGTCCTCTCCCTCCCCTATCGCCATAATTCGGGGTTTGATTGGCCTTCTTATCCCATTTCTTAGAGATGCGACCCAGCCTGGCTTGCCAGCGGATTCATTGGAACCTCCCGACTACAGAAGAATCCTCACCATTGTGCAGGATCTCGTCCGTACGCTGATACCGGGAAACCCCCATTTTACGATATTCCACGATGGCCAGGCCCAAGATACGTTAGGCGGGGGGCACACTCGTTGTTTTCTGCTACGCGTTCGCGTTCGCCCGAGCGATACGTGATTGGATGCAGACCCTAGCCGCTCTTATAAAGGAGAAACCACCGTATGTTACCATCCTCATCGCGTATACTAACGCCGCTCCGGTACAAGACCAAGTGGTTGAAATAGGAGAAGTCCAGTACCAGAAGTCAGACAGGGGTATTCCCGACGCTCTTAGAACGTATATGGCCGATTATGAAGAGGCGATCCGTTTTCTGTCCTCGTGGTCTGACGTCCCAACCACCGTAGCATTTCAGTCTGACCTCTTTTCCGACTCCGCCATGCCGCGGCTGCTTAATTACTTGATTCGCCAGCGGACAACCCTCGGTCCTCAGCTCTCTCCGAGCTATGGCAAGCTTGCACTTCGAGCGGCATGCCCGGTATCGGGTTGTGATCTGGAAGAGAAACACGGCCTGTTGAACGATTACGAGTGGAGTAGCTCTGGACGCAGTATTATCGTGTTCCGCTGCCCAAACCATGGCCCGCATACTATCAGACTCTCTCATCCTGCGGAAGTTGCTCGTCTCGAAGTAAATGCACCGACATACAACCTCCTCCGTAGCATGATACACCTATTTGACACGACCAAGCACCATATTCGCGTCACAGGCGCTGACTATAGCGGGATGCACCAGGAGACGTTACTGCACCGCCCTCTCGCCGCCTGGTCAGCCGCTACGGGTCTAGCCCGTGGCCGGACGCCACACATCTTACACGCGCCCTTAATCGTGGTCTGGAGTGGTACGAAGCTGTCGAAACCGCTCTACGTACGTGATGGTGCACACGCGTCTCTGAAATACTCGGGGATGGATAGATTCTGTAGTTACGCGCAGTTGAGAGACCGGTTCGGCGGCAACGGCGACGAAGGGTTGCGTATAATTTGGGACATTTTCATTGGCATATTTGCAAGGAGTCGTTATGAAGGGCGGGCAGAGATAGTTGGTAATGAGTGGCATTTTAGACGCCTACCTGTATGTATCATGTATGAATCAATGGCAATGGATGGGTATATCCTTCTATGCCTACATGGAAACCTTTTTCACTTTGTCACCCCTGTTGTTACTCTCCCCACCGATCCTCCTACAAGTTAGATCCTACATGTTGCCAGCTCATCGGGGGCGGGAATCGTGGCGATGTGTCTGTATGATAGTTAGCCTAGTAGAACATTATCTCCCTTTACCTCGAAGTTGGACTTAGTCTTTGGTTCTTAAAGAAGCAGTGAAAACTCTAGGTTAAGAAGTTTTAACCAAGGATAGGTATTCTATAGACGCGCACCGCGTCTTGGTGTGAGTTTGATGGCTTTTGGGCTGTTACTTAAATACCTCTCAGTAAATGCATAAAGAGGCATGCATGACATGCTCAAGTTTGCAAGGACCTCTCTGATCCAATTAAGTGTCAAGCACCATACCTGCATACAAGTATTGTAACCCGTGTACGTACCATTATATAATATTCTGACAGAGTGAGAATATTGATAGAAATCTTCATCTAATAACTTCAATATATGAAATCCTTGCAAGATGCGGCAGAGATGACCATTGGCCAAAAATGGCATCCTCGTCCCGGAGATATCACCACAAGAGCCGGGCCGGATGTACCACATGCAAGGCGAAAAAGGTAAAATGCGACGAGAAACAACCATGCTCGTACTGCGCTAAGAGACAGCTTCCGTGTAGCTTGGTACCGGCGTCGCTATCCGGGAGTAGTAGACCGGACTCGAATACGCCGGGAGTGGTTGTCCGGTTTTACGAGGAGCCGTCGTTCACCTTTACCGACTTCGGTCTGTATCAACATTTTATCAAATCCACGTCTATCGCGCAGGCCGATGATGGCGCATCGATAGCAGTCTGGCGCGAGTTCATCCCTGACCTCGCGACGCGGCATCCTTATCTTCTCCATGAGATCCTCGTGGTCGCGGCGCTGCACCTCCGATCTGCTACTCCGGAACAAGCGAAATATTTGGAGCGTGTAGCTACCGAGCACCAGGCTAGAGCTATCCCCCTATTTCGGGAGGCCCTGGCTGCTAGTTCGGCGGAGACGGCCCTGCCGCTGTTTGCTTGCTCGTGCCTATTTATACCGTATCACTTCGCCACCGCAAAGGACGCCTTATCGCTGCTTTTCAACGAGGAGACCGGGTCTTTGGCTGAATGGCTGGTCTTAATCCATGGAACTGCGGCGGTCACTGTAGAGCACGGCCCTACTATTATGAAATCCCCTCTCCGTGTGCTTCTAGGAGATCTATCGACACCTAAGCTCGGAGAACTGAATGATGGGCCCACAGACGCGAGGCTTCTCGGTTTGAGCGAGGAACTCCCTATCGCGCCCGAACATAGGGAGGAATACGCGCAAGTCATGCACAAGCTTCGTCTGAGTTTCTACTTATCAGACCAAGCGGACACGGCGCTCAATCGGAAGAATGCCGCTCTTAGATTCCCGGCTTTTATGAACCAGCAGCGGATTGGGGATGATCTTGCCGTAAGACATCCGGGGGCGCTTATCATAATGGCTTTCTGGTGTGTTTTACTACATCGGGTAGAGGATAGGTGGTGGCTTAAGGAAAGGGTCAAACCGCTGCTGGTAAAGATTGAGGAGTTGGTACCGCTGGAGTATAGATATCTTATGACTTGGCCTATGGAGGAAGTGGGGATTTACTCGAAGTCGAACACGGATGCTTTAGTTGTGAGGTAAGTGATAGTGATAGGATAGATGGACAATTTGAATATTAAAAGGTGTAACCTAGAAGTTTAATGCAAAGGATCAACTGCTCTTGCTGAGAGATACGTATACAGTATATTACTTATGTAATTTGGACTGTGCCGCTAGTTAAATTCAGCAGCTATCACAGCCAAGAAGGGAATGGTCCCACAGTGTGGCAAAACTAGTTGTTTCTATGATATCTCAACCTTTGATTCACTCACTCAAGTCAATGTCGTTCCTGTGATTGAACCTTCGATGATTTAATCCTTACAACTCCAACCTGCCTAGTTTCCAAAGTCTACATTCATATCTCATTGTATAACACCAAACGACTAAGCCAGAATTGCTCTTTATTTTTCATAACCCTAAATCCTAATAATCTGTGAAATTAAAACTTGCTTGGTTCAACAATACACCCATCCACCACCCAGCTCATCGCTTATAAGAGCAAAGGGTCACAAACCATTAGACCAGAGGCAAATATTTCAGGGGAATACTCAAAATGGCCTTACCAAGCCCAGAGACTCAAGCCAAAGTAGCCAGCGAAGGTACCTAACCTCTCCAACCCAGCCCTCTCACCCCATCTCACCTCACCTCACCTCATCTCATCTCACAACCCCCCATACATACTAACACACCCCCCCAGCCGCCCAATCCTTCGTAGACCACTTCTACGAAGCCCTCAGCAAGCGACGCCCCCTGTCCCAATTCTACGCCTCCGCCTCCGCGCGCCTAACCACCGCCGGCGTCAAACCCGACATCAGCATCAACGGGCTGCTCGTCCCCGACGCCTCCGCCTACGAGGCCTTGCTCGAAACGCAGGGCGGCCCCGTATCCTACGACGTCGCGTCCTTCGACGCGCAGCCCGTGAACCCGTGCTTCCGCATCGGCGAGCCGGAACCCCCCGCCGGCCCCGGCCGCGACGCTACTGCCGCCGCGGCCGTGCGCAACGGCGATAGGCTGAGCTTCGCGGTCCAGGTCAGTGGCGTGGTGCGGTATGGGCGGGGGCACGGGGATGGGAAGGCCGGGGTGGGCGACGCGGTGGCTGTGGGGGGAGGGGGGGTTGGAGTAGGAGTAGGAGGGAGTAATAACAGTAGCAAGGACGACAACGAGCCCCTCGAGAAGCCGTTCAACGAGGCGTTTCTACTAGTGCCGCATTGGGAAGCTTGGGGGAGGAACGCGCCGCGGGGGCTGAGGAAGTGGGTTATTGTTAGCCAGAACTTCCGCGCTCTGTAAGGGGGACTGGATGAGGGGATGAAGCAAACCCGTAAAGGGCGCGAGCAAACGGAACGGAGCGAAGCCCTTACATGTTACGACAGATGAGGCAGTTTCTGTAGGGACCGTGGACGATAAGACATACATCCCTAGTGAATGAGACATGAGAACATGGATCTAGACGAGGCTTTCTCAGAAAGGTACATCACCAACTACTTACCTACAGCTTTACCATGGGCTTCAGCCCGGGAATATGACGAATCCATGTGAGACAACTTAGCTCTTCGAGAATCATAAGGTGGTAGTTAAAGGAAAGGGCGAGAAAAAGCAGAGAGAAAAAAACAGAAACGGTCTCATAATCATAGAGGAGAGGACAAGGTTGATCCCGAGGAAGGTCACATAAGGGGATAGATATAACCCAAACCTACCTCAAAACAAGTCCAGTACCAACAACTCTTAAACCTCATTACCACTCGTAAAAACTCGTAAAGTCAACGTCTTCATTCATATATTTAAATGCATCGCAACGAGTAGGTTACATTAGATAGTAACTCCAGGATAACTCTACCCACCCTAAGGATATTATTCATCACCCTCCTCCCACCCCCTCTCCTCTCTACTCATCGCCCTCTCCCAATCCTCGTGAAGTTTTACCACCCGATCCCACAGCGAAGCTACAGGCTGACCATGCTCTTTCTAACGCTGGTCTTCCTTTAGTAACCTCCGCCTGTACTCCCAGTACCCGCGACGAATACGATCCCACTTCTCGCCCAGCCGTCTAAGCACCAAATCTGCTCTTTCCAGCTTCCCTGCCTCTTTGTATATATCTGCTAGCAAGTCCAGGGCGTGTGAACTTCGGACTTCCTCTGCTTCCGTATCGCCTAGCTTCGTAACAAACTGCTCTGTAAACCCCCCTACGGTCACTAACTTCCGGCCTCCCTTGACTAGCACGCCGCGGAGGTAATTCCAGGGGCTTTGGTTTTGCGGCGCGAGCTCGATCTTCTGCTGAGCGTACTCGATTTCGCGGTCGACGACAGAATCCGGTATCTTCGGGTCGTGCTCCGTGGCGTGCGAGCCGGGCGTCGCGTATGCCGGGTCCGAGAATACGACGAAGAAGCGGTGCGACCAGGCCGAGTTGTTCCGCACGTCCTCGTGGATCAGGGTTTCTATGCTCTGCCGCTCGGCGTCGCCCCACATCCCCAGCTTGCGCACTATATACTGCCGGTAGCTCCACACGTGGTAGTTCTTCGTATCTAGCTGGAGCATCTTCTCTAGGAACTGCCGCTCGCTGTTAGCTAAGTCGGCTACCTCTGAGGGCACCGTCACGATCGTCGGGTAGTAGTGTTCCATCATCTGTTGCCGGTGGTTCCAGATCTGGTAGTTCTTGATGTGTGCGAGCGAGACTTCGTTGAGCCAGTCGATTTCGTCCAAGATTGATATGTTTAGAGCCTGTACAATAGAGAACCGGTAAAGCCAGACTGTATAGTGTGCCGGGTTTAAGGATATGATGCGCTCGGTTAGTCTGAGGCACCGCGGTGAGTACTCTTTCGCTGCCATAATGGCACGGAGGTAAGACATAGCTAGGAAACTGTTAGTATATATAATATCCAAGTATATCCTAGCAAAGCCGCGTCCATATATACATACCCTCAGCATATTCATCTGGATACGCAATAGCGGCAAGCGCTCCCTCGGGCTCGATCTGGGGTATCGGTACGACATCATCCCACTCCGGATCCAGCTCGTACGGATCCATCTTGGCGCCGTACAGATCGTGCTGTGATTGTGACATCTCTTTCCGCCTAGCTATTTCAGCTTCTACGTCTTCTTCGGTGCAAGTGTATGTCTTCTCGTTGTCGGGATTGCTTTCGTCGGCCTTTGCGCGCTTGACTTTAAAAGCCGAGCTTTCGTCTAGAAGCAACAGAAGCTTAACCTTCTTCGCCTCGCGGGCTTCGTAGTCCTCAACGGTGTAATCGCCGACGTCGCGGCCGTTTTTGTCACGGCCCCACTGGTGATCGCGCGGCCGGGGTAAGCTGCGTAGAGGAACGTTGGCTTCGTTCAGCTGCTTCCACAGTTCCTTTTGGGCTTTGTTTGAGAGGGTCTTGGCAGCGCCCGGTTTTAGATATTCTTGGTTAAGGTAGGCTTGTCGATCAGCTGGAGTCATGCCATGGAGACCAAGCTCTTCGAAGGACTTCTGGTAGGGATTCGTCTCGTAGTACCACTGCCACTCGAGCTCTCTAATGGTCTGTGGTTGTTTTGGATATTCTTGCTTCGCTGCTAACAGATCTACTTATTAGCGAACCTTCTAACAGACTAACATACGAATAAGAATATATGGGAATAATATACGTTCGGGTGCTTTGGCTTTAGCACCTCCTTTGTTCTTTGGAGGCATGGTTGCGATGTTGTGTGGATGGTGGGGTTCAAATAAATCAGATAAATAACTAAGGTACCTTTAATTGGGGTCTCAGGAATAAAGGGCTGATACATGGACATGGTATTGATAACAACAAAATTCCACTAGTTATAGACCTGCATATAGAGGGATGGAGGGGCAAGTACAACCAACCATCTTTAGAACATTGAACCTGCCTCATATTTTTAAGAGACAGGCACATTTGGCCAATGATTACCTGTCTTATTAACATTTAAACTTAAAGTATTGCTCTAGTAAATCCCCTAAGCCCGTCCCTACAATCCTTAGGAGGTACGTTTTCCATGTATAAATGTATAAACCGTGACCGAGCCACTCATTCCCTTTCATCGATTTCGTTTCTATCGATGCTTTATAATTATTATAATTATCAGATATAACCGGAACAAGAGCCCCGAATACACCGTTAGTATACCGCATTCCACACTCCTACGATCCATAGAAGCATCAATTTCCCCGAAGCCGCCTCCCATTATCCCATAATCCCATCATTGGCTCTCCACCCTCCAAAATTTCCAACCTTCCCTCTCAGCTCCGTCCAACCCGCCAGATACCCCAACCAACTTCTCCACGCCGTCATTACCTGGTGCATTCAGGAAACCTTCAAGGTCGATTTCCATGCCGCCCTCCTCATCTTCGTCCAGGCCATTCTTCAACACCGCCGGCCATAACACGCCGACACCGTCTCCACCAAGAGTCGTCCTGAATGTTTGGTATCCCTCCATATCGAGTTTGCGCTGCAGCTTATCTAGCTTTTCTTGAGGGGTATCAGGCTTCATTAACGATATCGAACAACCACCACCGCCCGCACCGGTAAGCTTCGACCATCCGAACCCTTCGTAGTCGACTAATTCTCGTATTCGTTCGAGGCGAGGATGAGAAACGCCCAAAGACGAAAGCAAGCCGTGGTTGATTGTCATCAACTCTCCTACCCGCCGTAGACTCTCCGTTTCCTCGTTGTCAAAGTATTCCTCCTCAATTAAACTCTCCGCACTTCTGGTGACCTTGTCTATCGCATCCAAGATTGTTCCTACCAGCTCCTGGTGCGTGCTCCTTAACTTCGCAACTTTGGCTACTTCGACAGCTGTAGACTTTGGTGTCCTAGTGTTCACTAGGAGTAATGGCAATTCAGGAAAGTCCCATAGCGGCGTCACCGTTGGCGGTTTTTTATAGTCTGTCCGCTGGTACACCACCGCCTTGCCATGCGTAGAAACCGTATTATCAACGCCAGAAGGATTACCATGGATGCACATCTCGGCCACGAAGGCCCATCTATTAATCCTTTCCACTTGTAAACGAGCCTCCTCAGGGGGTTGGTCGGGATGCGGGCCAGATAGTGTACGAATCTGTAATAGCATAGCAGCAGCTAGACAAACGCCAATCGACGCGCTACTCCCAACACCAGCTCCAATCGGTATTGTCGAACGAAGGGTATACCTGCAGCTTGGAGACTTTGGCGATCCTAGTGACAGATACAAGTATAGAAACGAGGCGGCAGAATTTTGGTGTATTTTTCGCTCGGCTTCCGACTTCCCTAACGAGATGTCTACAAGGTGCGGTTGAATGGCTTTTACGAGATCGGGGTCGAGAGACGTGACAAGATCGTAGTAGTACTTTTTCTTAGAAGGCTGTTGGAATATGTCCCATGGTAATTCGTCAATGTTCCACGTATGGATAAGGTCGATGTCGGGAAACTGCATGGTTACTGTGCGTTTTGATTTGGAGAGATGCGTCACTAGGAGATAAGAGCGGAGCGAGACGGAGGCAGCAATAGCGGCCTATATATATATTGTGAGCATATGCGCAAAGAAGTAATCAAGTACTGAGAAAGCAATTTATATCATACCTTGCCATAGACTACGGCATGTTCGCCAAAGACGATGACCTTGCCGGGAGCCGAGACCATGAAGGACGGCATCATAGGACTGGAGAGCTTGCGACTCATTCGCTTTTTCTTCTTGTCGTCCTCCTCTAACGAAGGTCGCCCATTTGTACCGTTCGTACTATTCCCATTGCCGTTTATATGGAGTGTTTCAATCTCCTTGTGGAAACCATTGATGCCGTTGGACATTTCCGAGGTTGCGCTGTTAAGGAATTGTTGGAGTAAAAGTCGTGTAGAATCGTTCAGTTAATATGATGCCTTCTAAGATCCTCCCTAAGCTCATACGCTATGCGACTACTTTTTTGCTGGGAAATTCCTTGTGGAACGATAGGTAGGTAGCTTAGCTAGCTCCCAACACAAACTGAACCCCACGTAAGTTATCTAATAAATATATGCCAGATACCCACGAGTGGCGTAAAAAGTATAAGCGGCAATCAATCGGGCAGAAAAGGAAAAGGAAGAATTAGGTTCGAGTCGTGCGATGTAGGAATGAGACGATACTGGTATCGATTGTTAATAAATAAAAGTAGTAGAGGTAGTGTAGTAGTAGTATTAGTCGTAATCTCGGTAAGGCTCTTCCTAATTATGTTTGGTTATGTCGCATTCTGTTGCTTATGCTCCTTATGCTTCTTATGCTTCTTATGCTTCCTATGCTCCTTATGCTCCTTATGCTCCTTATGCTACCGCAAGTAAATGCGATCACACCTCTTTTTTTCTTTCTTTTTTTCAGTAAGCCACATTCGCTGCAAGCTGATATAACCGATTTATAGAATTTTGAAGGAGCTGCAGAGTTGACAAGAATCGGTGTAGGAATCCGAGACGAGATATACTACAATGTTGGACATCAACGCAAGGTAATCAAGTGGGCGCAAAACTGCAGAGCTGGCAAGCAAGGGGGGAAATTTTCCCACCCCTTTTTGTTGATCAGAGGGACGAGTCAAGGTATCCACTATCCCAATTTGAGATGGAAGTATCCGTGTACCTGACCAGGGTACCGATAGCAACCCAGACGCCGCTGCAATGGAAATCAGTGGGAACCGAGATATAGCCTTTTTAAGCAGAACCAGTTACAATGGGCCAATTAGAACACAACAGGAAGAACTGGCTGCTGGTCACACTCTTGGCAGAAGGTCCCCAGAGGAAATATCCCTGTTCGGCCACGCCTTCCGACTCGGACCTTGCCCAACAGGGTGTTGCCGAATGACCTATTGATGACTCTAGTCTAAGACAATCGACAAGGTCTTTGATAAACTTAAAGTTTACAACACCAACATTAACCTCGAATTATCTCATCTTCAATCAGACGATGTGAGATAACTAACATTTAAATTATATACCTTCTAGGTTAGGTACTTAAGACCGCTTCCGATAAAACAGTTACAGGCCTACATAATGCGACATTTCCCATTTCCATGAGAGCACGATAATATATTTCAACGGGATGAAGCTGCAAGCCAACCAAGCCCATCTTCACACGGCGTCCCGCAAAAGATAACATATGTCATAAAGTCGCAACACTACAAAGAGGCCCCGCCATCAGAGTCGGAATCGGAGTGAAATTCACTCACGGCCTCACCTTGAGGCTCGCAGGTCGACGAATTATCGTTGTCGAGGGAAGAGCTGCTCCATTCTTCAGCGATACGCGACTGTGCGTCCGTGACGGGAATGACTTCCGGCATGGTAGAGTCTGCGCATATTAGTTTCTTGCAGTAGGCTCGAGGGTGAATAAATAGTGAGACACACCATAACTCGAACTCGTCAACTGTCTTTCGAGGGGATTCTCTTCAAGGTGCACTTTCTCCGGGGGAAGTGCCGTCGTTGAAATAGTAATCCCCGTCAGCGAATCGGGGTGCCATTTGAGCGGCCCTGCTTTCTGTATAATCTGTGCCAGGGCATCTTTCCTGATCGTTTTCACCATCTCGTTCATCAGATCTCGCTGCATATTATAGCCCGGACTTTTAGATCCCTCGGGCAACGCCGGTACTCCCCAATTCAGATATATCTTCTGATGCGATTCCGGTTCCACGGGCCTAGATTTGTGGTGCCGGAAGTAGAGGTGGCAACAATAACATGACGGCTTGCTGCATCCGATGTAGTGGTCGTTATCAACGTAACGGAGTTGGTTCGTACAGAAATGTTCTAGAACTTGAACCTCGGCGTGGACGCGCAGTTGGAAGTTTTTGTTGTTATATTCCTCGTGGATTCCCTGTCCAATATGATACTTATGGTCTAGAGATACTAGAGCCTCTATATATTCCTCCAATTTTGGTTCTTTGTCCGGCAGCATCCGCTTGACAATGCTGTGAAGCTCGGTAAGAGAGGGTGGTGGGTTAAGCAGTGGTGGGTTAACCAAGCAAATCTCGTACGCGTCGAATAGGTGAGCCAATTCAAGTGAATCTTCGATAACTTCCTTTGGTGCTCGGACATGGTGAGCCAATCGCCCCAGACGATGGTGTACTGTTGCGAAAAGAGACTCATATTCGCCGGGATCGATGTCTCCATTGCCGGAGTAAGTTTTACCCTCTAGTGAACGAAACTCCGGTGTCTTTCGTTGATCATAAGCTTGGAAGCAAATATCAGCCACAGGCTTCCCTTTGTCCGGAATGAATTGCTGTAGCCATTTGCCTAATTGGGAATCTGCAAAATTCAGCGTAAGTATATAGCTTGATTCAATTAAGCAGTTACAACTAACCTGGTACGGAATTCTCCTTGTTGATATATCTTTTGCACTCATTTATCGCCCTCGATAGCAACTTGACCTCCTTCTTCACTCTCCTCTCGGCAAAATTTACCCATGCGCGGGTGAATCTAACCTCAAGGGGACTCCTTTGCTCTTCTTTAAGCACAATGATGTGACGTATTTGTTCCAGCGACGCTTTTAAAAACCCCAAGTTCCTGTTGCCCGCACGAGCTGTATTTGACGCGATCCAAAATATGTAGCATTGGTCTGTGTCCTCAAGAGCAATGGAAGAAGTCGTATCACCTCCTTTTTCATAATCGCAGAGGTAAGAAAGGTTGCGGAGCAGTCTTCTACGTCTGAATTGTCTAGATTGACTCTTGTCATCTTGAGAGACCAAAGTATGTGTCCCTCGCGTCTGCCCAAGGACTCTCAACAGAATCAAAGGTTCGTAGAATCGACGAAGTAATCTCGAGTACGGGTCCATCCCCAGCCTTCCTGATGTTTTCTTAGGCCCCATTTTCCCTAGTTTACCAAGAAACAATCATGTTGCCCAAAGATTGGGAGTCGGCATTAAATATATGAATCGAGGTCTTCTCGTGGCCTTAATTCGAAACCATTATCCCGCCCATAACCACGTTGTGCGACCATACATGCATTTCGAGCCATCCAGTGCGGAGGTCGTGGCACCAACCGGCTACTGACTCACTCCCAGACCAGGGAAAAGCTACACGGTACGTTCTTGGAATCGAGGGGAAATCGTGCGGGCGGAAGGCTGCAGTTGGGGTTATCATATCTGACAGGTCATTGTTACAGCATGGTCTTTTTTATAGGACCGGGAGGTTTGGCAAGGCTGTTTACGTCACTAACATCAGGACCGCGCAGTGTTTCTTATTTTCAAATGCTCTCAGGTTGTATAGACCAGTCACGGCATCTTAGTAGCTATAAGCAACATATTTAGTATTAGGGGGGGGGAGAATTGCACATTATGAGACACAATATTATCAGTTAACATTTATCATGTGTTCGGTATTAACAGATCGTATATCAATTTTGTTAAGGAAGCTGAAAAAAAGACATTATATCTTGTCAAGATAACCAAATAAATTACAAGCCAAAATATGTGTGAACAGGGAAATATTATTGGCGAATACACGCCATGTCCGCCTATATGTTGAGCAAAGATCAAGACGGTTAGGGCTTTACCCGTATCTATCATAAGACGAACCTGGTGCTAAGGTTCCAATGAGCTACCTAAAATCGCAGAAATACCATAGTGATATTAACTAATAGATTATATAGTATGCGATCTATATTCCCTAAGGGATAGCAGTGATTGATTTGCTATAAGTGTGGTGTAGTATACGTAGAAAAAAAGAGAAAAATAAAGAAAAAAGAGTAATGTGGCCACTTAGGGAATCAAGCCCCAAGACCTAGCGATCATTCGTAACAATACTGCATAGGTATGCGGTAAGTATATAGTAATAGCAGTAGTTCTTAGGTAGGGCGGGGAGTTTGAATAATTCACTAGGCCGCACCAACCTGGCCATTGATCGTTTGTTAAAATGCCTTATTGTTCCTTAAACTTATAAATCTACTTCGGGTCGGCTAAACATTCGAGATGTTGCTAGGTGTCCTTATAAAAGGTTAACCGTAGCTTCGGGTAAGTTCCGTGCTGTCGTGGCTTTATAAAGTATATTAGGCACGGACGGTTGGGGTAGTCGGTTTATATAGCTTAACGTTATGGCTTAAGAGGTAGCTATAAGGGTAGTTTTTATCAGAGGAACAATACGCTTACACGCAAACCTAGAAATTATACACATATCTTATATCTCGGAAGCTTTCATACGATTATTCACCTGATGTCTAATAGGGGGAGCAATCAAAAAGGTGCATAGGCAATTATAGCATACTAAGAAGCCATATAGCCCTAAACTACCCAATTACCTAAAGAATATATTAAAGGAATCTTTTCCAACGGTTGGCCACTATAGGTGCTTTTTATAGTGTCGAGTATTTACGCTATAAATCACATTACTATATTTTTAAGCCCCCTCCTCACTTATACCTATTATCTTAAGAGGTACCTACTACTTATAGATTTCTTTTCCTTTTATGAGAATCTGCTAGAGAATTTAGGTCATTTAAGTCGCCATTCTTTCATGATTTATTTTGTACTATCACTGAGATCCATCTTATGTTGTATCATGTCATTCCATTCGTATTTTTGGACTGGGGGATTTCTTTATTCTATGCGGCTCTTCATCTTATCTCGAGGAGTGATATGTTTAGACTCCCTGGACCGCTGAAACGCCTAAAGCAAAATGCTCTCTATTATTAGTAGTTCGGTATTAGATAGGTTGATAATTACTCATGGAAGGGCTACGTTATATTTCAATCCCTTACTTGTATCCTCATTAATACTCCTAATGGCGACTCGGCCAATCACACCATCCCTTAGAAGACATCACAGTTTAAAAACCATTACGGCCATTTCGATTATGATCGCTGTGTTAATCTTAACATTGTTGAATTAAGAAGTATATCATCGAGCGTACCTAATTCTATCCAAATGCCCGCATAATATCTGCTAGCGGTAAGTGAGGTTTCATACATGTACCTGGGGAGTCAAGTTTGTCTTGTAGGTCATTGATTATACTCAATGACATACCTGGACGCTTACAGGCTGCGGCAAGACGGAGTATAGTGAGCAATAAACCTTCGCTATAGGATTGGAAGAAGACGAAGCCACCTCATAGGATAGATCTTCGTTTATTTGATGGATGAGTACATAGGTAGAGTACGAACTAACCTTAAATATGCTTGAGTAGACTTCATATGGCTTTTGGAATCTGTCAGGATTCTAGATGAGACATCTAGAACAAAGGACATATTCAGTACCTAATGTATTGACTCAGACTCTCGTAGATAGATTAGAGTTCCTTGCGGAACAGCAAAGTTGTTTCCCTACTGTTTAGTTCCACCTCGTGACAGAATATTCACCGACTTATGTGGCGACACGTCCATAGTGAGGCAGTTCACTTGAGATTTGTCAGACTGATGATCGACGATATGACTTTTTGGTTTCCAATAATCTGCCTGGTCCTTTGCAGGTCATCGTGTAGATCACCTGGCTGCTTGTGGCCGAAACAGTACATTGCTGTGTCATTAGCGACTTCACATGACCCGAGGATGAGACCACCCAGACAGCGGCATGGGTTCGTTGCCGTCTCTGTCGTCTTCTCAGTAAATCTCACCAACAGATCACCATTACGACCTTTCCTCCACTTTTTCAAAGGCGAATTGTTCCCGCCAAGACGTTATTCGGTATGTGGTCGTACATACAGCTTGTTGGGAACGATCCTTGGTAGAACCAAACCTATGTCAATGTTGATTTTCTTGTTGGAGCGGATAATTACCTAATATTATTGTTGCTTTGGTGCCCGATTTGGCCTCACGCCCATTACTAGGTGGCCATGTAACATTTGTACTTTCAAGTCTTTGTTCGTAAAGAAAAAAAAATTCTAGAAGGATAGCACTCTTGTCGCTACCAACATGGTTTTTACGACGGCTTCTATTTATAATCATGCTGGTCAAATGACGTCGTATACGAGGTATAGTCTATAACATTATTATACTCTTGGCCAGCCGCTCGGAGTTGTCAAAAAGATCAGTTGGTCTATTTTACGAGGCATGAAAACGCACGGATGCAACCTCCACCAAGACCTGACTATTATAACAATATAAACATGTCAGTATACGAGTGGATACCTTATATATATATGTGGCTGCGGCGCAATGCGTTACCTTTCACCACTCCAACAGGCCGTCACAATGCGAGCCAAGCCAACAGCCACGATTTTGATTCAGCTAAGCCAGGAATATGATGCTTTTTCACATGGCTGGATTTGTTAGCTGGTAACTAGCAACACCAACAAAGGCAACGAGCTAAGTAAGGGATGAAAGTAAATATTAGTCCTACTTCGGAATCAGATCCAACAGATGTCAAGGAGACAAGCTGACAATAGAAAAAACCATCGCCCTCTTCCGCTGTGTATTATTCTGTTAGTCTGCGGCGCGCATATTGCTATTCTGGGACCAATAAGGAGGCGTTGACTCCTCTCGCTTCCTCCCTGCGTAGTTGGAGCAGGCGAAGGAGGTTAGGACGGTGCCGTATTGATGAAGCGGTCGTACAAGTTCAGATAAAATAGTGAAAAAGAGTGAAAAACAGTCAGTCCGGGGTAAACGATGGCACGTTACACTAGGCCAATAGGGTACTGTGTAAGGCATGGGCTGTTCCTTCGGTGCGTTTCAAGCACTCCACCTGCCAGATCGGGGTGTTGAAACAAGGCCTATGGGCGGATCTTGGCGGCCTGTTAGCTCACGTCGGGTTGTATACGGGCTGTGGTTGGCTCCGCCGTCTAAATGCAGGGACGGCAGGGACGAAAAACTTTAATGTGAACAACGCAACCGCGCATTAAGTGGTCATTAATTGTGGTTGGTGTGACTTGCTAAGTTGCTGTAGTCCTGTAACTTTGGCCACTCATAGTTGAAGCTGCACCTACCTTCCTGGATTACCTACCTGGATCATACCTGGTGTATACCTGGGTACGTAACTCTACGTAACTCTATCTTGCCCAATCTAACCCATTCAAGGGGGAAGAATGTGGCTTTCTCCAAATTCCATCATCTCCCCATTACAACATTGAACCTATTACATTTGTACAAGCTTTGCTTCCCATGTGCCTCTTCGTACCGCACGGCAAGCGAAAAGTAACATGGGTTAGTTTGAAGTTTCGGGCAATTAGGCCTGTCATGAGCAATCTCTATTTACGTCCTATTGTCGATCATCTATACTTATACCGTAAGGTACATACATACGATACATTATCGCCGAACGTAGATCAGCCCCATCTTGTACCAACCTTCTAAGAGAGTGCACATGTCCGATTCTCATCTATAAAACAACCCTCCTCCCATCCATTCACCTAGTCTCTCAACTGTAATTTAACATATCCAACTGCATACCGAGGTAGCAAAGGTCATTCACCTCTATAAAAAAATAAGGAGAAGGTTTTTTCGAATTATAAACACGCTCGCTTCGACACTTTCGCTCGCTACGTATCCGTATCCTAAGGAATAATATACACAACAAAACCTACCAGTTACTTAATAATGGCACCTCTACGAGTGCTTGTTCTTCCGGCTCTCGCCGCCGTCGCCGCCGCCATCAACGTAGCTGACTACGTCCCGGCCTGCGGGGCCCCGTGTATCACTGAGGCCGTCGACAAGCACACCACTTGCGATGAGGGCGACAACGCTTGTATCTGCGCCTCCGTCTATACCGTCAAGCGCGACGGTGAGATCTGCCTGCGAAGGGATTGCTCTACGACTGACTATGGTACGTCTACTTACATATGATATGAAAATGAAGAATAAGAAAATTAATACCGAATATAGGCAGTGTCATGAAGGGCATCGACACCTTCTGTGCCGACGTCGCCGCTGGCCCAACTGGGCCGACTACTAGCTCCACCCCCGAGCCTACCCCTGAACCTACTAGCAGCTCTTCTTCCGCCTACCCGACATCGCCGTCGCCCTCTTCTTCAGAGGAGACCAGCTCTACTGAGACCCCGAGCTCTAGCTCCAGCGGTGGTTACCCCACGGAATCTCCTTCCAGCTCCACCGAGGTGCCCAGCTCCAGCTCTAGCGGTAGCTACCCTACCGAGTCTTCCTCCAGCTCGGAGACCGCCGCCCCGCCTTCTTCCTCTTCCCCGGCTCCTCCAGTGTCTTCGGGAACTAGCTACCCTACCGTGCCCACCGGCACTGGTGGCCCTACCACCCCCGTTCCTCTCGGATCTAGCACCTTTGCCCCTACTGCCCCGTCTTCCGGCGGCCAGGTCCCTACCGGACCTTCTTCCGTCCCCGAGGGCTTTCCCTCCAGCGCCCCCTCCGGCAGCGCGACCGCCACTCCCGTTGCCCCTGGCGCTGGTGCCCGCGCCGAGGCTCGTCTCGGCGCCAGCGTGGCGGCTCTCGTCATCGCCAGCGGAATCATGTACTTCGCCTTCTAAGCTCCATATCCTTTATGACCTAGGTTGTGCGAGCGTGTGGTTTCTCGGGAAGCATCATGTGGTAGCTTATTAATGCCGTGGCTAGAAAATGGGAATGGGGGTTTTACACATACTGTCGGCCGCACCTCTTAGTTGGGGGATGGATCTCTTCGCTTCTGAAAAATTGTAGATAGCCCCTTGTGCACATGCGTTTGCATTAAGCATGTGAGTATATATTGAATACATATGCATTGTTATAGATGTTTTTTTTCAAATTGGACTCTTGGTAGTGAAATACCATGGGAATAATCGTGGCGCCTGTTACGCTATCCTAGAGATGAATACTACCAAATATCACATATATGTAGAGTTAGCTTATAGATCCGCCATCCTAGAGATGGCAATGTAACCCCGCGTAATATGACACTGTCCGTGAGCACATAGGGCGCTTGGTTGAATTATTAGATAAGTTTCGAGGATGTCAACACTCTTAATTTCATATAAGAAGCTTACCACATCAACCTGTCTTGCCCAACATGAAGTCTTAAACATGTTTTCTTTAAAAAGCAACAGCTTAACAACGCTATTAATGATAAAAAATGGTATAACGTTGTTAGAAAACTGTTATAGCACTTGTAAACCTTTGAAAGTATAGGTAACTAGGTAGCTAGGTAGTTAACCTAGTTTAGTATAGAGTATTTTAAGTAATGCACGAATTAAGACAGTATAAACCCGAAAATAGGTATCGAAGTGCATGCAGTTTCTTGGAAGAGGGGTAGACGAGTTAGTTTCTGGGTTCAGACTGATGAAGATCCATTGGTTGTTAGAATGGTGCGTTGTCGCCTGTATTGTACATAAATATTTACATGGGAGATATTGCCTAGGTATGCTTAACCCAGTTTCACTACACATGGGCTAACTACTTGCTAGAAATCGTGTTATGTGAACATTTTCATATAGACTGAGCGCGGCAGCACTAAGGAGGGCGGGTGGCTATGTGACGGTATATGAATGTCATTGCGGTAATGATCGTTATAATTGGACTTAAGGCTTCTAGGCTGGTTATACCCCGTCTCGGAACTTTCCCCATACGTAACTGACCCGACTGGGTTAGGTTCTCGGTTTGGTAAATGCGGTGTAGGGTAGCAAGGCAACTCTCAGTAACGCGGCCTAACTAGGAACGCTACAATAATAACCTCGTTTGTTATCAACTCACCTCCCCATCGTTTTACGAGGCAAAAGTCATTTATTAGTTCAGTTCAGATCCCATTACTATATCACCAATAAATCATCATGACAGTCACAGAGCTAGCATGGCTTACAGCTGTCCACGGGCCCGCTGGGGATGAGGCCAAGGATGCTACGAACCAGGCCCTAACCTTCCAGGATGAGTGGTGCGCCCGCAACCTCCCGACATTACCGAAGGACAGAGAAGCCCGTGGCGTAGGCCTCTTCCGGCAAATCGAGGATCCATCTATCACCCTCCTTACGGCTCACTGGGAATCCGTCTCTCAGCATGGGCTTTGGCTAGCTTCCCCCGAGAACAAGACTGCCTACCCGGCTCTCAAGGAGCATTTCACGCTGGAGAAGACAGTCGTATCTCACCTTGCAGACGCCGAGTTCTTCGATGCATCAGGGCCGGACGGCAATATCTCCTTGCTGAAAAGTCCCATCGTTAGTTTAAGCATCGTAACCATTCCGGCTGAGAAGCGTAAGGCATTTGAGCAGGCTTGGGTTGAAAACAAGCACTTATTGGACGCATATACACCACTAGTCAAGTTCGGCTGGCGCATCGAAAAGGAAGATGAGAGTTTGGAGCAGTTTGTTCTGTCTTGCTCGTGGCCAAGCGTTGAGAAGCATATGGAATTCGTAGGAGGAAAGGACTTCCCCCAGTTCTCAGCGGCACTCATGTCCTTTGCGAAGGATACCGAGGCCAAGCACTACGAGAGGATCCTGTAAGACATGATTAAGCACACAACAAGAACTTCTCGTTTGCTCTTTGGAAATAAAGGCCCTGATCGCGGGATTTTGTGCAATTGTTGTGATTTGTCTACAAGCGTAATCGTGCTCGAGAAACATCAATTCGGAAGGTATCCTTAGACGCCGCCTCATGAAAATACCAGCCCAGCTACAAGAGCATATGCATCACTCCCCATTGGTCCTCGATGACCGCGTTCGTAGACGCCTATCCGTCCATCATCCTAAGACTTCCCCAGTTGCGATTGGTAGTTTTCCTTTCCCCGGACGCGTGGTTAGAACTTATGCCGTGTGCTTGCCCTTCCTGTTCTTCTTGGGAACCTCCTTGATTTGTAGGTCTGTGGTTATAATGTCAGTGATTATTCGAAGCTTCAGTTTGCGAAGAGTCAATGCGTACTCGGGGGTAAGCTCTGCTTTAGCTTCTCGGCCTTGTCGGAGTCCTTAAGGATCAGGGTGTAGAGGTGCTTGGAGCATCGGACCTTGAACTTGGTCTGCGATGACTTCTTGTTCTTCTTGATCCGGGCGGCTGTAAATGAGCAAGTTGTTAGAACCAGCACCGACACCAAACTATTTTCTGTTCATTATCTAGTCACGTACACTTGGCGTCTTCCCGCCGGCAGATCTCGATGAACTAAATAACTCAATTGTTAGCCAAAATTCAATCGAACAGAGTTCTGGGACCGCAACTGTACCTTCTTGATATCGGCGATTTCCTGAGGCATTTTGGCGGTATAATGGCGGAATCGATGTTGATAGAGGTAGGAATCGAGAAGTTGACTTTTCTGCCGGTGTTGCGAAATTGTGTGGGCGAAATTCCGTGACAGGGTTCTAAGCGATTTCTCAATATGTATTGATAGTGGGGAGGGTTCTTGTAATCGATAAGAGATAAGTGTTATAAGTATGCACGGTCCACTTCCAATATCGAGATTCAATGAAGGATGAGGCTTTCCACTAATACCATACGTGGCTGATGACGTGGCGTTAGCTTCCACTATCACAAGCTGAAGACTCATAGATACTGGTATTGGTCCTTCTATGAAAAGAACCATGATTTAAACGGGACAGAGTTGCCTGATCACTGAATTTAGATATCGGCGATCCGGAATACAGCCTTCTACTTATCATTTTTATGTATATAAGTTCCGTCCGAATTGCCAATCAGCCATGCCTACTCTTCTTGATAATGCTATGAAATCCAAGGTACATCCCAACATCATCTATCAGTCTTCCATTGCTAGCTAAGGATATTCGAGCTAATTCGACGCGAGCAGAACGCTGTACTAGGTACATCTGCTAAGTACATATAAATTGTTGCGTCGTCGCCATACTGATGAGTGCTTATATCAAAGCCTTCTCCGGGCTCGTTGCAGCCGCTCTCGCGTGGTCATTGGCCGGCGGGAGTATCTTCCCTTCTCAGGATGATCCCAAGGGAGATCCCGAGACTTGGACGCGGGAGGAGCTTAGAAGATGGCTCGCGGCCGTAAGAATATCCCCATATTCTACTTAACCTACTCTGTTAGCTAACTACGCCTAGCGCAATCTTCACCCCCAGAAAGGAGATAATCGAGAGCAACTCTTAGAAAGAGTCAAGGCAAATATGAGGTAGGGCGCATTGTTGGCAGCTATTTTAAATGCTAGCGGCCTGCTCCGGTCTGGTATAGAAGCAATTAGAAAGTCGAAAAGGGCCGTCTACGCATTGAAGAAGAATAAAAGGAAGTATGGGATTTCCCATCCGCAAATTGGCGTTTCCTCCGCCATCAGTCTTGCTTTTACACGCATAGGTACCTAACATATGTAATTATACTTGAAGAATTGCATTTCTCACGAATATCGTCCTGAGCAATAAATGTGATTGTGTTGATGTGTGTGTTGATGTGTTTTTGTTCTAAAATTCAAGTTGGCGAGGAGGTACTTTATGTAGGTACCTAGGTACCTACATGTAGGTAGATTGTCCATGAGGCGGTGCAGACGCTATGCCATAGGTACCTAGCTTGTACCCTTGTACCACATTTACTAGCCACATTGACGTCTGACCTGACACGGTTTCTCGATGACAGCTTACGAGCTTACGAGCTTACCTGCCTACAAAATTATAGGTCTTTCCTTCAGCTAGCCTGAGACCTAAAGCTCCCATCATCACCGAACCTTCTAATCTCGGCATGATGGATATCCTTCAGGTATGCTCTACAACCCTTTTTTATAACTAGAAAATTGCTAACATTGTATAATTAGCGCCTAGCTAGGTTCTTAGACCGACCCCTCTTCCCGTGGAAGAAGCTCATCATCGGTTTTTCTGTCGCCCAGTATCTCTTCGAAGAATTCCTATCACTACGCCAGTATGGAGTCTTAAAGAAGACGAAGCCCCCCCAAGTTCTTGAGAAAGAAGTTACCCAGGATGTCTACGATAAAAGTCAGGAATATGGTCGTGCTAAAGCAAAGTTTGGATTTGTAAAAGGTCTCTGGGGTCAAATCCAGAATATTGCATTCATTCACTTTGATGTTCTCCCCAAACTATGGACGTGGACTGGTGGTCTCCTTCGCTTCGCTCCCGCTCGGTTTAGCGGCGAGATATCGCACTCAATTGTCTTCGTTCTCACCTTCATCCTGATCCAGCAAGTTCTGTCACTCCCTGCCAACATCTACCATACGTTCGTCTTGGAGGAAAAGTTCGGTTTCAACAAGCAGACGCCCAAACTGTTCATCACGGATATGATCAAGTCAAACTTGCTCGCTTTCGTCATTGCGCCTCCTGTTCTTGCCGGATTCCTCGCCATCGTGAAGAAGACGGGTACTCAGTTCGTCACGTATCTCTGGCTCTTTACTGCTGTTCTTCAGGTTTTCATGATCACGGTCTACCCAATCTTCATTCTACCCTTGTTCAACAAGCTGTCTCCTCTGGAGGAAGGCAAATTGAAGACCGAGACTGAGGCACTGGCTAAGAAATTGAATTTCCCTCTCCATGAATTGTTCGTCATCGATGGTAGCAAGCGCAGTGCGCACAGCAATGCCTATTTCTTCGGACTTCCGTGGAAGAAGCATATCGTCATCTACGACACATTGATTGAGAAGAGCAGCCCAGAGGAGGTCGTTGCCGTTCTGGCTCACGAGCTCGGCCACTGGAGTCTCGGCCACACTACTAGGCTTTTTGGCGTCTCTCAGGTTTGTCCAAAACGTCCAATTGAAACACCTTAGACATACTAATCATCAACAGATCAACGTGTTCTATATCTTCAGCTTGTTCTCGGTCTTCGTCAACAACAACTCCTTGTATGCCGACTTCGGTTTCATCAATGAGCACCCTATTATCATCGGGTTCATTCTATTCTCGGATGCATTGGCACCAATGGACCTTGTTATTAAGCTACTCATGAACATCATGAGCCGACGATTTGAATTCCAGGCCGATGCCTTCGCTCGCAACCTGGGTTACCAGACTGAGCTAGCTTCGTCTCTCATCAAGCTGCAGATCCAGAATCTTAGTACGATGGACGCAGACTCGCTGTATGCGAGCTACCATTTCTCCCATCCCATCCTTTCGGAGAGACTGAAGGCGCTGGAGTGGACCCCTACCGGGAAGGTGGTCGAAGAGAAAAAGGAAGACGAAGATGTTGTTGAGAAGGCCAGTGGACGGGAGTTATAGACCTCACCAGCATAGATCTCATACCGTGAAAAGTGTATACTAGAGACCTTTCATATAGACAGTCATACTTGGCTTAATGTGAAATATTGTCTTGCCTTACCCTTACATATTTGAACTATACGGATTCTACTATTTGGTAGGAAGTGTTGTTCTTCAGAAGTTCCATATAATACGTGGGGAAGAGAATATGACGATGTTATGATATATGCCCTTTATACTGCCTAATATACTGCCTAATCATAACTATTTGAATAGTTGTAGCTATATACCAGCAATATACCTAGTAGATAATTAAATAATAAACAAACATTGATGCGACTATGTTAGGTTTAGCTAAAGATGGCATAAAGAATCGCATTAAAGAAGGTACGCATACGCGCATATGAACCAATGCACTATTAGCCAATTAAATGCCCCGTGATAAGGTGATAAGCGGGGCGGTACCTAGTGACGTGACGTTTTAACGCGTGTGCGCCCCGCCAAAGACCCCTGCTATCTTCTTAACGCGACGCGCTTTTCTAAAAACCACTTAAACCACTTATAGGTGATTTGTGCTTTGCTACACTTAGGTACCTTCATATACCATCATCATCATCAGTGGTATTTCAAACAGAAGTTCTGATGTTCTGATTGCCCTCTCTCTATTTCTCATCGAGTCTGTCCTCGAAAGACATAGCCATGGCTACTAAATTCCTACCTCAGAAGCGTGCCCTTGGGGACACTTCAAGTCGTCGAAATTTCCAATCAAATCCCAACGCAAAAAAGCCCCGTCTCGAGCCGCTCTTATCCTCCCCGGCGTCGCGTCTCAACAGTTCTCAGCAGGGTCCCGGCTCAAAATTAACATCAACACAGCCGAAAAGTACCTTCGAATCAGAAGTTCTCGAGAAGTTAAGCCAAGATATTTCAGAGCTCAAGCAGTCCAATTCAGAAAAGGACCAAGCATGGGAACGCCCTCCCGTTGTGAACTTCGACCCTGCTCGGGACAGCCTCACCTTCCAACAGATAGAAGCCGAAGAAGGTACTCTACATGGCGGAAAGACTACTGTCAAGCTCTTCGGTGTGACTGAGAATGGCCACTCCGTGATGATGCACGTTACAGACTTCAAGCACTACCTCTACGTCGCCGCCCCTGTCTCCTTCGCGCCTAAAGACTGCGAATTATTCAAAGCATACCTTGAGAGTCAGCTATCCCAACTTCAACCTGTCATATATTCTTGCCAAATTGTCCTACGAGAGAATATATACGGCTTCCAGGGCAACACGCAAAGTCCGTATATCAAGATCACGGTTACAGATCCAAAGCATATCTCGAAAGTGCGTTCAGCCTTCGAGAAGAACGAAGCAAATTGGAGAGGAATGTGGAAGGGGGTCGAAGGGGGTATAATGACGTTTGATAACCTCCAATATGTTTTACGTTTTATGGTTGACTGCAAGGTACGCAATTTACGATAATTGTACAAAGGAGGCGTGCTGATCGTTATAGATTCCCGGTATGTCATGGGTAGAAGCACCCGCTAAGTCATATCGTTTAATACCAGAGGGTCAGCGGCAATCGAGCTGTCAGATTGAAGCCGAGATTAGCTACCGAGACCTAATTTCCCACGAACCGAAAGGAGAGTGGTCCAAGATGGCGCCTCTGCGGATTCTCTCCTTCGATATCGAATGTGCCGGGCGAAAAGGCATTTTCCCAGAAGCGAACCAAGACCCAGTAATCCAAATTGCGAACGTCGTAACTCGCTATGGAGAGAGCAAGCCTTTTGTCCGGAACGTATTCTGCTTGGATCGGACGAGTCCTATAGTAGCAACCGAGATCCTAGATTACGAGAAGGAATCAGAAATGCTTATGGCTTGGAAGCGGTTCCTTGACAAAGTCGACCCTGATTTGATTACTGGTTACAATATTGCCAACTTCGATTTCCCATATCTACTCGATCGTGCTAATCACCTCAAGATCCATGGTTTCGATTACTGGACTCGTCTGCCTAGTGTAAAAACCTTCACCAAAAAGACAAATCTCTCGAGTAAGCAAATGGGAAATCGGGATACAAAGACTACGAACACGAATGGTCGACTACAGCTTGACCTCTTGCAATTGATTCAGAGAGATCACCATCTCAGAAGTTATACACTCAATTCAGTGTGTTCTCACTTCCTCGGAGAACAAAAAGAAGATGTGCACTACACGATGATTACCGAACTATTTAACGGCACGCCAGAATCTAGACGTCGTCTAGCGCTATATTGTTTGAAGGACGCCTACTTACCTCAGCGATTAATGGACAAGCTCTCCTGTCTTGCGAACTATACAGAAATGGCCAGAGTCACAGGAGTTCCGTTCAATTTCCTTCTCTCCCGTGGACAACAGGTCAAGTTCATGAGCCAGCTGTTCCGGAAGGCTCTCGAGCAAAAGCTTGTGATTCCAAATATGAAATCAGAAAGCTCGGATGATCAGTACGAAGGTGCTACAGTTATCGAGCCCACTCGAGGTTACTATGACGTGCCTATCGCAACTCTTGATTTTGCGTCACTATATCCAAGTATTATGCAAGCGCACAATCTTTGCTACACAACTCTTTTGAACAAGAAAGCAGTAGAGAAGTTTGACCTTAAGAAAGATGAGGACTATATCGTTACACCTAACGGTGATATGTTCGTCACTGCTAAGCAGCGAAAGGGTCTTCTTGCTCAGATCCTCGAGGAACTGCTCTCAGCAAGAAAGCAGGCTAAAAGAGAATTAGCTGTCGAGACTGACCCGTTCAAGAAGGCCGTCTTGAATGGTCGTCAGCTCGCGTTGAAAATCAGCGCCAACAGTGTTTACGGTCTTACAGGTGCCACAACCGGCAAGCTCCCCTGTCTCGAGATCGCCAGTAGTACCACAAGTTTTGGTCGACAAATGATTGAGAAAACCAAGGCCGAAGTGGAGAAGAAGTACAGTATCGCAAATGGATATTCCCATGACGCCCAAGTCATCTATGGTGACACGGATTCCGTCATGGTTAAATTCGGGACGAAGGACCTAGCTGAAGCGATGAAGCTCGGCGAAGAGGCGGCGAATTATGTGTCATCAAAATTTGTGAAACCTATCAAGCTAGAGTTCGAAAAGGTTTACTTCCCGTACTTGCTAATCAACAAAAAGCGATATGCCGGTCTATTCTGGACGAGACCCGATAAGTTCGACAAGATGGATACCAAAGGTATCGAGACTGTCAGGAGAGATAACTGTCTGCTAGTACAGACCGTTATTGAGAAGGTTTTGAGGATGATCCTGATCGACCAGGATGTCCAGGGAGCCCAAGAGTATGTCTACCTCCTTAATTTATACCCCTTATCATACTGACCGACCTCACAGCTACGTCAAAGATACAATCGCGGATCTACTGCAGAACAAGATAGATATGTCTAAGCTTGTGATTACGAAGGCTCTCACCAAAGAAAGCTATGATGCGAAGCAAGCCCACGTCGAACTTGCGCATCGCATGAAGAAACGAGATGCCGGTTCCGCGCCCGGATTAGGTGATCGAGTAGCATACGTTATGGTAAAAGGCGCAAGTGGAGCGAGAAATTTCGAGAAGTCGGAAGATCCGATCTTCGTTCTTGAGAACAACGTGCCTATCGATACAAGATATTACCTGGACAACCAGTTAGCCAAGCCGCTTGGTCGTATCTTCGACCCTATCCTTGGAGAAACAAAGTCGAAGTCACTCCTCACTGGTGATCATACCCGTTCGGTATCAGTTGCGGCGCCAACGGTAGGTGGTCTCATGAAGTTTGCAAAGAAGACCATGACATGCATGGGTTGCAAGAAGCCACTCGTGGGCAAGGAGGAAAGTGGTGGTGCTGTCTGCTCAGACTGTGCGCCACGTGTAGGGGAGCTGTACAAGAAGACACTGGACAAGGTATCCGATCTGGAGGTCCGGTTTGGACGACTATGGACACAATGCCAGCGATGTCAGGGTAGTATGCACGGCGAGGTCATCTGCAGTAGCAAGGACTGTCCTATCTTCTACATGCGCATGAAGGCGAAGAAGGATGTGGAAGACGGGAGCAAAGAGTTGAAGCGGTTCGATTTTGACCAATCTGCTATATGGTAATGATAAGATATTAGAATCAAAGGCATCCACGGGCCCGGGAGAAGTCGGCGTTATGTCAAGGTTGTACGTTGTACGTTGTACGATTGTATGGAGTCCGGGTCGATGGTTTCATATTTATGGATGGCGAAGTGATATATAATAGTGCTTCGCAGACTCGAGCGCCGTGGGAGATGACACCATATACCTATTAACGTTGCAATCAATTTGTAGTAGAGTTGTGTCATTTACAGGGGCTTTGGCAATGCTTGATGATGGCAATGACATTTTGTTATCAAGACTACTATGTACTTACCCAGATGTCTGGCCGAGAGGATCCTACTTCCCCTGAGTTGAAGTGTGTTCCTTCTACGTAGAACAGATAGCCAGATGCCAAATACTTTGGCTTAATCTACATAGTAATACCTATGTATTTCTATGATCCAGTTTCAACTTTCTTGCTTCCTTTTCGACAGTATATACGATATAGTCAATCCATCATTCAGGGGCAAAATCACTACTTCTAATTTGACAGAAATATCACGCCTCTACCAATATCTTCGCTATCCCATTCTTTTACGAATATCCTTCAAAGCATTCTTGCTAGAGCCTCGAGACTACACACACCTGTTGCTTTGATTCCGACTAGCTCACGCATATCAAAATGGCGACCAAGACAAGCGAGAAAGTGCTCATCACCGGGGTAAGTAATATGACCATACGATAAGGTATCATCACCGCACAGGTCTAACGTGTATATCGACCAGTTGTGCCTCCTCACGACCGTCAACCTCGCAGCCCACTACCAGAACGAGAGGAGGGAAACAATCCGAGCAGAAGCCGATGCTCTACGAGAGCAGCGCGTTGTAGATGCTATAGCGGCAGCGCAAGTCCTCTCCCTACCTACTTACCTACCTACCTATTCGCCAGCACAGTTCTTGTATAGGCAGGTAACTGACTCCCAATGCTGCAGCGATACGTTGCAAAAAGTCTGCTTCACGGCCATCCGTCAGAAGCGTAGACTTTCTCACCAGCTTCACCACATGAGGAACATGTCGCCGTATAGCCAGGAGTTCAGCGCCGCGTTCGAGAAGCTGGGGCGTATTATGAAGGATACTGGGGTGGCGGATGATGGGGGCGAGGGTGGGGAGAATGGCAGTGGCGGTGGTAAGCGAGAGAAGTCTTGAGGGCGGGTTGTGGTTTGGGTGATGGGGGTTGTTGGTGCGTATAGCGGGATGGTGTGGTTGCTTCTGAGCGGTGCTTTTTAATGACTGTCTTTTTTCACTGGTATGGGCTTGAGGTTAGTTGGTTGAGTGTTAGTAGACCATTAATTGCTACTATAGTCGAAGTCCTCGGCTTTGAAGCTATATCGATTTATTTATGAATAATCATCTGCCATTAGGTTGAGTTTCCAGTCGTCTTAGTAGTATTTTGGTTAAGGTTCGGTAGTTACTTGATATGTACCTAAGGTAGCTATAAATTAGAAACTATAACACAGTAGAATGGCTTACATCATAACCACACATCATATGGAAGCTACCTACGTTTCAGCTACCTTCGGGGAAGGTGCGATGGATATTGTGTAGAGTTCTTTAGATCGGGGGTTAATAAGCCCCGTTCGAAACTTTCCCGAATACAACATTCTCTTTTCCTCAAATTACCAATTCCATCGACAACATGACCATGCTTTCTAGGATCGCGGAGGATATCACGTCGTACATGTAGTGGCATGCCACCTTGTAAGATGATGCCGCGAGAATTGTCAGCCTAGAGAACGAACAGTTCTATATGCTCGGAACTAACTTATACATAGTAAGTCGTATGAGCTTCGCTCGCGGTTGGTTTTCGTAGCGATTCTCAATATGAAGTTAGACAGAGCCTGGTCCGAACTACTCCGGTCGCGGAACATCTCGGTCAAATAGCTATTCGAGACTAGTCAGCGCAACTCTGGTAGCTATTACGCAATATATATGCATTGGCGGGATATTACTGGATCGAAATATCCGCGAGATGCATGTCTTGCAGGGTCCGTTCTGTCGTTCCCTGTCTTTACATACATACATACATACATCCCATTCCTAGTCGTCCCAAACTCTTGGCAGGGTCGTTCCGCGAACGGCGGCTGAGGGGATTCCATATTCTACAGATTTCAACCGTGGAGATCTCTATCCCATCCGCCAGCGAAGATTGAATTGACGTGAATATTGTTGTCGTCGCAAACTCGACCGACGAATCATCGTTCTCTGATAAGATGCCGCACATCTGTGGCGAAGCTTAAACTTCTTCGCATCTCCGGGTCTGATCCCTACCCTGCCGTAGGGCAACGGAACCAGACTCTCGTTGGTTGATTCTCTCCCAGGTTTACGATTCAGCTCATAGCTCACACACTTCCCCCACAGAGGAACCACATGGTTTCGTAGTAGCCGCCACGAACTCCGTCACCGCTCGGTTGCGAGCATGTGCATCTTGACATCAAGAGCATGTGCTACGAGTGTTTTCTTTTTTTTCGCTGACGACAGTTTGTGCGGGCGTCGAAAAAAATATAGTCCCGTCATTATTATGTAGCTAACCTAGCAATTTCTGGTGAAGATGACCACTCGGCTCCCAGAAATTGGTCTACGGTACCATACAGCCCCGAACATCAGCGAGCAGTCCTTGGCTCTCGCCGACAACGCTCTGGACTTAGAGAAGTTGGGTATAATCTCCAGGACATGGATCTGCGTCGACTAGATTGAGGCATATCTTGATCTCATCCAACGGGCCAACAATTGCCTCAGCCAGACAGGGGCAAGGCCAGAATAATATGAAGGTAAAAAAGAAAAAATCAGCCGGAATCGTTCTCTATGGCCTAGGCCCCCCACACCTTTCTCCCCGGACAGGTGAGGCTACATACAATCTTACCTCCTACCATTAGCGAAAAATTGTAGTCATTGAAGTCAAGGCTTGGGTTACCTGGCGTGTCTCAGGTGTCAAGGGCCACCTTTACACAATAGCAACGTGTAGTCAAACCCTTGATCGGCATGTTAACTACTTAACCATTTAGTCTAGAGGAGCACCGATGACGGTGTCTTCCGGTCTTCCGGTCTTGTCTTGCTCGAGCGAGAGGTCCATATAATGCCTCCCCTTCCCTTAATTCTGATGCTTTCTTCTTGACTCTTCGAAAGTAGAAAAATAAAGTTCGTACTTCTGACGACTCGTTCATAGGAGGCATATTTCCTATTCCTTTATATTAGCATCGTGCCAGACACAGTCTAAGATACCCAGTTCTGCCGATACCCCCCGTTTCTTAAAAATTTATACACAGACTTAAGTCTAACATTGTAACCATGTCTCATCTTACCGCTGAGCCCGAGTTCGAGCAAGCGTATAAAGGTAGAAAAACTAAAATAGCATGGCTGATGGGTGCCGACTTGGACTAACATGAAAAACAGAGCTTGCGGCTGCCCTCGAGGACAGCTCGCTGTTCCAGCAGCATCCCGAGTACAGAACCGCGTTGAACGTCGTTTCTATCCCGGAGCGCGTCATCCAATTCAGGGTCGTCTGGGAAGATGACAAGGGTAACCTGCAAGTGAACCGCGGGTACCGCGTCCAGTTCAACTCCGCTCTTGGCCCGTACAAGGGTGGCCTGCGATTCCACCCTACCGTCAACTTGTCAATGTGAGAAGACCTCTTACCTAAAACGGCAATATCCAATTTCAACTGAACTAGTCACTAATATGCGTGCCTAATAGTCTGAAGTTCCTCGGATTCGAGCAGATATTCAAGAACGCCTTGACAGGATGTAAGTCTGCGTTCGGGACAAAGAAAAACTGAGCATTGCTGATGATGGCCGCCTTAGTGAACATGGGTGGCGGAAAAGGAGGTGCAGACTTTGATCCTAAGGGCAAGAGTGACAATGAGATTCGAAGATTCTGCGAGGCGTTCATGCGAAGACTTTGCCAGCACATCGGCGCCGAGACCGACGTCCCCGCTGGTGATATTGGCGTCGGTGGCCGAGAGGTTGGCTACATGTTCGGCACATACCGCAAGGAGAGGAACAAGTGGGAAGGCGTTCTCACCGGCAAGGGTCTCTCTTGGGGTGGTAGCTTGATCCGACCAGGTAAGTGCCGTCACTGCCGCTAAGCTGCTCAGAAGGACATACTAAGCTAACGATTTTTGAACAGAGGCTACTGGTTACGGTCTTGTCTACTATGTCGAGCACATGCTCAAGTACGCCGGCAAGGGCGGCTTCAAGGGGAAGCGCGTTGCTATCTCTGGATCCGGAAACGTTGCCCAATATGCTGCTCTGAAGTGCATTGAACTTGGTGCCATAGTCGTGTCTCTATCTGACTCAAACGGCGCCCTGATTGCCGAGGGCGACGCGCACTTTACCCCTGAGCACGTCAAGGAGATCGCAACCATCAAGCTCAGCCGCAAGCCTATCACTGAGTTCGGTGGCAAGTCGCAATTTAAGTACATCGAGGGCGCGCGCCCGTGGGTGCACGTCGGCAAGGTGGACATCGCGCTTCCATGCGCAACACAGAACGAAGTTAGCAAGGAGGAGGCCGAAACACTAGTCAAGAACGGCGCGCAGTTCGTCGCCGAAGGTTCCAACATGGGTTGCACGCAGGAGGCGATCAAGGTGTTCGAGGCCGCTCGAAAAGAGAAGGGCAACGGTGCCATCTGGTATGCGCCGGGTAAGGCGTCCAACGCAGGCGGTGTGGCAGTTTCCGGTCTTGAGATGGCGCAGAACAGCAGCCGTCTCACTTGGACAGAGGAGCAAGTCGACGAGCGCCTAGCCCAGATCATGAAGGACATCTTCGACCAGAGCATTGAGAATGCCAACAAGTACGTCGAGACCAAGGAGGGCGAGCTGCCTAGCTTGGTCGCTGGAGGCAACATTGCCGGCTTCATCAAGGTCGTCCAGGCCATGCACGACCAGGGCGACTGGTGGTGAATTGCCTGACATGGCTGTCAGGCACGACATATTAGTTGGAGGAACCGGGCGGCTATAGTTCGCCCATCACGTCGAAGAATTCTCATCTCGACGGGTGAGTCGCTGGATGATCGTTGGATTCGCGATTGGGGCCCGCCGCGATATCACGTCTATATGCATGCAGGGGGCCGTTCAGAACCGGCGGATCGCATTGCGTTATTGAGGAAGGAAGGAATGCCTTACCTAGGTGCGGGTATGGGGAACTTGGCGTGGCGTAGGGCAGACAGCTAGGTTAGATGGATTGATAACTGGCTGGCTGCCGGGTTACGATATAATGTATGATATGATTACGAAGGAATAGCTGTGCCTTTCTCGAGCGAATAGGGCGCTCGGAAACATGGAAACAAACCGAAATAAACTTTTTATTTTATTTTATGAACAAGCAAGCAAGCAGTTGGTTCTCGTATTCGACTAAAATTACTCAAACCAGATTGGTTACAGAAGTGAAGAAAGACAAATTGTATTGGAGTATATGTCGAATGATATTTACACGAAAGTCCAACAGCTACTATATGGCTGCTGAAGGAGGCCTGAAATGGAACCGGATGAATGTCGATCATCGCATGTAGTATTTTTGCGACTCTCCACGTTTAGCGATGGGAATACCGCCTCCCTTGCTTAGGCTTAGCTACATGCTTTTATATCTCTATGCATTATGATATATGCATGCAGCGAAGGTGCATGTAACAAATCACATGCTTCAATCTATATATATACATGATCATACATGATGAGGGTGCCATTGGACGAGTTAAAATACCGATGCAATACTACGGCGGGATAGGACGGGGCATGGCTAGGTTCCCGCCGGACGAGGTGGTATTAAGGATTTCATTTTCAGGTAGTTGTTTACGTCTTTCGTCGTCCGGTAGTTAGACGTATGTATGTGTTTAATGTGATCAGAGATATGCGCTAGGTCACGATATATGGCCTGTGGAGTTGGAGACTAAGTACGTAGGAACGGGCCGGGACGGAAAGGGGGTTGATGGGGGCGAATGGGCTTGTTAATAGGACTGATTCCTGGCCTACCTATGTGCTTTGGAGACGATATTCGACATCTATAGATGTGATGTGACATGGGCTACCTATACCCGATGACGTTAAGGCATCCGGCATTGCTACTTACCATCTTGCATAATTCGTCGGTATAAAGCGCTGCGGCGGACCCTGGTGCCGAATGCGATCCTTATTCCTACTACTACCATATGACTCCCAGCTCCTTCGGCTCACGGGGAATTACTACATCTGTCTGCCTATCGCGTACCGAGACCAGGTCGACTATGCGGCCAGGGCAGGCCAGACAGATAGACCAGGAATCGGATCATGGATGATATATATACCTATATATGTAAATCCGCGTGACCAAGCCGCGTCGTCATATCTGGATTAGATACGGAATATAGATACCGATGCTGTGCAGTTAATGTATTTTGGTGGTAGCTCGTACATTAGGTACATACGGGTGGCGAGAAGAGGGATCCCAGGGCTCTGGACGAAGTAAGACAAGGCAAGGCGAACCGGTTGGAGGAGTGGGGATTTGTGTATCTCTCAGGGCTCAGGGCTGCCATGCGAGAAATCTCACTCGCAATCTAAATCAACCTGGATCTCGGGTCCCTAGTCTTTTCGGAAGGCCGGCATCGCCCCTTTTCTTTTTACTTACTACCCAATACCCGGACATCAAAGGTGTGTATATCTTTAGCGGCGAGTTATTCGGTGAAAAGTCCCCCCCAAGTCAGACAGCGATATTAATAGTGCCCAATGAAGGGGGCCTCTCCGCGATATATTTCTCAGTTGGATTTCATAATACCCTAATTTTACTCCCCGTCTCTAGATAATTCGAGGGGCGAAGAGGGTGAGTGGCAGCGGTATCCACGACGAATGATGAAATTCTCCGCAGTCCCGGTGCGACCAACATAATACTCGAATCCTTTCCGATCGGAATCCGTCCCAGTCCTAGGGCTATTTCGACGGAACCGGGCTACGTCGACACGCGCTTACACTTACACAAAGTGGGCTGACGCTGACGGAATCGCATGGTCTTGTTGTATTTAGATTCATGTTTACGGGCACCTGCAGGACATGATCTTGCTGCGGGATGTCGTGAATGGCGGACGGGATGTTGCCGCACGATGCCGGCGACACTCATGTAACCGTGCCACACCGGACAGTAAGTTGGGGGTGGAGAGACGAGCATATCTATGCTCTGCTAGGTGTCTTTGCCAAGTTGATCGAAGCACAAGATAAGATAGAGACGATGGGAGCACGGCAGAGGAAAGGGGCAGTGGCTACTATGACGCGCTTATCAGATGAAAAGCAAAGCTCTGTTCGGTCTCTCTGCGTTGTTGTACATAGCGTATCTGCAACTAACGAGCACTTCGTATGGTGGTATGAGGTACCTAACGTAAATATGTAGCAGCAGGTCAAAAATAGCAGACTCAGACAGTGTCTAATAGTATAAGAAGCACCGACCGAGAACTCGATACGAATCCCAGAAGCCTTGGCTGACCAATTTGAAAAGGAGAATCTCGTAAATTGACCCGTCTTAGCGTAATGACGATAATTTCCAGATCCAGTCCCGTAATCCTGAAGAATTGCCGTTCAATTGAGGTATGTTAGGAGGGAGCATCAGCGTATTAAAGAGTGTTACGCCTAACTCGATACGATATCGTCATAGAGGAGAAATCATCGTTACCAAGAAATTGATTTTCGACTGGTAACCAATTATAACTCGTAACTGGGAAGACCTTCTAATAGGATCGGAAATAGAAATGCGGTCTAATGTCGTCTCTGCAAGTTAGCCACGTTCCTCCACAAACTCACAGCCCCGGCGCTCACGTTTCATTCGCTAATGGCAGCGAGCTGAGTCAATTCCACGAACGGTCTACCGCTAGTTCTAACGGACAGGGGGGGCAGTGGATGGGGTCGGGAACCGTAAGACTGATGCCGCATATTTTGATGCTATGTTCCTATCATCTCAGCGTCACCCTGCCGCCAAAAAGACCACCCATTTAGACTTGAGACCGAGGGACCGATGCCGAGCTAGCATAGTCCGCGGCCTCCAAATGTCGATTACAACCACATATGCTGAGAGAAATAATTTCCTTTCAGCCGTGCAGTCCGGCGACTGTTTTCAGCTACGCAACTTAACGCTCGGTCTTTCTCTGATATTGATAGTTAGAACTAGTACTATGGTAGGTAGTATAGACCTCGATGTGCGGGCGCGGTGGCGCCGGACTAGTATTATGTATAAGTCTTCATTTGTTTGTTTCGTGCATATTACCTCCCGATCAGGTATCGATTAGTTCAGCCCTACGCCTTAGCTGAATTTTGGGCTGGGATTACCATTATCGTTCCAATCTGAGCAAGTCTGTAATGAGCCGTGACAGAGGTTGCCGTTTGCTGTTATTGGGATTACATTGGCGGTTTTCTTCTTCTCTTAATATGAGCTCATTATTCGCGTTTTCTGCGGTTGGAAGTACGGGACGGGTTTGAGAAGATCCTTGTTGGTGTTATATCGGCAAGCTTGACCATTGAGTCTCCTCTTGTCCGTGTAATGTTATGCTTATCAAGACACACAGCGGTCTTGAATAGTGTAACTACTATGTAAGGTAGACTAACCGTTTCATTTTTAAACAGTCGTATTGGTCTCTGTCTTAGCGAAGTTAGCACCTCGAGTTTGGGTGAAAAGTACCTGTCTTCTAGACCGGGTCGTTTATCGGCCAATCAGCAATTGTGATTTTGACATGTTAATAACGAAAAAAAAAAAAAAAAGAGAAAGAAACAGACGTCTTTACCATTGCCCTATTGGATGACGGTATCATCCTCCCCCGGCAGCATCCCTTGCATGTTTTCGTCCAAAGCCACGGTTCGTTCTTCAGCTAGGGTAAAATTCAGGGGAGGAAAACCGTCGCCCTGGATCTGGATCAAAGGCAGGGAATGCCCGTTTAGGGCTGCTAGGTATAACGCACTGACAACAATAGTTCTAGAGCATCCGTGCTAGCCGAATAAATGACCCTCTATAATATTCAGCTCAAGTTTGCATAGTACCTAGTATGAATAGAGCGCGGTATGTGGCTGTTCATCGACTACGGCGCTTAATGTTGTAACATTGAACTTTTAAAACTTATCTTGTACATAAACATGCAATTAGAGACAGTTAGGTACAGTTATTTACAGTTACACAGTCTTGCTGACAAGGGCTTGTGTGGGGAAGTCACATGTCTCCTTTACATAGATCCAGGTAGGCTAGACCTTGCGATGTACCCGTAATACCTGATAATACATACATGTAGGTAGGTAGGTATAAGAAATCCACTTTTATCTTAGGTGATCCATTCAAATGATTACATATAGGTAAGTGCTGACTTTACATGGGTGCTATGTTAGCAGACACGCAATTGCTACAGAAGGTGTTCCCGTCTTATATCTCAATCTCATCATTTGTTGTCGTTTTACTGTTCCGACAACAAAAAAAAACCCCCAATATCCCCGAGAGGACCCCTATCTTACCTCCTCCCGTCATATCCAGTGCTGCCCATTCCAGTACTGATCAATACTATATCCGGTGTCATTTTCAATTGCTACATCTTCTATGCTTTGTAATACATAGATACATAGGAAGGGAAGGAATATTATCCTTCTTATTGGCCTATGCTTTTGTCCTGTTGCTCAGCTATCAACAGAGGTATACAGCATACCAATACAGTAACCTAACTATATCTTATTATTAGATCTCACCGAGGCTAGCGTTTGTCCTCCAATAGTATTGATGGGCTGCAGGCTCGACAGACAACTCGCTAACCTGGAATACTCTGCTACTCCTTTGGGATAGCAAGATAGTAGCATGGGCTGACGATCGCTGCTTCCATTTTCAGCCCTGCCTCAGCAGCAGCAAGGGTCTGCGCCCCGCCTGGTCTCTTAGACGTGCAGTAGTTCTGCAAGATGAGAAAACGGCGTTACCACCCCTACAATACCCCTACGATGTATTCTGCAGTAGCCAATGTTGGCCGTCTGGCCTCTGGTCTCTGGTCCGTAGACCGCAGACCGCAGACCGTTGAGCCTCCGCCTTTCTCTTATTGTCATCATTCCAATCGCATAAAGCCATATCTCAATAGGCCGATGTCGATATACAAAGGCTTGACACCCTAGGTATATTCCCCAGGTATATGAGGCCACCGTCCTTCGAGGCGTGAGATAAACATTCCCCTAATTCTCCTACTTAAAATGTCGTCCTAGTGGATCTAAACTCCGTATACCCTAACCCTAGTCTTACACCAATCTTCAAATCCACATTAAGCCATTGCCTCATTATCAAGGTATTTCCTTGACATTACTTGCTTTTTCCATCTTCCTATACTTGATTGCGCGGTAAGCTTCTGCAAAACAGCCATATTAAGGCTGATCCTGGCAACCCATTGCCTTGGGCGAGCCGAAATTGCCACGATGCCGTCGGCAATTCCTGATATCACGGCCGCTGCCGCCGAAGATACCAAGACGACACCCACCGAGGTGCCGGTCACGAACGGGATAAGCAACGGGACTGGAAGAAGGCTCAACAGCAGGGCAACCTGGAACGGACATGAAAATGCTGGTAGCGCGAGCGCTTCGGATTGCTCAACTGACACCTTTAATCATAGCTTCTATGGACTGAATGCTAGCGAAGCGTGGAACCATGCTCAACCTATTCCCGGTCGTACGTTTAGCATTGATGATGAATCAGGAGAACAGCAACCTCGAGCCTTCTCTCGGATACAATCATGGGGAGATGATCCCAAAACCGCACAGTTCCCCCGCATATCCAAACCCGTGGAGCTCATGCGCCACTCATACGACTGTGTTGTCATTGGCTCTGGTTATGGTGGTGGCGTGGCGGCGTCCCGTATGGCTCGCGCTGGTCAATCGGTCTGTCTCCTAGAGCGCGGTAAGGAACGCTGGCCCGGAGAGTATCCGGTTAGCACAGGTGATGCCCTTGAGCAGGTTCACTACTCGGGCGAGCTTACCCCCGGTTGGTTGCCCAAGAAGGTTGTCAACGGTGGCGATCCTACCGGCATGTATCACCTAATATTTGGCAACTGTCAGAATGCAGTTGTTTGCAATGGTAAGTAACCCCATACGAGAATTGAAATATAAAGTGTTATGTTAACCGCAGTTTAGGTCTTGGCGGAACCAGCTTGATAAATGCCAATGTATATTTAGAAGCGGACAAAGACACGCTACAACAAGATGCGTGGCCGAAAGAAATTAGGGAAGACCCTGACTCTTTGACTGAATGTAAGACCCTCGGTATTTTATAGGGGTTTCCCTCCGTGCCATAATATCCCCGACTACCCCTACTAAAAACATAACAGCTAATGATATGATCAACTAGATTACGAGAGAGCAGCAAGTGTCTTAGAGCCAGAAGCGTACCCGGATGACTGGCCGAAACTGCCAAAGCTTGACCTTCTAGAGAGGCAGGCAAAGTATTTGAACATGACAGATAAGTTTCGACGCGTGAAACAGACGACGCGATTCCGCAATGGACCAAATAGCTGCGGTGTGGAAATGTTTCCATCGGCACTCACTGGTCAAGATGCCACTGGCTTAAACGACGGGTCTAAGAACACTACGCTCGTTACATACCTGGCTGACGCGTGGAACTGGGGCGCTGATATGTTCTGTGAGGCTGAAGTACGATACATAACTGAAGCTCCCGAAGGTCAATCCGGGTATATCGTCTATTTCGCTTGGCATGGACGAAATCGTGGCCACTTCAAAGCAAATCTGCATGGCGACCTTATGTGGGTCCATGCAAGGAAAGCTGTGTTTCTCGGCGCCGGTACCATTGGCACAACTGAAATCCTCCTTAGGAGCAAAGATATGGGGCTTGAACTGAGTGAGAAAGTAGGCCAGAACATGAGCGGCAACGGAGATATCCTAGGGTTTGGGTATGTAACCTTGTTATAGTTCTACGTGAATTCTTTCTAACAGGTATCTATAGGTACAATACGGATTATGAGGTGAACGGAATGGGGAAAGCTTCCCCATCTCCTTCTCATCCTATTGGACCTTGCATTACCGGCATCATCGACAACAGAGAAGGCCACGATAATCCTTTAGATGGCTATGTTATTGAGGAAGGATCTATACCATCAGCTTTTGCACCTTTCTTACAGGCTATGCTTGAGCTCTTGCCTGGCAGCATTGAGCCGACTGATGAAGGCCTCGTTGGCAAAGTAAAGGCAAATCTTGCTCGTGTAGGAAGCGCATTCCTCGGGCCATATTTTCGTAAAGGCGCGATTGAGAGAACCCAAGTATACTTGATTATGTCCCACGATAGTGAGTTGGTCGTCTATTACTTCCTAGCGGAGTTTGTTACTAATATAAGCTACCTAGGTAACCAAGCATACCTAACTCTAAAAGATGACAAGCCAGTCCTTGAGTTTGTAGGCGTCGGCCGTAGTGACCATGTCAAGACCCTGAACCGCGTATTAGAGAAAGCCACGAGAGCTGTTGGGGGGACATTTGTCCAAAACCCCTGGTATGCCCTGCTGGGTGAGCAGCAAGTCACAGTTCATCCAATTGGGTGAGTTATTTGGCATTGTCATGTAGAAGCCTAGATGCTAATAATATTTAGTGGTGCTTGTATGGCTCGCGATGGGACTGGTTCGACTGGCGTTACAAATCATCGAGGTGAGGTCTTTAAAGGTTCCGGCACAGAGACCTACCCTGGCCTCATCGTCACGGATGCTGCGGTTATCCCAACTGCCCTCGGTGCAAACCCATTCGCCACTATCACGGCTCTGGCTGAACGGTCTGTGGACCACTACGTCAAAGAGAGGGGACTTACAATCGATATGACGCAGAACAAAGTTCTCGATCTATTTGGTGCTCCTGAGCATAAACACCGCCGTGGAAAGAGTGGTTGGAAAGAACATGTTGAAGAAAAACAAGAGACCGCAAAACTAAACAGTGCGACGAATGCGATCATATCCGCTCGACGCATGAATGAATCCGGATTTGGCTTTACAGAAGTCATGACTGGGTATATCCATCGAGACAAGGGTCTTAAGCGGGACAACATAGACACATACGAGTTAGCAGCTAGGACTGCGAAGTCCTTAAGCGAAACGGCACGATTCTTTCTCAGTGTGCAGTCCTTTAACATCAGGTCAATTATACACGACCCTAGCCATAGAGCAACCTTAACCGGTACTTTTGTCTGTCCTACCCTCGAGGGGTCCCCATTCATGGTACAACGAGGTGACTTCAATTTGTTCTTGTTAGACCGAAAAGCACCTGGGACTCGAAACCTGACGTACGACTTTGACATGCGTGGCATCAATGGAAGGTGGCTTCATTTCCATGGTTATAAAGTAGTTGATTCATCCGTCGCGCTGTCGCCGATACATTTCTGGAAATCGACTAGTACCCTATATGTCACTATCACTGAGCCGATCTCAGAATCAAAACGAAAATGTGCGGATGCGGATGAATGTGGACTTCTGGGGGAAATCGCTGCTAAGGGCATTATGAGTATCCGAGCAGAGGATTTCCTTTCCGAAGTTTTAACCCTTACTCCCACGGGCAGCAGCATTTTCAAGAAGGTCTCAAGTGCAGTCAACTTCCTAACCTTTTTTACTCGGAAGTCCATGTCGCTTCTCCTAGCACCGCTTACGCCCTTGCAGTATCCCACGCAGGCCTATACGGGCTTCGTAAACAATACACCTCCGACCAAGACATACCAGATCCATGCCTCTGACGGGGTCGTTACTAGATTATATCAGTGGGAGCCCACGAATCCAACAGTCGAACCGAAAAACTTATTCATGATTCCTGGCGCTTCGGTTGACCATCAGATATTTGCACTTCCTACCATTCGTTATAACGCGGTTAACTACTTCCGTCGCGCTGGCTACAGAGTGTTCATTCCCGTTCATCGTATCTGTATGTTAATGGTTGCGAAGGAAGACTGGACGACATTTGATGCACGTTTGGACCTGAAAGCTTGCCTGGAGAAGATCCGGAAAGAAACTACCGAAGTCGGTAAGGAACCGGAACGCATATACGCTATCGCACACTGTATGGGTAGCGTGGCATTCTCGGCCGGCCTACTCGACGGCACAATCCCCGCCAAATGGATTAAGGGCATAACTTGCAGCCAAGTGTTCATGAATCCGAAGTGGAATACTCTGAATATGATCAAGATCATGGCACTACCCATTCCAGCCGACACGGTGTACCGACTACTGTCGGGAGATTGGTTCAATTTTGGCACGACCGTAAATGACTCCCTGATTCAGAGAAGTCTTAACGAGTTACTGCGTCTCATGCCGGATGAGCGTAAGGAACTTTGCAACAACGCAAGCTGCCATCGTGTCACGTTGGCATTGGGCCGATGCTGGAACCACCGCAACCTTAACGAGGCAACCCACAGACAGATTGACCGGTTCTTCGGAGGCATCAGCATGACGCTCTTACACATGTTGATGAAACAGGGCTACGAAGGAGGCGTCATGAGTAACGCCCCCTTATTCGAGCGACTAGACACACCAGATAATATCCGTAGACTAAAGGGCATTCCTATCATGCTCTTCGTCGGTCGCGACAATGCTGTCCTGACCCCCGAGTCCACGGAGCGGACTTACGAGGTCCTTACCGATACGTTCACTGGCGAACACGCGAGCGGCGTCCAGTATCGTCGCCGCGTGGTCCCTAATTATGGACATCTTGACTGCTGGATGGGACGTAACGCTTGGAAGGACGTTTATCCGTTTGTCCGCGAGGAGGTTGACCGTGTGATGCGTGGGGAAGAGTATAGGTTCCAGGAGCCTCTCGATCCCTTTTTCGAGCTGGTTAGTAGTGGGAAGCTGCTGTATTAGGAATATGGACTGTACCATTAAATTGATCGCGAGGCCCGATTAAGGTTTATGTATGAGTTATAGGGGAAAAGAGAGGCGTTGAAGATACTGAGTGATTTTGGGCTAGGTTTTGGATATGGGTTGGGGATGGAGGAGCGAAAAGTAGATGGGATGATTTATACCCGTTCCTTCTGTTTGGACACTACCTATATTTGCCATTATCTTCTGGGGGCGACTCCTATTTGGCGGTTTTTGATCTTTGTGTACTACTTGGTTACGAGTTAGGTGCGAGGGCTACGTTGTATATGTATCTGACTTCTGACTTCTGACTTCTGGCGTATGAAGTAATTAGTCTTTACCTGTCTTTGGCATGACTGCTAGATTTCCAGTTTCCCGAGGAACAATACTTTCCCAAAATCTTATGGTCTTTCTAGCGTAGGACTTTGTGTAATAATATAACCTAGATCATTTACTGAGCAGGCTGTCGGGTCGCTTACCATATGTACCTACCTACTATGCCCTTAATGTTTCATCGTATTAATACTTGGAGGTAGTTGATGGATAGATAGGAGGCATATTTGTGCTTTTTTCTTTGTATATTGTACGTCTCTTGTAGTCTCCTAGTATACCGTAACTTCTGCTATATCTCGCCTTGGCAGTTTTAGTTCTTTTCACATCAATTTATATATCATCTCAAGAGCTACTTATATTTTAATCCAGCAACTAATACCTCTTATTAGTGATAGACTGATGGTGGTATATTAGGTATATTAACTCGTATTGCTGTAAGGTCCCAGGATGAATGCCTACCTACATATGTACATACCTACATAACCTAAGGAGGTATTTATGTCATATGTGCCTTTAAGGCCTAGGCTTAAGTAAAGTCGGCAGCTAGCCAATAATAATTACCACGTACGGGACTACTATCAACGCCACGTCATTTCTGAGACAGTCGTTTATACCTAAAGGGTTATAAGATCTGGAAAGTGCAAATCAATCATAGGTTCTCGGGTACTTTCCTCTTGGAATTCCTTGTGAAACCTATCATTGTACCTATCTTTTAGTCATGAATTACAGGTACCCTAAATACATCCCTCGATCTGTACCTACCTAACATTTGTCTGTACGTTTGAATATAGGTTATCACACAGCGCATCACACTTGGGCTAATACTTTCGGTCCTAATATTGCAGCAGCTACCAGCCCCCTTCTTCTTTCCCCTATAACTTCGTTTATTTTACATAGTTATCACAAATCTCACTTTATGATTAAGTTTATTTCTCGATACCCACGGATTTATTAAACAGGGTCATTACGTTCTTTTGGGACTATCGACTTTTTTCTTTTTTTTTTCTTTTTTATACATCTGGTGTAAGTCGAGGTATTCTCTTCGTGGGCAATAAAGTAAAGTTAACCTAGTTGGGTGCTAGAGAGGAATCTTAGCACTTAGCCACAGCGGGTTTGCAAGAGTGCCACAGCGGGAGTTAGTTACCCCAACCCCTGCCCAACCAGGGACCCTGCCAAGCCACGCTCGGCCGTGGTATGTACATATCGAAGCCTCGTCGCACGGCTGTGGTTACACTTCGTCTAATGCCTTGACAGGAACCAAGCTCCTCATGGCCAAGGACGATTACCTTGGTGAGACTAGCATTGCCACATAGCTATTGGAGCCAACGAGTTTATCTTATTAAATGACACTAATTATGGATCTTGTTTTTATTCAGACTGTTCGCAAGGGAAATTGCCGTCGATGAGCGCGGAACCACCTAAATCACATATATTAGATAGCCACCACCACCACCACCACCGACAACACCATCAACGACAGCGCCCACGATCCCAACCCCGAGAAGCTTCGACACCCACCAAGAAGAAAAAGAAGAAGCTAACGCATGCTACCGGCCAAGGGAAGAGCGAAGATAAGCGCGAAGTAAAAAACGGCTGGTTTGCGATTCGGGATATTATTGACGAGAAGTTCGAGCGAGGGAAGACGTATTACCTGGTCGATTGGGAGGGTACCGATGAGACTGGCAACCCACATGTGCCATCGTGGGTAAGTCTTTGTGCCCCCTTATGCGTCTTGATGCGGTCCTGTTTTATCGGTACAGAGGCTAAATCAGCATAGGAACCTAAACAAAACGTAACATCCCTTGCGATAAATGATTGGATGGTTAGGAAAGCCAGATCCAAGTACACCCAGGATAAACTTGATGTAGTTGTTGGCGACGTTAGTCCCTCTATGCAAGAGTTTAATACTCGGGAGAGCGGTTCCGTCTCAACATCTAATCGGCAACACCAAGGTCGTGCTAAGAAGCGCCTTTTAGAACACTCATCTTTGTATGAGTCAGGGCTTAGCGAGGAACCTGCATCAAAACTACCCAAGCTAAAGCTTAAAATAACAGAGAAACCATCGGCACTCTCCAGGAGTGCGGGTCATGACCTTGGACATACTAAGGAGCTGTCAGAGCCGCAGGGTGAGCTGAATCACGACAACTTACATACCCACCCCTCGGACGATATTCAAGGCGATCCAAAGCCCTACAAATCTCGCATAGTAATACGGTTGCCGCGCGACCCAACATTTCCCGCGGATCAATACGTGTGCGTGCCACCCGATTCACAACAAACGGATAGCCAGCAGTCTTCTCAGCTTGCTGGTGCCCATGCTGCACTAGCTCACGAATCTGAGGTTGAGAGTCAAGAGCAGAGGACCGTGCCTGATTCTCAGGAGATACACAGCGCTTTAATTTCTGATGTGCACAGCAGTATCCCAGACCACTTAAGTTCATTTGGAGCAAGTCAGCTTCAGCTTCAGGGACGTGCCGTTGTCGCATCTCAGCGCGAAGAAAGGCTTCAGCGTCCAGAATCGTTTGGGAACTCAACAGAAATTCCTTCGCGTCAGCCGGATCGCCCTTTTGTTGGAAACCAGGGAAACTTATCAACTTCGACTTTTCTGATTGGGACTGTTGTAGGTTCGACTGCGCCCGACAATTCGCAAAGCACCATTGGTAAAGAAAATCCTAGTTTCTTGACACAAGAAGGCCTCAACGTTGATGTTGTTCCACCAACGTCCCAGCCTACCAGTTTTGCATCTACTCTACCTCACGAATTAGCTTGGGACGAGTACATCTCTGCGACGAGTATCAGCCAAGATCAGAGCCAGGCACCTGTAACAAGTAATAACTCACAGGCCGCTCAAGTCGTGCTGCCCCTCAGTAGCCAACAGGGAGGGCTCGCGACGTATAGCGAGGCGACCTTTGCTGTTTATGACGATTCAGTTGTACCTGACACTGTACTAAGAAACGCGCAGGACAAACGCAATCCTCAACATTCAAGCCAAGCTTTAAGTGAATTGGATGGTAATACTAGAAATACATCGTTCGCAGAAGACCAGCAACCTGAATTAGAACCTGAGCTGAGTGACGCAGAGCTTTTGCAAATTATTCCCGCGAAACCGGTAGATTTCGGAGCAAATAAAATGCCTTTAGGACCACCTACGTTCGGATCTCAGCAACCGGCCGCGCCTACGAATATGGATACCGACCAGCCCGCCCGGCTTACGGCACGCGAGAGACTGAGATTAATTCGGGAGCGCCACTTTGAAACCCTGAACGACAATTTCCCGCGACGAAAGGCTCAAGTCGAGGCTCGTGCTAGAGCGGCTAGCACTGATGAGGGTTCCTCAACAGGCCCGCAACCGGACATTCAAGAGGCACCAATTGTTCGAGCTCCTTCTTCCCGAGATATTAGTCCCTTGACTCCAGTAAACCTGACATCTCAATCTTTCCCGATCCCGCCTCTAGAGACAGCTGCCAACGACACATCTTCTGATCATCAATTACCAGTACCTGAGACTACCCAAACACCCGTTGAGCAAGAGAAGGAAGCCGAGCTGGGATTAGAGGAGAGCGGCCCTGCTGAGGTAGGGTATGATACCCATGAAGAAGAGCAGCCTGCAACCTTGGACCCATCAGCCTTGACGTTATCTATCGAACATGATATGGATGCCAGCCCATCAATGCCAGTACACGATGCTCTCCACAACAGTCTACAGATACCAGATGAATTTATTATACCGCATGAGGAAGATGAGACACCTCTTGGCTATCCGAGAAGCCTTCTCCCATATATACCCACGGGACCTAACGAGTATCTCGTTACGCTTCCGTTCTACAACAGCTGCCGGCCTGTATATAACGACGTCCTTCGTGACAATGAGGAGCTTATTCGCGAGTATAACGCTGCATTTCGTGTTGCCCCTCATCAAATACCACACCCTGCAACAGTATCGAAAATTGACGAGATGTTCTCTCGTCTTTTCGATATTTGCGACCTGCCACCGTTTATAGAAACTACAACGATTATGACACCTACAGAGGTAACGAAGCACCTCGTTAATACTAATGCGAAATTCGCATTTGTTGCCGAGTTGCTTGTTTACTTGGCCGAAGAGAATTCGGATAAGAAAGTTCTCATATTGTCCCGTCCCGGAAAGGTTATGGATTTCCTTGGTAACATTATAGAAGCAAGAGGTTACCGTTATATTCGATCCGGCCTGGAGATCGTCGGCCCTTCTAGTGCTGAGCACAGTCTGACCGTTGCTATTTCATCAACCCTTGATAACTCCACATCAATACCCGAAGATATCGACGTAGTCATAGCATACGACCATACATATCGGCCTGAGTTGCTCCCACAAACGGTCCGAGAACGTTCCATATTAATGGTTCTAACGAATATATGCTCCATTCAACACCTTAATATGCGTATCTCAGAAAACCTAGAATCACTGGAACGAAAGAACGTGCTCGTGCTCGCACTAGTCAAAGCAATGCGGTATATAGAAGACGTTGACGACTCTCTAATTGTCAAATTTCACATGGCAGCTGAGACTTTCTGCAAGTACATACAAGATACAGATGACGACGATTTCTATTGGGAGCCTTATGAGGTGCCAGAGGATGTGTTCGAGGATTTGCACGCTGCTAACTCTCAATCGCAAGTATCGCAGTCCGGTTTAGGGGCCTTTGGAACTGAGCAGCTTCCGGGTAGTCGGAAGAGGTCTCACGAGGTAAGCCAGCCTACTGCGATTTACATTGTGGGTACCTGAAATACTAATCCAATAAATAGGGCGAAGATGATGATATTTCCTCTAAGCGCCCTAGAGTATCACAACCTACAGTTGTCACTCATGTGAGTCACATCAGCGACTCGCTGAAAGGTCTTATCGGAGATGACACGGTGGACGAGTCGCCGAAGGCAATGCTCTCAGTTTCAGTGGGCAAGCTAGAGAAGCTATCAGCTAAGGTAGGTTTAATTCTGTCAGCAGGTATTATAACAATTGGACTAAACTCAAGTAGGTCACAAGCCTCAAGGCCAAGTTGCGCGAGAGCCAAATGCGAGAAAAGCAATTCCGCCAACTGAGCGATCGATCCAAGGAAGAGGTCGATAACTATGCTTCTACCGTTAGGTTGGTACAAGAGAAGTATATGACTTCCCTGAAGGACCGTGGAACCTACGAAGACCAGTACTACAAGGCCAAGGAGGAAGCCCTAGTGGCCAGTGCAAATCTTGAATCCAAACGGAGGGAATATGACGGTCTAAAGGAAAAATTTGCAGAGCAGCAAACACGATTATCTGCAGCGCATGAATCGCTTCTTGAGTCTGCAAATCCCGAGGTTGCCAAGATGGTACGGCTAGAGAAAGAGCTCGAAGAGTCTAAAATCAAGGTGCAGAGCCTAGAAAAGAAGGCTGCATTAGCCAACAACGAGTTGGAATATGCCAAGAGTGCCTACCAGGATGCATCTCAGAGAGCTGCGGAGCTCCAGGCCGAGAACCGCGCGCTCGAACAACGAGTTGAAGAACTCAATCGCAAGGCCGACGACAACAGAGTTAAAATAAACCAGATTCATGTGGAGAGCGAGAGCAAGGAACTTCTACGATTACTTAATGAGCAAAAGAGCATCGTTCGCGACCGAGATCTAGAGCTCACCCGACTCCGGGACGAGCTGCGAATGCTGAAGGAAAGCCGACGGGGTACGAGACAGAGTAGTGTTCCTCGAAGCCCGCGGTTAAGCGCCTTTGGCGTTAACAGTCCTCGCAACGGTGGTCGCACTAAGGGTAGCTCTAGTAGTCGTGGTACTAGTCCTGCTCCGGCGACGGGAATCTTCGAGGCGGGAGGCGGAATTGGCACTCCAGTTCCAAATAGTCGAGCTTCCCATCTGCGAGAGTCCAGGTTCTGAGGTTCCGACGAGGGTCAAAGAGCTTCTAAAAATGGTGCATTGCGATCTCATCGCGACCCCCCCCACCAGCGGCAATGGAATGACGGAAAGGAATGGAAAACGTCCTCCGTCCTCACTCCTTTCTCTCTCACTTTTTTGATCTTACACCCGGTAGGCAGGAGGGCAGCAATGCGTTTATATTTGTTTGTACTAAAGATTGCGTCGGGGCGGAGGGTCTTCAGGCTCCTCCTTTTCAGTTCGTTTTTGTCTTAGCGGAGCGTACATGGTCGATTGATTTAGCTAGATAGAAGGACCTCCAAACCTAGGGATACTAGGATCGCTGTTATTGCTGTTACTTGCCTTGCTATTGTTACTACTACTGATTTGTATTACGACGAACGATAGGGGGGCAGGCGGGAGGTAGATGGTGTATACTTGCAGAGAGCACCTTACAGTGAATACACGGTATGTGCTGCGTTGACAAACACTCGTCATTTTTGTTCTTCGCCGACAATATGAGAAGGGGCATTTTACTACAATTTTTAGATGAATCCATAAGAATGCTTGCTCTGTGCCCGTAATAGTGAACGCGACTTGATAGGTTAAGCAACGATATCGTAAAGTACTTAACCTAAGACATTGCGAATAGGTGGCTATGACTACCTACCTATTTAGCCCCTATTATTACCGTCCTATAGGTAACGAAGTCAGGCAAGTATGTATACCTGGGTACCTTACCTTCAACTCGCATCCGATATCCTTTCTTCTCTCCTCTTACAAGCGCGTAGACGCGAAGACTTGCCTATTTGCACCTTTACATCTCTGGCATCTTACGATTAATCCTCTGCGGTGTAACAGATCCGCTCACATCAGCAGCCTTAGTCGGTTCGTTATATACCCCCTCCCCGGCAGTTTTCTTTCCGAGCTACAGGTTAGGACGGGAAAGATACGAGGAGAATTGGGTAGTTTGGGGACAGTTGAAAAGGGGTTATTAAATTTGGTTGGTGAGAAAAGTTGGGTGGATAGGTACCAGGTAGGTAGGTAGGTAGGTAGTAGATAGCTATATGGGATAGGGTTTTACAGCAGGGCATAAGAGCGAGTTTCTCGCCTCTATAAACTCTCAGCCCAAATGAACAACACCTCACAAAAATGCGGTCATCATCTTCTTCTTCTGCAATGTTTCATCTTTTTTTTAAACTACTTTTCTCTAAGCCCCGAGAGAGATAGGCGTTTTTTTCGGTGTCTAATTTCGTCTGCTATTGTTTAGCGTAGTAGTAGTAGTAGTAGTGTCGTGTAAGTAATAAGTAGTAAAGGTAGTAAGTAGTAGACATATACATATGCATGCGGGAAACAAACCAGATCCGAGACACGATATGATGCCGGATCAGCTCTCTCTTTTATTTCCCCTTAACCTCATCTTCGCTTTCCTGTCTGTTTTCCAAGCTAGCTCCCTGCTATACACCAGCCCGCACACCTATGCATTTTCTTTGTGCTGCCCGTCTCGCCCTTCTTCATTTTCCCGGCAAAGAAAAAAATGAGCCTCGATGATGGGTTCGTAGCGAGATCAGGAGGGTGGGGTCGTCTATTTGGCTGTCTCGGGGTACAGGTCCTCCTTTAGGACGACGCCGAGTTCTTCGCGCAGGGGCTTTAGCTCGTCAAGGTATTGCTGGTACTGGTCTTTGTTCTCGACCTTGGCCTTGATGCCCTCGAAGATGCGCACGGCAGTGGGGAAGTCGTTAACTCTCCGGGCAGCGCGGAGTGCAGCCTCCACCACGGAGGGAGAGGGGACGAGATCGTAGGCGAAGGCGTTGTTCAGATTACGCTATAGTTACACCTATGTCAGCATAAACATTTCTCTCACTAATTCGACCTTGAATCGTTTTTATATGATATGCTGACGTCGTGAAGGGAGATTATCGGCCAAAGTGTGGGGATAGTGGGTCGACCTATTTGAGGTGTCCGAAAGCAGGTGTCCGAGGTAAAGAAGCTGGGGTTTGATGGAAGAACGGAAGGAAGGAAGCTGTTTGACTCGAAATTGACGTACCTGTAACTCGAAAACATCTTGCACCTTCTCAAATTCCGTCTCGTATCTGCGCCGAGGAAACTCGGGTTAGCTATCGGATCTGAATTTGGTGTTTGACGAGGTCGCTTAATGACCAATTGAGCGATATTCAAGCTCCCACAACCCCATCCAATAACCAATTGAACGTCATAGATGCTTCAACATGTCCAACATGTCGCCAATTAACCCCAATTGGATATAAATGAAGCTGTCTCTTATATATCTTGTGTGTAGTCATCGAGCCGACCTCAATGCTGCGTAAAAAATGCTAAGATCCTTACCTAGCAGTAAATTCCTCAAACGTCTCCTCGTGATGCGCAGCGGATTTTCGGGGCACAGTAGTGCTGAAGTTGAGGCTCGAGCCGGCAATCAGGCCCGGAACGAAGGACGCGGTAGACCGAGTGGGAGCGACGGGTCGGTTTGCGCGGAAGAAGGTCTTGGAGGGGCCCCGCGAGGCAATTCTGAGGAGCGACATGGACGACATAATTCTTTCTATTAGAGGACCCTGTGGGAAAAAAAAAAGAAGAAAAAAAGAGGAGACCGAACGTTGCTGGTCGGGTGCGGCAACGAGGACGAAAAAAAGAATTATAGCGTGGTTGTGCGTCGAGTAAATTTACCTCTTCTCGTCGGGTTAAAACAAATAAGAAAATAAAGAGGATGGTTGCGAGATGGGATAACACAGATTTGCTTTGTGCGATATGATTTGGTGGCCGTTTTCTCGAAGCGCAAAACAATTTCTTACAATCGAATGATGGGGGAGAAATGGAAGGCCGGCTCGCAAAAGGGTCAGTGCTTATTGGTCCGTCGGCCGTCGGGGTGTGGAGCTGGAGGGGGCATAGGTAGGCCTGTTACGGGCATAGCAGTTGCCAAGTGAGCTCACTCTGCAATGAGCTCACTCTGCAACTGAACTGGGTTAGCATATGTAGCTGCCTACTCAAGCATGTTGGTCCAAGCGCCGGAGAGCTCCTCGCGTTAACTTTAGGTACATATTGCACTTACAGGACAGCAGCAAGTCATGTGAATTGCGTGTTGGGCTTCGACGTCATTACTTCCATTCTCATTCGTCAAACATTATGCATGCTACCCTCTGCCCTACGATTAGTTCTATCGCCTAGGAAGATTCCAATGCCCAACCTTGATAAGAATAAAGAATCTTATCGTTGATGGCATTCGATTTGATATCATCTCATCGGGCTTAAGGTTACTATAGGTACCTATGTATGTTAATAGAGCAGGATATTATTTTCTATTGCGATTTCTGGTACATGCGTCTTTGACCTTTTAGGCGCTTGTTATGGAATACTAAATAATTTGCTTGTTACCTATAAGTCAAGTCTTAAATGTGACTTGATTAAAAGTTGCTGCACATCCATAACTGCCTTAGGTATAGCATTACTTAAACTGGTCTAAAGCTTTTGAAACTAAGGTTACATATCTTTCGGATGAGACGGACATATGACAACTTAAAACTATATTGCCCGAGAAAACAATCTATGCCCAAACTCGGTGAAATTCGAGAAGCCCAATTGTCTTATGTCATTAGGTATTAGAGACGGTTTTATCAGCCACTATTCAGCCATAAATGTAATCCGTACATAATGGAGGTATCCGTATCCTTCCAATATTAGCCCCCCGCGCTAAAAATGCACACTAACCATAAGCCCATTTTGCCCAGCAATATTGTCTGTTGTATCGCTGATTATTTTGTTGACATATGGGGTCGAGCCGTTTTTCGCAATCAGACATCTGAATACGTGTCTACAAGTAATGTTTATTACCGAAAAAGAAGTATCCATATTTCGAAATTGGCCGAGGTTGACCTATCCATCTCTCTTATGCGTAGTACCTATACCTATGTATTAGATCAATTATCTTATCTTATACACCCCTATGACCTGCATATGTGGCTAGTATTAAGTTGTGCTGAAACTCGAGCGATAAGACAGATTGGCGATTTGAGACATCATGCACATACATACATATGTACCAAAGATCAATTTATGGTGTTCGCATTTATTTTCTGTGCGCGATGAATTTGTTTATATACGACAGTAGAAAAGAATAGCATTGGCAAATTGATGGTTCCCCATTATAAATAACCTCAACGGATAGGCTTCATTTTAATAAGCATGTTAGCATATGCAGGTACGAACATTCAGACACCTTGGGTACAATGGGGAAAGTCCAAGTACCTTCTATGTATATGAAAAAGCATTGCGGATGGTATATGTACGCTGCTAATGCTATTAGTGCGCGAAGTATAGCTGGTATAGGCAGGTGTATGTATGAGAAGCCCGGGCATGTGTTAGTTTGTGGTACTTGCACAATACAATCAACAGCCTTATCCCTAGACGGTCTCCGAGGATCCCGCCAAATCCGATCGGTAAATCCTTATGGAACCGGTCTAATCATTCAATTAGCCAATCAGAATTCGACTTTGTCGCGTCTCCTATTGTTGGCGTGGAGTTTTAATGAAGAACCGAAATTCCGTCTTTCTCAACTTTTTTCCATCTTCACGAGATCCGTAATCCGTGGGTTTTTTTTCCTTCTTCACAGATCCCAATCTTCCCTTTCTTTTTTACCTCTTCTTTTTTTTCTTCTTACCCAGTCGGCGAGACCATCGCAGGTCTATAATACTTCAAGTCACTCCTTCAAACGGCCGTTTCTTACTACCTGAGCTGCTCGTCGCGGATAGCCTCGCTAGTTCCTGCCTCCCTTGAACCATCGAGCGCAAATCACTACGCGACTTCGAGCACACGCTTCAATTGTGTCCAATATAGACTATTCTACATGATGGCTTCCCCGGCCCCCGCCGCTATCTGGGAAGCATTCCCTATCCCGACCCTCGACCGACCTTTTGGCATACAATTATGGCCTTACTTTAGCAAGGCTTTCGGGGCGGTAGTGGGTTATTCTGCTGACGACTTTCGGTTTATGGCTGGCAAGACACCAATGTCTACTCTGAAGGAGACATTGACGTTTATTGTCGTCTACTACCTAATCATCTTCGGTGGTCGCGAGTATATGCGCAATAGAGAGCCCTTTAAGCTGAAGGCTTTCTTCTTGATCCACAACTTCTATCTTACCGCCATTAGCGGTATACTTCTGGCGCTATTCATCGAGCAATTGCTACCAACTGTCGTTCGCCATGGGATCTTCTTTGCGATCTGCGATACCGACGGCGGTTGGACGCAACCTCTAGTAGTCCTTTACTACGTAAGTTTTCGTCCGACAGCCCCTATTCGCAACCAAGGAATAAAGCTAATCCGAGTTAGCTGAATTACCTCACCAAGTACCTGGAACTTTTGGACACCGTCTTCCTCTTCTTGAAGAAGAAGCCCTTGAGTAAGCACACAAATCCTGAATGTATATGGAGGATCGGTGTTTCTAACGCATAGTAGCCTTCTTACACTGTTACCACCACGGCGCTACTGCATTCCTCTGCTACACTCAACTCCTCGGTTCGACCGCTGTGTCGTGGGTTGTTATTACTTTGAACCTCACCGTTCACGTCGTTATGTACTGGTACTACTTCCAGAGTGCTCGCGGAATCCGCATCTGGTGGAAGGAATGGATTACTCGTCTGCAGATCATCCAGTTCATCATTGACCTTGGTACGTTAGAATATTTGGTTATCACATTTTTTTAGACGGGGCGCAAAGCTAATTCGTATGCAGGATTCGTCTACTTCGCTGCGTATACGTACTTCACGTCCACTTACTTCCCGAACATGCCGAGCGCAGGCAAGTGTGCCGGAGAGGAGTTTGCTGCTTTCGCTGGTATCGGTACTTTAACTTCTTATCTGGTTCTCTTCATCTCTTTCTACTTCGCTACGTACAAGAAGGACCACAGAGCGCCTAGCACACGCAAGACCCTTCGCCGCATGTCGCAGGCTCCTCTTCCGGACCATCACACCGTTGCCAACGCGGCGCAAATACCGCAAGCTAAGGCCAGCGGAATTAAGACCAACGGGGTCACAACTCGATCCCGGAAGGCTTAAGCACAAGTTGATATTGCTAGTCCAGATACATGGCCCGTAGTTGACTATATTTTGGATCACCATTTCAAGTTGAAGATTTTTGTATTCCGATATGAATGACGGACTCGGGTGATAGGAGCTACCTACCTCTTCTGTGGCAGTTAGAGCATTGTATTAGTGGCTTGGCCATTGGTGACGACATATCATAAAGAGAGGCTACGACGGGACACTGGGCAGGGGGGGGTGGTAGTAATACGGTGTACAACTTATAGGAGCTTCGTTAATTGGAGTTTACGGACAATTGGGTGATGATAAAAAAAGCATCTGAGGATCTTAGGACAACATAGAGGGACGTCGGCCATGTCACGCCTTCAACATTGTACCCTTTCGTGTCGCATAAACATAAACCGGGTCGGCGCTTCGAGTCGAAAGGGAAACGAACAATATGCATAATAGCAGTAATACGATTGATAATAAACCAAAATCGCTACGAGTCTAGTTTGCTGTGAGAATAAGAATACTTGAAATTTCCAGGGAGTTGAGGTACGGGAGTATTCTACGACGCCTTCTATTACTTTTGGTATCTGCTAACAGCTCGGCGACAGATTACTAGACGGATTACTAGGCAGTATAGCAAAATTGACTAATTTTAGGGATGCCAGGGACGTACGTGGATACCTGGGTACATATAGATATCTTCTGAGTGGCAGTTTGTCTCTATATCCATCCTATTATATCTCGTTCTCACCGCCACCGTTGATTTGGGTATGCGGATGGCTGAAGTCTTGACTCAGTCATATCATATTCATATTAGACAAGGTACCATGGCCCCCACGCTCCTAGGCTGGGACTATCTTAGTATGGGTTTCGCCCGGATCTTCATGATCTTATGTGCCTAGAGCCTTAGGGGAGTGCCTTGCCAAGGATTCCTCCGGCCCTTACCGCGGTTTCGGCAGGATTCAAGTGACACGAATGGCCATAAACGTATTCACATAGGGGTCTATGATTGGCTTAATACTTATCTTGGAGACAAGAACTTGGGGTCTAGTCGGTAGAGACAGGATGGGTATCCATACTGCCTTTATACCTACCTCCTTGGATAGGCGTTGAACAGCTTAATAAGTAGTATAGATCGATTGGGACCGCAGCAATGGTTTCACTCTCATCTTTACTTCCTGTATGGAGCTCCTGTGCCGTCGCAGTTGAGGTTCTGGATGAACCCTATCATCATGCCGTCTTACAGCACGCTAGAAGTTCACATGGTTGAAAGCTATGGTCCATACGACTACGAGACTACGAACAAAGAAGCTGTTAGACACTCGAATGGTATATACCTCCAGCCTGCCCCCTTCGAGGTTGAAGGCTCAGGCGCCTACTTCCCGGAAGTTGTCAATTATGAGGGAGAGCAGCCTCCGAGTGATACAACAGCCGTTGACAAACCACAATCACCAGCAAGCCTAATTTGCGGTCTATCAAAACGTATATTCTATATTGTTTTCGCGGTCGGATTGGTAGTGGTGATCGGCGCTATTGTTGGGGGAGTAGTAGGTGGCATCTCGGGTGGACAGCATCATACTTCTAAGCAATCAAACGATTCACAGCAGGGCCCGTCCGGTATTCCAAACGCAAACAGCACCTCGTCATCGTCCTCCAATCAGAATGTGCTCAAAATATCGAAGTTGGTATCCTCAAACATGACCGACGAGAATGGCTACGTACATCGATTTGTCTTTTTTCAAGACACGTACAATGCTATTATCGAGCGGAGATGGGATTCGCAGAACAGAACTTGGATCACGAGCAACATCACGGAAATCATGAGAGGCTCTACAACGCCGGTGAATCCTCTGCCTGGAGCGCCCCTGGCCGTCGCGTCGTGCAACTATAATACCGTATTTGAGACGCATCTCTGGTTTACTGTTCCGGATAGCTATGTGAGCGCAGTTTATCTGCGTCATGCGGACACGAAGCCGGACAACTGGCAATACGATACTCTATACACGGGCGCTCTACAGACGTACCCGGGGTCGCAACTAGCAGCGACGTGGCAACGCTGCTGGAGCGAATATTGCATAGGTAACTGGGTCCTTGCTTACCAGACGCCTGGGGGAGATGTAAACGTCGCCAATGCAACCCACTGGGACAATCCAACTAGAGTAATAGGAGGGAGAGACGTGGCAGCCAATTCCAGCTTGGGCATCATATCCCAGCTGAACGGACTCGGGACTAATCGATTAGCTCTTATATCGGAGACCGTCGGTTCACAGACGAGTAGCTCCATGCAGAAGACTATGTACTTGAACGAGTGGGAACCTGGTAGGTCTCTTACCGTCTAATGCTGTCTTGTTATTCGCCTTGTATCCGCGCATGGCGGCGTCTAGGTAGGTACCCAAGTCGCTAATATGGAAACAGACGGGCTCCTAATCGAAGACCTACCTCCCCCCTCGCCAAACCTACAGTTCGCCGTCCTGCTTATGGAGAACTTCACACAGACCATGTTTCTAACCCTGCGCCCAAACGGCACGGTCAGCGCTCTGTGGTGGGGAGGCCACTTTACGTCCATACCGAGCGTCGACTTCCGCGGGGGGCCGTCGACGGTCAACTTCACCGCTATCTCGGCGGGTGAAGATTCCATGCTCTACGGTATATCCGGCGACGAGGTCTTGCAGTACGAGCCGGACCCTTTGGATCTTTTCGGCTTCACGTACGTTAGTCGGGTTTATCCGTGAGGGTTGCGTCTGTTGCGTTAGGTTAGGTACCTAGTTTAGGGAAGGGAGGCTATTTGTTTTGTGTCGGCTTATACGGGAACCCGGGTTGTGTAGAGTTGGACCGGTATAAGGCGTCAGGGGGATCTTGTCGGTTATCTTCTATTGGTAATTTTTACGCGTGGGACTACTCCCTATGCAGTGCTGCTTGCTCACTGCCATCGGGGGTAAGCGCTAAGCTTTAAGTGACAGGCAAAGGTTCAAACTGCGATTAACTACAATTAACTAATGCTCTTATATCTTTATGTCTCATATAGAGGGCGACGACTAAAAGATACCTACTACCTGGTATCTATCTATAATGATCTGGCCTGGTACTTTCATCTTTACGTCTTATTGTGATTATTATAGAAATATAAACGAGAGATCTTTAGATAGGGCTGGCCTCGACCATTCACGGCCCCTGTCGCGAGAGGGGGCTATGTAATAGTTGAACCTCTTACCAGTCAAAAACTGCAGATCGCACTCCACGCTGTTGGCTAAGCATCTACCCAACGCTCGCCGCGAGGCGCAATAGACGTAGGGATGACGCCGGTTTGAGTCATCCGGTATTACTACTACATGATATAGGTATTTGATAGAATACAAGAACACACGAACTCAAGTATATAGTTGGATGGTTATAAACTAACTAGGAATTATTAACAGTTGACTTTGACCTGCCAATTTGTCTTACAACTCTCAACTTACCACTTTTCACCTTCAGTCTTCGATATGACAGAGAAAGACAAGAAGCCAAAGGAAGAATGGCTAGAGGAAGACGGAGAGGGCGTTCTCTTCCCCTCGCCAGGGGAAAGTCCTCTCTTTGACGGCCCCGAGCTCCTCCGCCCGCACGATATCCGCGCTTTGGAAGAGGCGGAGAAGGTCGAGGCAATCGTGCAAGACGACACGCTCGACGAGCCGGCCAAAATCGACGCCATCGCCGAGGTACGAAATTGGTTCAGCGGTTCCACCGAGACCATTGACGCTTTTCTCGCCGGCGACATCGATACCGAGACGGCCGTTACTAAGCTAGCTGTGCCTATCGAGAAGGCGTATTCGACGGCAGATTATGGTAGGGCGTATTACCACGCGGAGATGACGGCGCGGAGTCAGAGGCCGGTTTATAGCCCGGAGAAGGCGCTTGAGTTGGTAAGTTGCTCTAAGTGTTTCCTTGAGCTGCCTTGGGTACGTAGTAGTTGAGTAGGGGCTTGGGCGGAAAGGTAGAAAGAGGTCATGCCAAACCACCTCTATCATATCAAGACCAAAAACAAAAAGGGGAAACAGTCAAGGCAATACATATCCACATACCTACTAACCTCTCCTCTCACAGTGGGGTCCCGAAGAAGACTGGCCCGAACCCTCCCTCCCCGCCAACGAGAACGAGAACGAGACCGAGACCGAGAGCACAGAAGGGAGCACAGAAGGGCACCTCTGGTCCCTCTGGTACGCGATCCTGCACGCAGCCAAGCGCATCCCCTGGACCGACACCGTCGAACAAGAGCGGCTCCTCGCGCTCGTCCAAGCCCTCAAACAGCGTCCCGACCCGCCCCCTCCCTCCCCCATGACCACCCCCCTAAAACGGAACTGGATCTGGGAAGACGGCACGCTCTGGAGCACGCTCAGCATGCTGGGCCCCAGCGCGCGCGAAGCCTGGAACGACTGCTGCGGCTGCGGCGCGGGGTGGACGGTGCCGGAGCAGCACGCGTGGACGAGCGTCAACGCGTTCGTCGCGCGGCTGGTCGCCAGCGGCACGAGCGGCGCGCTTGCGCTGTACGGGGACTGGGCGCTCGGCGATGCAGTCGAGACGGTGCCGCGGAGCGCGGGGCTGCACGTCAAGGCGGCGGCGGCGACGCAGCTGGCGGTCAAAGTCACGGTGGCCTGCGTGTGGATCCAGATCGCGGGGCGGTACATGTGGAATCTGCGCACGGACGAGGGGGTGCCGCCGGACTTGAGGGTTGCAGATCTGGGGGCGCGCGAGAACAAGCTGCCGTGGTACGGGCGGAAGAAGGGCGCGGAGGAGGCGAGGCGTTGTACGGTGCGGTGGGATTTCTGGCGGAGGCGGCTGGAGCAGGAGGGGGAGAATGGGGAGTTGCCGGAGGAGGTGAGGGAGTTGGCGAGGGGGTCGGCGGAGGTTATTGGGAAGTTCTTTGAGGGTTACTGAGGAGGTTTGGGTGCGGTTGGGATATGTTGCTTGAGATCTAATGAGATACCCTCTTTTCTCATCGTGCCTAGGGCGGTGTTTTCAGCTTATTACTTGGTTGTATGATAAGTTTAGGTACTTTGGATAATTACATTTCGTGTAAGGCTACTACTGAAGTCGTACGTGTGAAATACTGGCGGTGGTCTGATGGGTAGGTCTTACACGGACAGGTTCTTAGAATCTCGGGAGTAAACACTAAAAAGTACGAAGACTAGAAAATATTAGGAGTTTAACATCTTTGATAGTTTAACTACCCAAATTAATAGTCAAAATCAAATTGATTATATGTTTTTAATATCGAGTCACTTACACTACCACACACAGCACTATATAAAATATTCTCGTAGATGAGCCCCTATTAAGGGATACCTATATGAATCATCGAGTTATCTTGCAACTTCTTAAAATAAATAGGTAGGTATACAAGGTAAATAAATATGCCAGCTAGGTACCTATTCAACCAACATCAATCATTGCTATAAATATATATTAGATCATAGTAAAGACGCTATACTTTCCGCCAAGCCAATGGCAGTAAGGTCATTCTCCTTGCCTGAATCAACAGCTGATGAAATTGATCAATGGATAACCGCGCCCGAGCAACGAAGGCGTCGTTGTTATATGAATGTCTTAGCCGCCAACCTAGGTACCTAACCTAGACAAATCTATTCTGCCGATTTCACTTCCCGGATGAATACAGCCTCCCGCCTCAAAAGGATTTTCGGTAACTACCCTACCCTATCCTGCCTGTCCACCCTGCGATCTAGTCTCCGCTCAGTTCAGATACAACGTAGGTAACGCTAGATCTCGCTAGCTACTCAGCCGCTTTCTTGGCATTACGCATCCTATTCAGGAATTGGTTATGTTGTTAGGTAATTATACCAAGGAAACTGTCACTTTCTTTTGTTTCTTATTTCTTATGCCGTCATTATATATACCTACTTCTAACCTGGGTATTTAATCTACCTAAATAGGTTAGGTACGATACCCGGGTATCTGATCCGCCGTGGGATCTATAGCCAGCAAGGGGGGAGGGGGGAGAGGGGGAGAGGGGGATGATTTCTCGGGTTCCCAACCTACCGGGACGCACCAAGTAGCCTGGTGCTGCTTTACATAGTATATTTATTGCATAGGTCCTATAGTTATAAACGTCCTTTACGAGTCTCTCCTATTGTACTACCAACCTGTCTCAGTATTTACCTTGGGCTGATGTTCACTTCGCTAAACCGGAGCATTCAAGTCACGCCTCGCCTCTCAACTCGTCGGTAAGACCATTCTGTCGTCATGTTGGATATATACATACCTAGGTATTAGGTACCGCTATGTTAGCTCTCGTCGCTGTGGACTCTATCAAGTCCCATCAGAGGAGGTGACGATAAGCCTTTTTTCAGCTCCCCACACCAGACCTCTGGGTCTGCCGACGTGGCGGTTGGAAGCTGGGAACTAATCCCTTTCTTCCCTCCCTCTTAGACTTTTTTCGGCTCGTCAGAATGCCGCTGAGTAGTTTACCACCTTAGCGCAGCCAGAGCGTAAGCCAAATCGGCAGACGGGCCTGTCGATCAGAATGCATGAGCCGCTAGTTTCACAACGCCATCGTTGCAATTGGTTGGCTTCGTTCTCTCATGCATGTCTTGATCAGGTTTTGTTTTGCTCTTGTTTACTGCACCGTCTGCAAGGTCTGGTCCATATCACAAATATACCCCGTCATGATATCACCAAGCGAAATTTCGATGTACCACACAACATCCGCTGGCAAATTTCGTGGCGTTCCTTGCGAATGCGCTATTGGAGGTCGCCGATACGACCCTGCCAGTAGGATATGCAGCACAATATAAACAGCCCGTCCGTCCCGGTTAGGACTGACCAACAAGAGAATCTCGAGAATCTCGAGAATCTGGCAAAGTCGTCTCTTCATTCCTCAAGGCTTCTCACCTGTCAACTTTCACAATGGCGATCCGATCTCTTCTCCAGCTGTGCCTTTTGAGCCCTCTCGTTTCTGTTGCTATTGCGAAGCCTATCATAGGAAAGAGAGGCTCTTTTGCCGACACTCAGAAACTCTCTGACCCGTCCTATGGCCCAGTTCCTGGTCAGAGCCCGATCTTCAGCTCGTACTATGGCGTCGAGGCACCTTTCCCTGGAAACTTGAGAGATGCCGTCCTGCCGACCAAGGCCGGCCCGCCTGGTGAGGACGATGTAGTCTGGCAGAACTTGCTCTCAGCCGAATGGGTCATCTTCGATTTCTACCAGCAAGCTGTCGAAGCCTTCAACGAGACGGCCTTCATCAAGGCTGGCATGCCCAACACCACATACAAACGCATCCAAGAGATCCGTAATAACGAAGCCGGCCATCTACGCATCTTCCAGAACCAGATCTCCGCCACGTCGGTTAAGCCCGGCGCGTGCGAGCATCAGTTCCCCTTCTACGATCCCATCTCATTCCTAGCCCTCGTCACCGTCCTCGAGGTCTCCAGCATGGCTTTCTTGACCGGACTGGTGCGAGATGCTAAGCTCCCCTCCTCGCAGGCTGCTATGCTTTCGATCGCCGAAACCGAGGCGCGCCACGAAGTCTGGAGCTTGATCGAGATCTGGAAGACTAACCCCTTCGGCGGCCCAGCCGACACCGTATTCCCCTACGCCAACCAGATCCTCGACACTACCAACGCCTTCATCGTACCCGGTAGCTGCCCCGTAGAGAACCCCGAGTACCCCTCGCCGCGCCAGAAGCTGCCCGCTCTCAGCGCTGCCAAAGACACCAAGTCGCTGACGCCCGGCTCCAACATCGGGCTCAGCTTCACCGACCCGACCAACCAGCCCAAGTTCGACAGCGACAAGGAGTACTACGCTGTCTTCTTCCACGGCGTTGCCAACATCAGCGTGCCTATTGACACGTCGTGCTGGCCCGAGAAAGAGATCCGCGTCACCATCCCCGAGCAATTCGAGACCAAGGGCGTCATCGCCGCCGTGGTCGCCGATGCCCCCGGTGCTCCGACCAAGGAGAACGTCGTCGCTGGACCGGGTATCATCCTCGAACAGCCAGCCGCGCTTGCTACGAAGCTATTGTAAATGTGATATACGATATGGTCGTTGGAGTACATAGTGGTATATGAACTGGATAGTCGGCTTTACCAATACATATACAGGCGGGGGTTTAAAATAATGGTTTGGAGCTACATTTTAATAATGTCAATGTTTAATCACCTTGTCTAAATGTCATAAATATATCCAATCCAATCGCGAGATGGAGTTTAAATCGCAGGCAGAACATACTTCAGACTGTCGAATAATCAGATATCAACCTGGGGGCCTTTTCGTTTGTCGGTCGTTACGGTAGTGGATCATATCCTCCCAAATTAAATCAACCATCTTCTTTTCTACATACCTATATCCCTGTACTTGCCCCCCTCGACATTCATTCTTAGTAGGCTGGTAACCCCCCAGATGTGATCATACCCATCTCTAAGTCTAAAACTGATCCCTCTCTCAAGACCCCGGGTATCGATTATTTTCGTAGCGCTTAGGACTCCATAACATTGCAGCCGGCACCTTGTCCTACGAAGGCAAATTATGTTAGTTTATCTATTTTCCTAGGAGCGAGGGGACTAGCGTATGTATAAGTAAATAGATAGGGGTTAGTAGTTATGGGTTATAGAGAAGTAGAGAACAGGGAAGGGGAAAAGACTAATGCTTACCGCACCAGATCTGTCACAGCTGCTCGCAGATCCTCTTGCCGAGGCCATGCTCGTCGCCGCAGTTCAAGGGGACGGTGTTCTTGTAACACTGGTTGCAGGCCTGCTGGGCTGCGTTGTTCGGGTAGTTCGTGATAGTAGAGTAGAGTAGTCTGAAAAGGCACTGGATAACTGTGATTTATGTAGACTTTGGGAGTAAATAAACTCGAGAGGGACATATGTTTATGTAGATATTTAGATGTCTGTCCTATCCTATATGTTTAGCTCGTGCTATCGTCGTAGCTACCACACGATTCATTATTTCCTTACGAGAATCACAGAAAGGGTTCAAGCTAAGAAGCTCTAAGGCGGCCGTCCGACGAACAATAGCGTGTATCATGGGAGGACATCGCTCTGACTGGGTTCTTTAGTATTCACTCGGTGACGATAGTGGCAAGAGAGTGGCTGTCAATTATAGATCGTGACATTACCTATTGCAGTCTTAGTCCTATATGCACCTAGGAACGATTTAGAAGATATCACAACGTCGCACTCGAATTGCCTGTTCCCTAAGTTCGTACAACTGGATTTGGCTTCGCTCTTAATCGTGTGCTAATATAGTAACACGGGTAGGCAGCCCTTCGCTTGCCAAACCCTGTGATCACAATGCACACGGTAGAAATAGTCGCCTTATCATCCTTCTAGGCGTCCGCAAATATAACAATACGTAAAGTACCCTGTAAAAAATCCAATGGATTCAAAAGCTTTTTAGAATCATACACACCCTTTCCTTTCGCGCCGATGAGGGCAGCCCCTATTACAGAACAGAATGCCATTTCTATTTCGCCAACGATACTTGTAAATAAATCATTACAATCCTATCACGCATATGCCGTCGACTAGTCCGGTAAAAAAAAAAAAAAGGGTTGATGTGACCACCCAGGGAATCGAGCCCCAAAGCCTAGCGATACTTCATAAGAATAGTATAAGGATGTTTCATAGGTATGCGGTAGTAGTAGTTCTTAGGTGGGGCGGGGAAATATCGCTAGACCGTACCAACCTGGCCATTGTTTATTTGTTAAAGACCTCCTCTGGTCTTTTTACTTATAAGGTCTTATTCTGGATGGGAAAAGGTCGGGTGTAGAGCGTGGCTTGGTAGAAAGTTCTCGTAGTCGTGGCTGTTGAGCTTTTTTGGAGGATACGTGTTATTGTTTGCTCTCGGACGGGTGGAAAGTTAAAGAGTGATGATAGTATAGAAAAGGGCCGTGCTAGTGTGGTAGTTTCTTTGAACCGTGGATATATTTCGTTCTGGGTGCTAGTATTAGGTCAGTTGTTATCTTGTTATTCGTCTAACATCTACTAGAGAGCATTGAACTTTATAATAAAACACGGTATAGTGTCAGACGCGTAACAGGACTCTATAATGGAAGAGTTGGTATAGGGGTGAGCATACCTATGATATAGATAGACTGTTCATATACCAAAGTATTTTCGATATATTACTTTGAAGTAGATGTGACTTAGGTATGTAAACGACTATCAAGCCCAGTACATCTTAGTTGAATCTCTAATGTCGCTTGGACGGAATGCTCTATTATATCGATGCCCATAAACGACAAGACGAGACACATACGGATATCCATATGGAGTAGGGTCGACAGTATCCAGGTCAGTAACAACCGGCCAACAAACCACCGCAACGGCAACAGCCCCGGGCCCGTCGTATCCGCAAATACAACAAGCGAAACCCGACCAGCAGTCCGCTCCCGCATCGTGCGACCCGGACACACATCTCTACCCACACAATGGCGTACAGCTAGATCGATCCCGCAGTCTCGTCTCCATTACCACGTGCCCGGAATCTCCAGAAGATCGATTATCCCCCCCCCGGCAGAAGCCAAGGCCGGCGCGACGAGGGCATCTGAAACGCGGCAGGGAAGAGGCGAAACGGTAGGGCTCGCGGATACCCACCGTCTGTGCGCGGTAACGACGACATCGCATCTCGTCGTCTCAAGTTTCAGATCGTACCTTGCATCCTCGTGCTGGGAGGGGGGGTCTTATCACGTCGTATTACATTTTCCCTTGCCTTTTCTTTTTCTTTTTCTTGTTCGTGGTGACGTGACGAGACGTGACGTGACGGGACGGGATTAATGGGTTTGCTTTGCTTCGCCGCGCTCCAGCTACGTTATGATAGTTCTGTTCTGACACCGGGATCGGCGTGGGGCACGGGGATTACCGTCTACTATGTATGCGGACATATCGGAAGAGACGGCCTCCCTCACTTTGTAGCTCGCCTGCTGAATGAATGAATGAATGAATGAACATGTCAGCCACGGGGGCTAAACACTATAAGCAACTAGGTTAACTCGTTAGCTTGAACTGCATATGCGCTCACTATATCTAAGCGCCTCAATCATCCGATTCTTCGTACGAATCGACAACAGCACTTATATACATAGGTAGACAGAGGGCGGCGCGAAGTTGGGACAGAGTTGCGCCTCGATGGGCGACACCGCAGAACCCCTCCCCCTCTATCGCGACTTTGCTCAAAGCTCCATCTCGACTCCTGAGAGGGGGAGGGGCGTTTTCCCATGCCGTTACTAGGAATTAAGCTTCTGGGCGCAGCTCGTTTGATACCTAGGTATGCTTCGGGGCCTGTTTCATCCAGGGACAAGCCACGCGCGCCCGTCCAGCTGGTACAGTTAGGTACATACACATCTACAGTTGAAGCTTTAGGTACCTAATGTATCTAAATCGTCCAATTAAATAAATAATAGGCCCCCGTCTTTGCTCTGATATCGAGGTCTTCAACATCGGACGGTTTCCTCCATAACTTAATGTGCCTTAGACTATATATCGTCTGTATTATATACGTGCCATGCTATAATATAAGTGAGATGCACGCAATTGGTCCGGGTGCTTAAGATCTTAGGTTAAAGCGTTCTGGTTTCTGGGCGAACGAGTGGTTGGCGGTTGATCGCCCAGCCGGGTTTAGTTAGGGTCTTGCATATCTGCTATGCTACGCCGTATTAGTGGTAAGTGAGTAAGAAGCCGGCGAACTAGACCCCAAAGCCATCAAGTGTTTATGCAGGTGCTGTGGGCGTCTAGCTTTTTTGGTATCGTGATTCGTTTGTGTGAGATGGGGGCAACCGCTGCGTTGGGGTTGGGTTGCATGATACATAAACCTACGATGTATGTAGTGTAGTTATACATAGTTACCTGTTATCCTTATATCTGCAGATGTATATGAGGTAGTTAGTATATGAGGTAGTATATGCAGTGCACGTACTACATGCATGTACATAAATCGCTGCCCCTTGCTTTTTTCGTCGGTCGCGCTGTCGTGTCATGTTCATGCATAGGTAGGTATATACATACATGTACAAGATATGAAGTACGACAGTATGTACAATACAGTATACTACCTACCTAGCATATATCTAAGGTTATACGTGCGTGCGGTAGCGTTGTGCCACTTGGAACTTCCAAGTTGGAAGTTTGCTGTTGATAGCCAAGTACCCGTTAGTTCCCTGCGCCATCTTCTGGATTACATATTCCGTACATATGTCTAAGGTAGTAAACTGCGAGTAAAATACAGATGCAGTTGGGTATATGTACCTACCTAGGTAGGTATATATATCCTTAGCATCTTAACGATCTAGTTCTGCGGCGATTCATTATGCCTCGATTATATCCGAGGATAACGTACATAGATTGAACCTCCTCCTCTTATAATAGGTATATCTTATATAAGTCGCGATGCGCGCATTCGTCGAATTAGCGGTGACTTTTCCTTATAGCCCCCCCACCCGCTCCGCCATACCATGCCATACCATACCACATATACATAGCGAACGTCAAGGTGGGCATTGGCGGTCGCCGGTTCTGGACTGGCGGGATGGGGTCACGCAGCATTACATAGTAACCTAATATATTATAGTTTGGACGAACTTTTCCGTAAAACTCTCGGTGACTACATTCCGAAGGTGGCGCATTGCCTATCGGGGCGGTAAAACTCGCTTACACAGATCTTGTTTTTTTTTTAATAAAAAAGGGGGAAACGAGAGATAGAGATACACACGCATAGTTAAAGTTAGGTTGGGTATTACATACACGGCAGCATGCAGATTGCAGCTTGCAGCTTGCAGGTTTAGCAGGGCGTTGGTGATATGATAGTGACGGTTAGCAGGCTGTGATGCTTCTCCCGTATCCGTTAGTCCTGCTAAATAAAGTCTTTTGAAAATAAAGTCCTTGATGTCAATACCTCGTATGTGCTTTTCTCAAGACTTCTAAAGGAGGTTGGTGAACTACTAGTACGGCAAGTGATAGTTACCTATGCTGGATACTAGTGTAAATTCAGACTTATGAGTTGGCTGGGGTGTGGTGGAGGATAATGATGATTGGTTTGCAGCATTTTCTTAGTGTTGTTCCTTGCAGGTATAAGCCAGTCCATACATGTAGGTCTTGCTCGTAACGACGATGGTGTCAACTCCTTAGACCGCCCGCTATCGGCAGAAGAAGAAAAAATATAATTCTCGAGGGAGCCAAGACAGGGATGCGCTCTACGATATGATCGTCGCTATTGGAGATGCGGTAAGGCCGAGTGTGAAACTTGTTGTGCTGAAAAATTGAAAAAACCAAGATATCGCTGTATCGTCAAAGTTTCGTTTCGCCAATTATAGACCAGGGACTCTTGTTATACTGAAACATTGATCAAGCCCAGGCCAACTCCAGACGAAACGGATAGAAACTAGCAACAGAATCCTGCACGTCGCAGATACCTAAGCCATATTTATCACTTTCGCACACATTGAAACCATGAAGATAATAAACTTAGTTAATAGTGAAATCAAAGTGAGTTGTGACGTGGTATCATTCATCTAATAATCATTGTGTAAGCGCTATAGCAGCGTTAATAGACCCATGTAATCCTCCCATTAGCGTATTGCTACCAATTTTCCCCCTTATACTGTGGCCGTTGCTCATTAATCGGCATATCCCCAAGGTATCATATCAATTAACACTCTCCCATGAACCTTGTCAAACTCAATGCACCTATAACTCGCAGTAGTGATGATGCGCCTCCAAACTCAACTCCATGTTGCCTCTGTAACGCCTCCTAGTTGTATGCCCCGAGATTAACGAAATTGATAAGAAATTATGATAGTAAAGAGAGTAAGCTTTTATGGCTTGTTAAGCCGTAAACTCCGCCGCCGATTCATATTGAGACCGCTTAATATGCCCCTCTTCAATGTTGTTGGGCTTGGGCTCGCAGGTTGAATCGACGGAGGCAGTTTAGTAAGTAATCGTGGGTTTGATTCCCTCCGCGCCGACATCATGATATCGTTGTAAGTCACGGGGGTCTGAGGCCGTGCGGGGGTAGCAGATACTGGCTCGGATCTCCTGGCCTGCTGCTCTTCCTCGCCGGCCGTGCGTAACGTATTTAATGTAAGTTGAAGATCCGTGGTCGAAGTTGATATAGATCTCAAACTGAGGATACTATCTCTGGAGGCGGCGTCCTTAAGATTTGGACGGCTACGCTTCCTTACTAGATTCATCGATCTTTGAAGACGATGGAATGGAGTCTTAGCTCGGGGGATAACGTCAGTAAGTACCGGTACCTTCGATGCCGATTCGAGCTTGTAGTTGTTGGTAGCAAAGGGGTCCTGGCTGAGGAAGGATGGACTCTCCCTGGGTATATCTATGGCGGATGCGAAGCTAGTTGCCCGTAACGGACCTGGCCGACCTTCAAACGAGCTTGTGCGGATAGAAGGAGAGGAGGATCTCGTTCGAGGTCTTCGAATAGGCGATACTGATCTTCGACCGCTCGCCAGGTCCACTACGAAAGGTTTCCCGACATATATTACCGAGACGGCCCTGGCGGTGTCCTCTTGACTCTTGCGTCGCGCTGGAGACTTCTCGGATTGGTCGCTGTTAGAGTCGCACTCGTAGTCGGAGAAGTCGTCTGCAGACGAAGAGGCATCCTCCTCGGAGGAGAGGTAAGCATCGTGCGGGTCGGTGATCGGCTCGGTCGAGATACGCTGTAGAGTATTCAAGAGTCTTGATGTCCTGAGTGCGCTCCTCTCTGGTAACTTAGGGGTCGCAATAGTAACCTCCCGAGCATCCAAAACCGTAGCCTCTTCGATCATACACGTATCGTCCATATCGGCGAACACGTCGGCGAGGTCTTCTTCGCAGGTAGAATATGATGCGAAGCTATTTCTAGACTGCTCACGGGATTCCTTGGATATTCTGGAAGTTACTGACTTCCGAGCCTCATCCAGCCCATTCGATGGGTGTGGCTGTTCTACAGACATAATGGTGGTCATATTGTTAAGATATGGGATATAGGACCGTCGGCGGTGAAGCGTTCGGGCGTCGATATAGTATACTGTATAGTATTGAATATAAGCGAATAAAAGGTGGAACTGAACCTGTCGATCCGTAAAGAATGTAAGCTGAGGCCAGCTCTTTTCTTAAAAGGCAGTTATAGAAAGTGCATCGTGGGGATCGAGTAAGCTGTGGACATGAACATGGAGATATTTCATAAGAAAAAGAAGTTGGGCAGTGGGTGGCATACATATTCTTTCCATCAACTGCGTTTTCCGTGTACATAGGACGGGATATAAGTGAAGGGTGGGGGGAACGTAGCTACGTACCTTATAGACAGGGGGGCATGGGACAGGGGGTATAATATGTTCCCCTGAACCTGGAAACCTGGAACACTGGAACATAAATCTTAGCGGGTGTTGTAACTCTCAGGACTTCAGACCCTGGACGAGGTTGGAGGGGTGTCACGAATGGGTAGGTGCGTAACTAGGACTAGCTAGTCCATCCTTCTCTCATCAAGAAGAAACCGTTCGAAGTGAAAGCGTGCAGAGGATGTAACTAATACAGTAATATCGAGAAGAATACGCCGGAATACGCTGGGCAATAAGGGACAGTTCTAAATGGGAACATCGAAGGGCTCGAGTCGAGAAGAGAAATCACTTGGCGGACCATCCCGACCCTTCTCTACAGGAATTAAGGTAGCGGCGTGTGCTTCGAATAAGGTATTGGCGACCGTTAAACACTTACATGACTTGATGAATACTGTAAATGTGAGTTGCACAAGTCGACGATGTTACCTAAGGTCTTGTTCGTTTCGTACAGACGATGGTTAAAAGAATGTTGCATGCAAGATATAAAAGTAGATGAAAAATAAAAATCTCTTGAAACGGATCAAATCTACGTTAGCAAACTTGGGGGGAGAACTGGTTATGAAATAATAATCGGAGGGCTGGGCCGAAAAGCAATCGGACAGCCGATGCCATATACATACCTACCTACCTACATAGCCACCCACCGTACGCTTTCTTCAATAAATGTAGGCTATTTTGTCCATGCATCTACCAACAATTTACATAGTACCTAGCCTATATGATATATGATCAGCTTCGCCCGCCTTTTTAAACCACGATACCATGATGCCATAATGTCATCCTATGTTTAGATACCAAACATACCTAGGTACCTAGGTACTTATGCCTGCTGCTCGGTGTGAGGACTTGAATAAACATTCGAGAGGACACTTTTTTGAACAGCGGACAGACCAGCATAGTGGAGTTCTGCCAACAGGATCTGTAAAAAATACTTCCATTCAAGGACATGATCGCCTAAGGGTCCAGTGGTTAGGATTGGGCTGGCCAGGTTATTCGAGGTAAATAAAATAAAAACTCCATTATTTCGTATGCATCAAGTAGAGTCGGTGATAGATAGGATTGGGGTCTACGGGAGATTCGTTCATCGATAATCCTTCATGACGATAGGCTTACAAGCCCGTAAGCCAGACTGTCACTCGACGTAAGTTGCTTGAGGTTCCGTGGCGCAAAGATGCATGGTGGACGAGACGAGGCTCACCTGCGTAGCACTATGTATGTAGGCTGGCTTGTGCTAAAAAGACATATGAACAATATGCGAACCTATGTACCCTAAGATACATGTATTGTACCTTAGTATGTAATTATTGGATCGAGACCCTTGAAGCTGATCACCGATTCAACGGAGTTAACCTTTGCAACATTTTAAATAACTAGTACAAACTTGGTAGTAGTTATATAAAATCTTGCAGTTAATTGTGTATTAAATCGTGCGATATAATTCCAAAATTCAGGCTTTCAATTCATTAGGTAGACTGGTAGAAGAGCGGTGCAATAGGTACCTAGGTAGTGATCTATTCAACTAATTTGACTTAGGTACCTTGGTGCCGTTAGAACCCGCAAGACCGGGCCCCTAGCCTAGACCCCACTGGTACTGGCCACTGCGGCCGGTTATGTACGACGTGTACTGCGTCTACGAATGTACAACATGTCTAAGTCGCCTGTCATAGCCAGCCGGGACTCGGGAGACCCGTTCTTTTATTATCCGTAGTTACCATTTCTTGATATCCTTAGTAAAATAATTAGTACCCGAGATAGATCAATGTCAGTCAAGAACGCCTCAATTCTAATAGCAGCGTAGTGGCGGCCGTTTATATACAACGTCACTCATCGCGAGTGGATAGTTGTCTTCAAATCATCTCTTCACCGAGCATCGAAATCTACAGTATTGTATTATGCAGCAGTGATCTGCATTGCCGCCAACTATCGCCGAGACTTTTACAACGATTTATCCTCTAATACGACAGGTACAAAACGGAATACTTCTCTAAACCACACGCTGTCACCTCCTTTTACGACAGGATTAGCAAGGGGGAGATACTCCTATTCGGCTTTTTTCGTAGTTGACCTTCCCGCTCAGCAAACCGACTCAACTATTTCGATATGTAAGTCTTCAGGAGAAGGGAGATCGGAATGTTTGAACCGTCATGTGAGAAACGAAAGAGGGAGACGCGGGATCCAAATCTGCCAACCATATCTTCAGGATGCAACCCGCATCAGACAAGTTGCAACGCTGATGGTCGTCGTACTTGAATGATTGGTCTATCATCATGCTCGGCTGTTTGGGTACCATCGAGGTTATACAAGACCTAGCCACTTAGACTGCTAGCTTTTTTGACGGGCTCACAACGCCCTTTCACGTCATGTTTAGCGTCAGGCCTTATTCGCAAATCATACTCATGCATCTCGTCGGTCGTCTATCAGATAGGCTCTACCATAAAAGCCAGGCAAACCTTCCGATGTTTTGCAGTCCCTCCTAATCTATTGCGAGAATTATGATTATCCTATCGTTGGGTGCGGGGGAATGATTTCGACTACCTTTACAGGAGCAACTCGTCGTCAGCAATCATGCGTCATGTATTATGCATCCTTCTATATAATGCGATCGAATTCTTTACCCCGGACCTACTCGATGCTACTGGATCGGGTTGACAGACTGTGGTCTAAGTTCGAAATGTTTATTCGTAACTACTTACAAAAGGATTTCTAGTTTACTACATCGAATAACGTACCGAACAGTATATTACCCCTTAAATTCATGAAACGATGTAACCCGAATTCACTACGAGTAGAGGCAACGATGTGCTTCGTTCCGACACGTTTCCAATTACGGATGGTTAGTGACAAAACACCTCTTGACATTCAAAATGCTTCATGAGTACCTGCGTATAATTCATCAAACATCCAATGCGTTAAAGACCGTATGACATATCATTCGCTCTGCCGAGGGCCCGGTTCCAACAATTCGCTCTTCGCCAAATAATAGCCTAAATCTTGCATCTGCTTGAGCGCATGTGTGTCTCGCTCGCGCATCATCTTCCGTCTGAGCGGGAGACATGATCGGGACCTGCTTTCGACTCTTTCGCCACAATATCCTCCCTTCGGGCATATGCATTTGCCCAATCCCCTGGTAATGTTTCCCCGTACCCAAACTTACTGGTTTCTAAGAATACATCCCATGAGATTCGAGTCTCATTGCAATTCTAGTACATGGAAGTACGTAATCGAAGTACGTACTTCTAGATGCGATCCACGTTTCGACGGTTATGGCGTCACACTCACTAATCCGCATCCAAAACAACCAATAATGTCAAGAAGAAACGTCACTCTATTGCCTATTTTGGTTAATCTGGATTTAGGCTAGCATTGATCTCCACAACCTTAATCCTGATCCCGTTTCTAAAAATGTATCCCAGGAATTCTAACGTGACAAGCTTCCACAGTACCTTCACTTTTTCTCATCAACTATACCGTAGACGTCGGCTGATTTTCCACCAACCACCACAGATGAAATAATCCAAGATGATGACCGAATAAGGCGAATCCTCCACAGCTTGACATCTTCGATTAAAGCTCTGTAGATCTCGCTGATCCAGCTCAAGCTTACTATCTAAGGCGCGTTTGCATCTTTAAGACACATCTCCAGCCACCTAATCAATGGGAAATGACATCGACGTTAGTCACGACGCCTCAAAAACCGGGCTCGGATCGGTTGCAAAGACACCTGTTTCCTGTTTACCGGTTGCCTCGGATGTTTGCATAAGGAGTTTTGTCCCGGTTTACTTGCGAACTGAATGCTGAATGAGGTTACTGCCCGTTGATTATGGACCAGAAGCCCCCCCCCCTGCATGTGTCCCGGCAGCGTGATATACAATTTCGGCCGAGCCTAGGATGCAACTATCGTCTTAGAAGATCACCTCAGTAGCACATGGCATTTATTCCCTTGCATACCGAAAGTCTGTCTGCTATTTGCTATGATAGAGTTATAGTCCGTCGCCAAGCTGAACTACTTGGCTTTGTCAGCTTCCTCTCAGAACTCACGTTCTGATTCGAGGCGCAACTTGGCTTTCAAAAGGCTAAGGTGTAAGCGAACAGCACTTTGTATTCAGTCCTAGGTAATTGTGACCCACAAGCTGCTTACTACACTGTACAAATGGAACCAGCATCTGCCGTATCAGAATAGGGTACCCAAACCCGAAATCGTCGTGGAGGCCGTATATGTGCCCTAATCGGGATGTGCCATGGCCAGGAGGCGTCTGCTTAATCCCCGAGTTCGCCCACCTCTCAGCCGCAGTCGATCCTAATGTCGAAACAGAGGCTAGCGATGATTGGCGAGCAGACGCGTCCAGGTTCCTAGACAAGACTCATTACAAGACGACTACTAGGTCAAACATTTCTCCAGAACGGCAGCCATCTGATATTATTACAGTGAGATAGGTAGGTTCGGACTTGCTCATATGTAGGCGCATTTTACATAGGGATAGGCCAACTAGTTAGACCGTGTTATTCACAAGACGACGGTTAATCTCACGACAACTAATGAACTTTCGATGTCTTTCATCTAGTTACGTTTACTACTCTAGCTTGCCAAATCTGTCATCAAACGACCGGCAAACAGCATCTTAGGCTTGTCAGTTCGGGGCGCATCGAACTTCTCCCTGTCACTTCTAGAAATAGAATCACTACCATGCTTTCTACCCCTTACTGATTTTTTCTATGCTAAGAGTAGAAGTTTGAATTGCCATGTGCATCTTGTCATCGCAAGTGAAAGTTTGGTTAAAACACCCTTCTCAACTAGTAGCACACGGCTACGCCTCATCCTTCCGGTACCTTATTTGCGGAGGTCAGGGGTATTTTCATTCTGGATGAGAAGTTTAAAGTTCTTTAAGTAGAATCGCAAGCGATTCCATTCGGGTATCTTTGAAACATCGCGAACCCCGTATCTTGGTTCCGGGGAATCCTCCCAGTTGTTTCGCAGCCACCGACCTGCCGTAACGGTCAACAGCCACTATATACCTGAATCGCAAGCCACGCGAAGGGGACTTGTTTTTAATATCTGCGAAGCCCTCGGGAGATTATTCAGGACCTCAACCTATGTTCTCGTCCCCTTCTCTACCCATATTAAACCCCATGGTAGTTGAGCCTCAGTTTCTACAATTAGAACACACGTTTTTTCTAGCTGCCCAAATGCGAAGTTCGACCCCTTACCCAGGGCTAGCGGCTCGTCGCACGTCTCTTCCTAGGCTGTTTCTGTGCATCCTCACAAGCTTTTATCTTCCGAAATAGGCACCACGTAGATCTCGTCGCCTAGATTGTTTTTCTAAACATGAAGCCTATTTAGGGAGTCTACCGCAAAATACCCTCAATGTTGGATCGCAAGGGACGGGACGGTAAGAAGCTAATATTGAGTAAAAATAGCTCCCACGAGGGGTAGTTTAGCGATTTGAAACTTCGTTTGCAACTAGGTTAGCTTCATAATGAGGGAAACTTAGGACAATGGAGCTTTAGGTACACTAACAACTGACTAGGTTAGGTTAGGTTAGGTTAGTAGTTGAAGCCGCTAACAAGCGACTCCATAACGCATTGTCATAGGTCAGAGAGTAGTTGATATATAAACCCCAATTTGCAATTAACCTTCAACATCCGCCAATAGGAGGATAGATCTGGAGCATCGTCTCCCACTAGATAAGCCAAGTTCGGCGAATCTAGGAGTTAGGTCGGCAACGACCGGCTTATAACCACGGGGCGTGTAACTCAGTGGTAGAGTGCTCGCTTTGCATGCGAGAAGTCCAGGGTTCGACTCCCTGCTCGTCCATCTTTTTGATTTTTTGAATAGTGGATTAGATATATGCATGGCTTCGGTAAACATATTTCTTTCTTTTCTTTTTTATCGTATTCAGTTGAAGTAGCCTACTATGGGGTAGTCTTTGGTTCTGGCGGGCAAGGAAGGTGGTATTGACTACTATCACCTTCGATCTTTGCCGCGAAGACTATTGCTTGTTGGCTCTTGGATAGGTTTGGTGGGGGAATAAGTGACTGACGCATAAGACTGAGAGGTGACTGTACTAGACTAGACTCGTTGAGTCGCATGAATATAGAGTTGATTAAACTAATAGAAAATATAATCCACAGGTAATAATAGGCTATCCTCGAGCTCCCATGGCTTAGTTGGAGTTCCTTGTGGAATAATCAAGTTGTTTCTATGCCTTCTAGTTCCACCTCGTGATACACCGGGCATCTTCATATGTTACGATATCCCTGATACCCAAGCCTGTACCGAAGTTCTCTCCTTCCCCCCTTTCTTCTAGATTCTCGCATCTACAGAACAAGTCCCCTTAGTTCACCGCCATGCAATAGAACGCTCTCTAAGATATTGCACAATAGAGTATATAGTAATTTGATTTAGTTTGGTTATATTAATGAAGATTAAGTCATAAAGCTACCTTCCATATGCTTGCAGAGGAAATAGTCCTAAGCTCCTATTCTCAATCGAATTCAAGTTCTGAAACCACCCCCCTTTTTAGAAAACAACTTGACGTTAACACCACTGGCAACTCGCAATATACCATAAACATTAATCAACGCACCAGTGTTCGTTTGCCTAAACGTACGAACAAGAATGTCTTGACTAAGAAGATCGGTCTAGAACCACAAAGCACAATTCGTCGCAACTCGATCTTTGCCATGATAAAAACATAGTCATCAACACCAAACTCAGCCCAACAATTTCTCTATCAACTAATAAACGTATTTTTTCAACGACAAATCAAGACAATACCTCGTCTTATTAAGCGTAGTTATAACTACCTATAAACCCCGCTACCCTTATCGCTCATATGAGGTCTCACCTAACATCATCGACCATTGGCCCTATCAAGCTTAAAATATTCAATCTGACCTGTTCCTAACACTCTCCAGGATGGACGACATCAAATTTCCGGATAGTGTAATGTTAGCCCTGTTAACATTGCTAGCTCTGCCAGTATTGGCATCTCTGGCGATATATCTGGCATGGCTGCTTTTAGGGGTCATGGTCGCTGTGCTGATATATGGCTTCTGTCGCAGAAACGACGTCGCAATTGCATATACGCAATTACACCTCAAATTGAGACAGCTTCTAGTACCATCGTAGATAATGCGGGTACTAGACTTTGCTATAGGAAGACGGCAATTTCGCCCTGGGCTTGCCTATTCTGCTATGGTTACCTGTTATGTTAGTCAATGAACGATATTAGTATTGATAGGAATACGTTTAAGATTATTGAAATGTCTACTTGCTACAATAATTATAATTATTGGTCTATTTCTATAAGAAAAGTGGCTATAAAATCCTCTAGCTTAGGCAGGCCACAATTAAAGACTTATATTCAATATTGTACGATATATATGTTTACCACGAAAACAGTTGATTTTCGGCATGTATAAAACTTTGTAATAGGACATATGATATAAGACTAATGTATTATGTTGAAGTCGTAGCATAATATCCGTCTTCTTTTTTATATTATAACTTTCTCCCACTATAAAAAAATTAATGCTATCCTAATTGCCTCGTTTCTATTAAACATAGAGAGACTAGGTGATCTATCCTATCTTCCACCTTAGTATACCGGTTCTGAAAAACGTATCCAGGTCGACCCGTCCTAGAATATGCGTCTTTGACAGTAATCATGATAGTAGGCTCATTTGATGATCATGTACGAAGTTGATTCTCTTAAGTTCTCTGGCAGACACTAGTCTGCCAGGAGATCTCTTGTAGCCAGCTGGTCATCGGGCATTATCCGCACGATGGTGTTGTCTGAGAGGCAGACAATTGTTTGGTGGTGTTTCAACTTGGTGGTTGTGAACCTGGTGGTGATTCTTAAAGTATCTCTAAAAATCGGCCTTCCGACGCAAATGCTGGTGCTAATGATTGAAAAATCATGAAGGAATGAGGTGCTACCAATTGTAGGCGTTGATTGATTATGGTTGGATTGAAGTTGTATTGAGTAAGTTACTGGAGGCATCTGTAAGATGCGTGGTAGGTAGTATATGTATCTAATTGAAAGGACTCATGATGAATATGAACTTCATGTATTGTGAAGGAGAGAAGATGGAATCTTTTCAATCTAACTAAGGTATCTACCTACATATTGTTTCGGCCATGTACGTCTTGCCGATAAGCTTCAGGGTTTCTGGTTGTGCTTCCAACTCTGTATCAAAGGTTTCCTGTCTCTGAGCCATGATGCCTACATCTCGTTGTAGTTTATCTACATGGGTTTCCAAACGCTTGATCTTATTCGTGAGGTTGTGATATTCCGGGGTGTTCGGGTTGTGTTCTAGCTCCTCGTGTAGGCGTTTTGGTAGATTCTTGGGTATCTTGGGTCTTGAAGGTAGTATCTCATCCTGAGTCACTACGGGATCATCGGAGTCAGAGTCTTGCAGGTCCTCCATATCTGACTCTGCGATTTGTGCTACTGGTCTTGAGGCTACTTTCTTTTTCCCTCCTCTTGCGCTGCGTGCTTTCTGGCAGACTCTTGTCTTCATTCGTGATGTGTCTGTCGTTATACAATTATACTGTGCGACTATTTCTGGCTGTTGTGATCGTGCATGCACGCGTCCACACGCCGGTGAATCAAGTAGGCTACGCGCGGCGTAATAATCTAGGTTGCCCATTTCTATGGGGAGCTTCGACGAAGGAATAGGGCGATAGGTGTAGAAACTTCCCAAGTTCGGGTATGTTATGGGGATGAATCTTTAGTTTTTCCTATTTTCTGAATTTACCACCGTGCTTGGTGCATAGCCGAAATAGCCCCTGTAACGGTGTATATAATCAAACATATGCCGGTAGAATTTGGCTGATGCATCGTGGTCGTCTCAGGTATATATATGCTGACTTGCACGGGGCATGACACTCCAAGCTCTGTCGCTCGGTATCTCTGTAGTCTTGCCATAAGATCGCGGGATAGAAGTATATCTGTATGAAAACCCTTCAACGTGTTTGTTCTTAAAGTCATCGACTTCTCAATACTTCTGGAGCTACCAGATGATGGTAGGCTCATTTGATGATCTCGTATGAAGTTGAATTAGGAAGATCTTTCTAGCAGACCAAAGTCTTAAGCTTGGCTAGGCCTTGGGCGTGATTATTCTCAAGGTTATTGGACAGACGGAGCCAGCGGTACCCTCGTTATCGAATCTGTCCGTAGCCGAAATAATTGTCCTGGATTTATGCCATCTCCTCGTGCTGAGGATATGTATAGTTTAGGAGGATTCATGATGCCATTAAATTTCGGGGGTAAAATTTAGATGAAGCATATGTAGATATAGTACATTGGTGATGCAGGTTTAACTAGCTTCTTCCCCTTCTTCTCTTATGGATTAGCAACCGTGTGTATTGGTTAAAACTTATACCGGCGAGGATCGCGGCTCTCTTCACACTGTCCGAGGTAGAAGAGGAGCCTAGGCTGGTAAGGGGGCGACCCAGTTGCACTTGGATGATATGCTGTTTCCTTATTAGCCCCAATGGAAGAGCGTGACGGATGTAACAGTAGAGTGAACAGTGCGTAGTTGTGGAGATATACAACGACGTACGAGACGCGCAGCTGTCCCATGGGTATGGGTTGGTCAATTTGTGTTTTTAAGTTGAGGTACGCAAATGACTTCAAGATAGCCTGGCATAGAACTATGTTGTCTTTTAGTTTAGGTATTGTGGATTGAATGTGATCGTTAATATTGTTATTGAAGTTGTTATTAATCATCGGAAGTTGGAAGAGTTTAACTTAGGAGTCTTGAGTCTTAATTATGAAATCTGCTCCGTTTTGGGTTGTAACCTAGTTGCCTGCGCTTGCCTTCTGTCAGTAGTTGCTGAATAATATATGTTGTTCAGATGTATCTAGCACTTGCCTCTCTGATATGCGGTTGATGGGTAATTGAGGAAAGAGGTGGTTGCTATGGTGGTAAAACATTAGGTACCTAAATCCCCTTAGTTGATCGGGGCTCATTGAAAGAGGGGATAGGTGCGATATGCTGGACTACGAAATAAACACAAAGTTTAAGTTGCGTCTAAAGTACGACTTTCTAATCCGAGAATTCACTAATTCCAATAGGGAATAGGGGTATATGTACTTACGTCAAGGCACCTAACCTAAGTGGTGACTGTATACGAGGTTTCTATAAACTGAAAATATATATACATCTACATCTTATAAAGGTGGCAATTCCTCCCTGCATATTGGGCATTGCAGCCTAAATCGCATCCAACCCTCAAGGCAAGCGCTGTGGAAGACATGCCGACATGGTGTGACCATATACGCGCGACGGGCAAACACACCCGCCACGCCTCCAGCCGTTGGATCGTCGTCCCCTGCTCTTACAACCGGCACTTCGAGCACTTCTCTACAGATAGCGCAGTCGATGACATGTATATTCGGACGTTTCTTATCCTTGCTTGTTCCCTCTTCGCCCGTCCTTACTCGTTCTAGTGGGCTGTTGGGCGCAGCAACTAGACCGATTGGCAGTCCGCCCGCTTCGATATTATCCTCGCGGAGTACAGGGTGGTACTCCCAAGCCTCCGGCATCCAGCCTTTGGGCACACCGAAGCGAGGTCCGAGGACAGACTGCGCGGCCAATATCCATATCTGGATCCAAAGCCAACCGGCGAGCGCGATGAAAGCAGTCCAGTCGGGCTCCGCGAAAGCGAAGTTGTTTGGTACGATGTAGAAATACGCGATGGGTAATAGGCGCAGAATCGACTGGCCGATAACGAAGCGCCACGATAGCGCTCTACGGCAGTTGCGGTACACGTTGCGATAGATCTGTGGGATCCATAGGGAGAGATAGATGAAAAGTACGATGTTGAAGTATGCGGCGCGGATGCTAGGCCGCCAACTTGCCGCAGCGAGACTTAGGAAGAGGATAGTAATCCCAATCAGTAAGAGGCGGCCGAAGACATTGCTCAACTGTGTCCGAAGATTCTGGGCAGTTGGCGCGGCAGGCCCTGCAGTTACTGGAGCTGGAAGGGTGGCATTGTTGGTGTTATTAGTTGTGACTTCGGCAATTTCAGCGTCAATATCTTGATCTGAAGGGATAATAATTGGTGGAGATGGTGGACGAGGAGTGGTATTTGTAGTAGTGGTGGTAGTAGTCTCACGAGCGTTGTTAGATGGATTAGGCGGATTTGCCACATTTGCCGCATTTGCGAGCGTATTCTGTCGATCCCTCTCCCGTTCTTGTCGTCGCCATTCAGGCTCTTGGACCTTGTGGATTTCAGCTAGGAAAAATGTCCCAACAGTCATAGATAGAAATGAGACACATGTAATAGCAAGAGAGGGTAATAGCGTAGTGGATGCCGAGAAACTCCACGCGGCTGCTCCGGTGAAGAGCATACCGTCAGCGAGCAACATCATACAGCCAGTGTAGAAGCTAACACGACCTAACGTTGAAGGCGTAGATGTCTCCCTCATTTGCATCTTGAGCAGTTGGAGTTGGCCGAACACAATTAACGCAAGACTTAGAAGAAATGTGCTGACGCTACGGAGGAAGATTTCTTGCTTTACGCCGACCATATGGTTTCCGTCGGCCGGCGCATATGCCGGAGGACCTTTTGTTTCGAGGAAAAAGGCACAATCAGGAGAATACATAACAGCCGACATTTGAAGTCGCGGTATTCGCCGGTGGCCCGTGCCCTGAGGGAAACGAAGCTCATTTTCGATATCTTGAATAGCCTTAGCTACATTTTCTGGACCTGTGAGACCTGGCTGTACTTGTAGTATGTTCTGATCCAAAGGATGGATTTGGATATAAATCAGGTACTCGCAGTGCGGAGATGGATTCCAAGTTTCACCAGGCTCTAAATTAGACGTCCAGGGATCGATTTGCTCTGTAAAGGTATGCTGCTCCTTTCTCCTAAGGGCCGCATCTAGGGTCCTGTTCAGGAGTGCTTGGCTAGATTCAAAGAAATCGAGTCGAGTTGTAAGATGAGGTAATCCGAAAATACCGGCGAACTTCTCGCTCGTCGTAGTAAGAAGTATGGCGCCCTGACGTGGCCAGTGAACGCCGTGGAGTCGCATCTCCCAGCTACTTCCGGTGCCTTCAATATCGTCAATATTAGCCGTTGCCGAGACTTCCCGGGCTTTGACCTCCGTTTTCTCAAGTGTTGTCTTGTCTATTTCCGCTGGTTCCGTCGCATCATCCTCGTTGTCCTCAATACGCATCATTATTTTCCCCTCTCCACCAGTTGCATTTCTGCTCCAGTCGGAGTTTGATCCAGCCCATGTAACATCCGGGCTAATCTGGCTGAGGTTATAGCTCGAATGATATCTCGGCGAAGATGTGTTCGCCCTCTGCCACCAGCCGTGTACCACTCCCGTCGCATTTTGCCATACTGGCTGTGCTACCCCCGGGATTCCCACGGCATTTGTACTCCATTCCTCGCACCGATTCTTGAAACGCTGGAGATCCTCCCACACATAGCCGTCCTCCTCTCGAAAACCCGTTAGGTTCAAGTACTTGGTTTCGGTCTCGGGCGGGTCGTCGGTAAGCCGCGGTGAGAAGTCACCCCATTGTGTACTATTCAATACTCCGAGAGCATGTCTCTGACGTAAGATGCGGTTTTTTATGACCGATGGGCCCGCGATGAGCCCTGGACTCGAGTCTGGACTAGTAGCAAGCCAGAATATCAAGATGATGAGGAAGACGGCGCGTGCGTTATCTTGCGGCTGAGGCATCGCAATGTATTGTTTCCATCATGCTTAAAGCATTCGCATAATCTCTAATATATCCAGCAGAGAATCTCTAGAAGGGAGTAGACTGGTTTCTTGTTTTATAAAGTCTGGTGAGTGTAGGATGAATGAATAATGATAGCTAACAGTTAAGGCGATTGATGTGATTACCTAACATTTGGAGAGCTTTAGTACCTATAGAGGATTAGTGCTTAAGCCGCTAAATGATAAATGATATACCTCTATAATCATACATAATCGATAAGCCCCACTGCCGTGTACCTAGGTTACGCGCCGCGCAATTGACCAAAGTACCTAAACTTAAACAAACAGAACTCCGTTGCGTGCAAAAGTAAACGCCAAACAACTGTCTGAACAGCTCTACACCTATAAGCAAGTTCTACCCCTCAGTATGTCGTCTAATAAGAAGCCAGAGGATACGAAGAAACAGACGGGCAACGTAAGGATATCTACTTGCGATACTCCACCAAGAGCTCTAAGCTAACGCGACTCAGAGCTCGGACGAACTGACTGCAGTCGTTGAGGAATTATTAAACTCCCTGTCAAGCAAATTTGACGGTGTCTCGAGCGAAATCTTCGCTAAAAGTAAGAATGGCCTCTACTTGACGCTTTAGATTATTGCATAGCTGTCTAGGGTTTCGTCATTGACACGGATATAGTGGACGACATGGCGCGCCGATTGGACCACCTCGAAGCCTCACTCCAAGCTAACGACGAGAACGGCGCAAATTCGTCACCTAGGACATAATAGGGGTAAAGGGCAATTAGAGGTTATATGGAGCATCGCATGGCGTTAGGGGGAACGGTTTGGTTCATGATGGTTTGTATAGGACAGACGGTACAGAAACTAGACTCTATACAATAATGCGCCTTTCAGATTACACACTTTCTTTCGTTATTCGTTATAAACGTTACGACACGCCTGCTCGACTTGGTTTGTTTATGACGAGTCATACTATAGCTCTTCCTTCTCATCGTCATCTGTGACCGTCTCCTCAACCTTCTTAATGAATTGCTTCAAGATGTTGGCCTTACTCTGGAGCTCATCTAGTTTAGAAGGAGCCAGGCCGCCCTTCTTGATAATACCATCTAGGCGAGCCGACTCCTTCGCAACATAGCCCTCGTTCTGCGACAGCTTGTCGAATACTCTGATATAGTATTGCGCATACTTGTACTGCGCATCCTCGGCTAAACTAGCGGCAGCCTTCTTGACCTCTGCGGCTAGGTCGGCCAACTTGTCGCTACCAGCGGCATATTTCAATGCGATGTGGTTCAGGGCGTCGATGGTACCTCCGGTCGCATCGAGGCCACCACCAGGGACACGGTGAGTGCCGGTCTTCTCGTTAAGGAAGCTAACGAGGTCCTTCTCGCTTCGGCCGCCGGAGTAGGGTTCGCCTTCGGTGGAGCCCTTGGGGAAGAACTTGATAGTCGGGTAGGAAGAAACACCCTGCTCACTAGCAGTTGCCTTGCTATTGTCAGCTTCGGCATCAACTTTGGCGATCACAACATTGGGCTCGTTAATGAAGTCCTCGGCTAGGGTCTCCCAGGTAGGAGCTAAGGCCTTGCAGTCTGCTTCAAGTCAGCATATTTAGAAATCATACTGGATAATTGGGTAATACGTACGACCGCACCAAGGAGCAGTGAAAGCAACAAGTACGTTCTTATCGCTTCCAATGATCTCTTTGAATGTGGTGTCTGTCAACATGTTTACTTGGCTGGGCATCTCCAACTTCTTCTTAGCCTTGACGCCAGTCTTGTCGGTGATGAACTTGGTCAAACTTTCGAGATCCCGGCCGCCCTCGTAGTCGGTTGGTTTGTCACTCTTGCCGTCGAACCACTTGAGGGTAGGGAACCCTTGAACACCGTACTTCTGGCCCAAGGACCTCTCGGCATCGGCGTCTACCTTGGCAATCTGAACATCCTTAGAGGTAGCGAAAACCTGGGCTAACTCTTCGTAGACGGGAGCAAGGTTCTTGCAGTGGCCGCACCAGGGGGCAAAGAACTCTACAAGAGTAGGCTTGCCTGACTTGAGCACGACCTTGTCAAAGTTGGATGGGATGAGATCAAGGACTGCCGATTTAGCTGCTACGGCGGCAGCTAGCCCGGCGAGCACGAAGCTCTTTACTAGAACCATCGTTGCTTTGTCTCACAATCGTCTATTATATAGGGATGAGAAAATATGGTGCTGAGAACAGTATGAGAGAAAGAGGTGTAAGGTTGGTTAGGTAGTGCTATTCCACCGTAATTATGAGAGTGTGGTATTGAGGTAATCAATTAATGCTTTGAAATACAAAGCAGAAGATGCCACTTTGCAACGGGCAGAACGGGGTGTGGGTGAATACCGGCTGCATCATAGCTGAATTGTAGAACCTGGTAAAAGTCGAGCGTGATTATCGATAAGACAGTAAGATTATCTAACTTAGGTACATGTACCTAAGATAAGACACGTGTGTGGCAATTGTAACTGCCTCCCAACAACATTTGAAGTTTCAAAGGCAAAAGACTCAGCTTTATCCGACGATTATGTAACACCTTTAATAGTGGGTCACGAATTCATCGAAGTCTTAGGTGTGGGTACGTACCCAATCCTACTAACCTAGTATTCGACCCCTGCAACCCTTACGCGAACCACACACAATTTTCCACTCTCAATCCATAATCCTCCAAAAACCCGCGAAAGTTTTCCGAATTGTAGTTTGACATCCAGCAACATACCGCAACCCGACCGTTCGTGATCACTGTTATCGCAACACCACGTCCGAAAATATGTCTCACGAATCCGTCTGGAACTCGCGCCCGCGAACGTACGGCAAGGGCGCTCGTGCCTGGTATGTCTTGATATTCTCGAGGACTGTTATCTCGATGAAGTTCATCAGCTAATATAATGTAGCCGTGTCTGCACCCACAAGGCCGGTCTGATCCGCAAGTACGGCCTCAATATCTGCCGTCAGTGCTTCCGTGAGAAGTCCTCCGACATTGGCTTTGTCAAGGTACGAAATAATCGGCAACGATACGACGTAGGCAACGAAACTAACTCTCCACCTAGCACCGATAAACGCTCTTCGGAATGTGACTTTCTTTCCTACCACGATATCTCTCGTCAGGCATCGTCAATGCGACTGCGGAAATGGAGTTGTTGGTTTTTCATTAGGAACAGGGTTGAGCATTTGCCTTGAGGCATTGGTACAGGCTTGCGTGGAAGGAAAATGAGCAAATGGCTCTTCGGTTCGACTAGACAACTAAACCACCACGACAATGCTTACGAGAATTCGATGATATTATCCGTTCTTGCATCGTATAAAATGTGACGATTTTCGTTCAGGACATCCGATTCAATCCGAGTGAAGATCCTATCATCTCTCAAGGGGTACATACCCACTAGCCCATTCTCCAACCAGGGTGATGCGAGAGAAATAGTTTCATTCGCTCGATACTAGAGGGTTCACCGTAGCTTGCTAACTAAGATTTCTATCAAAAGTTGCCTAACTCCGATGCTTCTCAAGACGGGTATGACCATGAGGAAACAGGGCAAAGACGTGGCTTCATTCGTGACCTCTCTCAGCTTTCAGCACGGCCTACGACCAGGCCTAGAAGCCTCAAATGATATGATCAGCTTAATCCCGAGCTTCGCATGTTCAACGCTCCGCCTCAAGGATGAACTCGATTCTAATGTTGAAACTTGATCAGGCAACATTTACCTAGATCCATTCATACTTCCAAGCCAACCCACCTCTCAGCGGAGAGCGACATACTCATTCAGGGGAGGATGGACCATGGTCGTGATGCCAAGAACCGGGAATATCAACGGGGTGTAATGTACTTTGGACTGTATGTGTAGGTGTGATAATCTTTATATTGTTCATGATGGGTCTCCATGCGACTGAGCAAGTTCCACTGTTTATATTCCATGGATCGTTAAACAAAGCCTTAATGGTGTTGTCGAAATTGAGTTATATCCCGAATATTCCCATCTTTATTCCCGTTGACCTCGATCGAACACATATATCCATCTCAGTTATCCGCATGTTATCCGGGGACTGATTGGTTCATTCGTCCCGTCCCGTCATAGTAAGTACTACCTTGATGCCATTCGGCATTCAATTACCCTGGTAATTCAGTACATGGGTGGAAGTATCTGCAATAGAACCTTCCGCCACTGTCATGTTGCCTATAACGCGCCCCTAAACATAGGTATATATACATGTGGATGCTACCTGCCCACTGGGAAATAAGGGGGTGTATTAGGTGTGCTCCTACCTTAGTATCCCCGGTACGTATCCGAAGGAACTATGCGTTTGCCTCAAAGCTGCGATGAGATGAAAGAACGATAGGCAGGCGCCTTGGACAAAGGGCATTCACTGCACGCCTCGACTTAAAAGGAATGGGGTTTTTTGTTGGCCCAAGTACCTAAGATATATCTGTAACAATGTCCCAACTTCCTTGAGGCAGGAATAAACACACATACCCTTACCTTTACTCTCTAGTATTTAACTTACTCTACGAACTATGGCAGGCTTCCACGAGTTAATACCGAATGTCATCAAGAGGAGAATAAACCAAAAGCGCCCTCTTCTCAAGACTTGTCATCCGGATCGTGCTCCTATTGAAGTGACATTTGCCATCCTCGACAATGCCGTCAACAGGGCTGCCTGGTTCCTCACCGAACACCTTCCTTTAGACGAGTACTTCATTTGGATGTCTCAGAGCGACGCTCGCTATTTGATATGGATTATAGCTGCCATGAAGACCGGAAAAGTCGTGGTGCTCCCGTCTCTAAGCAATCGAGTCTCTGCCAATCTTCGCTTGTTCGAAACAGTCGGAGCCAAGCATATGCTATACGGACCTGAGTCGTCAGGAGCACTTGCAGAACTCGTTAGTAAGGCCAGTCCGAATATGACTGCTAGGCCAGGCCTATCTCTCGAGGAAATCCTATCCCCCGAACCTGTTCCCGACTATCCTTTCGACAAGACCTATGATGATATTAAAACTAAGCGGTTCATGGGTTTACATACTTCTGGAACTTCAGGTCAGACCATTATTTCAAGTTTGATTCTTCTTATTATTATTTCTTTTTTTGGTATCTTATTTATCCTGTAGAATTTTATCTTATTGTTTTCTGTGGCTGCTTTGATACGTGAGAATAGGTGAAATTCTTCGTTCAACTTCTATACCTATCAACAATACTAACATATTCTCGCATAAAACAGGACATCCCAAGCCAATCTGGTGGACGCACTCCCACCTTGAATGTTTATTCTCACCTCTAGAGAAGGGTGTCTTCCCTGAGGGTGTCCATGTAGAGAGGCCGACATGTAGCACGCTTGCTAACCACGATGTTCTCATCGTTGGGTCACAATCGCATGTAAGCCATCTTGTATATTCTTTGGGGTACAACCCTATATTCTAACTAAGACAGGCTGGCGCTATGTACATCACTATGGTCGCGCTACATTCCGAAATGACAGCAATCCTCATGCATCCTGACATTCCCATTAGCCCAGCCAGTATCACAGACGTCATCAACCAATCCGGTGCTAACAGTCTCATTTGTCCGGCCGTGCCTATTGAGAATATGCTAGACTACCCACCCGGCCTCGAAGCTTTCTCGCGCCTCAAGCATATCGGTTACGTAGGCGGACCTATTAACCCTGTGCTCGGTGCCAGGGTCGCTGAGATTACACCGCACCTGTATAGTCTTATTGGGAGCACGGAGGGCGCCTTGATGCAAATGGACTATTCTCCAAATTCGGAGAACTGGGACGCGATACGCTTTGTCGAGGTTGGTCAGCGCATGGAGGAGGTCCTCCCTGGACTGTACGAGCTCGTCTTCCCCCGTACTCCGACCATCGATCGCCTCTACGCATACTTCCGCTCCTACCCAGATCTTGAGCACGAATATCGTACGAAAGACCTCTTCTCCCCGGTCCCCGGTCAACCCGGATGGTGGCGCTTCCGTGGTCGCACTGATAACTGGGTTGCTATGGCCAATGGATACAAGATGGACCCGACTGACTTCGAGGCCATCGTGACTGCACATCCGGACGTTCGCGGTGTTATTGTGGGAGGCTCCCACCGCTTCCGGCTATGCATGCTCCTTGAGTTGTATGAACACCTCCTTCCGACAACCAACGAGGAGGCTCAAGCAGCGCTTGAGAAATTATGGCCTACAATCCAAGAGGCTAACAAGTCCTCTCCAAAATTCGGACAGATTCCTCGCGAGCTCGTTTTGTTCGTTCGCCCGGGCAAGCTGTTCTTGCGTGCTGGCAAGGGCACTATTCAGCGGCAGCTCACATTGCAAGCGTATGAAGACGAAATCGATGCGCTATACGAGCGCGTTGAAAGCGGTATCCTGGTCAGCGACTTAGACCCTATTACTTCACTTACACCGGAGGGGCTTACGCCCGTACTCACACAGCTGTTCCAGCAGGCGCTCGACTCGCAAGATATCGATGCTGATACCGACGTATTCGCACGTGGGCTAGACTCTAATGGTGTTACCCTTACTGTTTCGCGGCTGAAGGCTGCACTACGTAGTTACGGCCTATCTGAGGACCTCCTGCATGGCATCCACATCAGTCTTCTATACAGCTCCACGACCGCACGATCCCTGGCCCACACACTGTCCGCATACCTTGAAGATGGAGGTAGCAAGGATAAAGCGGAGACCCCAGATGGTGGCATTGCGGATATGCTGGCCAAGTACCTCCCAATCTCTCGGTACCCACGCGCCCAAGCTATTATCTTGACAGGATCCACGGGGTCCCTTGGGACATATCTACTCGCGGCGCTACAAGCACAGCCTGAGTCTCGCGTGCGCCGTATCTTCTGTCTGAACCGGGCTGCAGACGCTGCGTCCAAGCAAGCCACGGCGCTGAAGTCGCGTGGGCTTCCACCAGCTCAGGAGTCGAGCGGCCGCGTAGTGTTTTTCTCGGTTAAGGACTTTGGCGCGCCCCGCTTGGGCTTAACACCTAAAGACTACGATTTACTCCTAGCTGAAACTACGGCCATAATCCACAACGCCTGGCCTGTAAACTTCCTTCTCCCACTACAGTCCTTTGAGCCGTCGATAGCAGGACTAGTACACCTACTTGAACTCGCGAAGAATGGCGCGCAGCGGCCGGCGGTGCTTTTTGTGTCGAGTATCTCGGCGGCGATGGGTACGGCCCGCGATGTTCCGGAGGAAGTTCTACCTGAACCAGCGGAACTTGTCCTGCGACAGGGTTATGCAAGGTCGAAGTACGTCGGGGAGCGACTGTTAGATGCGTGGGCGCTATCGGGTGTAGCAAATAAGAGACGCGCCGCCGTCCTACGTGTTGGTCAGGTCGCGGGTCCCGTGACGGCAGGGGGTGCTTGGAACCCCTGGGAGTGGTTCCCGAGTCTGGTACGCAGTTCCAAATTCCTGGGCGTGCTTCCGCGTAGTCTCGGCACAAGTAGCCGTGTTGAGTGGGTGCCAGTAGACGAGCTCAGTAAGATTATTCTAGAAGTTGTTGACGAAGTAACTCGTACCGACGACGAAGACAGCACTTCCTCTGGAAAAGGCAAGCCGAGGGGCGCCAAGGTATACAACCTCGTCAACCCCCACGCCGTACCTTTCTCCGACCTCATCCCTGCTCTGCAGGAAAAAGGCATCGCGGATAAAACCGTACCCCTCGGGTCCTGGATCGAGGCTCTCGAGCGCAGTAGTTACGAACGGAAGACGAATGCGCAGGATAACCCTGCAGTCAAGTTGCTGGATTTCTTCAAGTCGATTGTACCGCACCACGGCGGCGACGGTGTGAAAAGGAATGCAAATGGAGACGCTAAGAATGGGCGTGGGGGCAATAAGGGAGGAGAAGACGATTATACCTGGCGCGTTGACAATACCCTGCGTGCGAGTCCGACGGCGAGAGCGCTCAAGCCGGTGAATACGGAGTGGGTGAAGCTGTGGGTTGATCGCTGGGGATTCTAATTGATATAGTCAAAGGGTATATACCTACCTATATACAGGTACCGATAGGTACCATAGCTGGGCTATATGGGTTCATAGTGGAACCCCTTCAACTTAGATAAAATGATGCCATGTAAGGTAGTAAGCTAAGTGCGAATTGCGAAGTGCATTAAATATAGAATATAAATCTCTTATTTTACGATTGGGGCCGCCTACTCACTACTCAATTCACCCTTAAGCATTGCATTTTTATGTCCTGCATTTTTATGTACTTGTTCACCACAAAACCGTTAAATAGGACATTTTAAATTTGTATGCTTATTAACTCATTATATGATATTATATG